GCTATCCTGATGCTCCGGTGCATTGAGCATAACAATCGCCTTCGACACACCCACAAAGCTGGAGGCATTCGAGCTTGTCGCCAGATTCGTCATGAGCCCATTGGGTACTCCATCATCGCGGCTTCATACAATGCAGGCGATGCTGAGGACAAGTTTGCTGAGTGGGACAACTCCTCAGGCGAATACCATCTCACTCACCTTGACGTTCCCACCCCCACCGCTCGCAATCTCAAGGTTGACATGCCTATCCTCTTCAACCCCAGAACCATCCAAATCCCCGGATATGTCATCATCCCAGAACGCGAGTATAACGATAATCGGTACCTCGGTCATACCCTCTTCCTCAGACAGGAAAGGGCCAAGGAGAGGGCCATCCAGAGACGAAAAGACAAACGGGCGGGAATCCTCTGGGAGGACCGTGACGATTTGCTGGATTTCCTCTCGGACTCGGACTCGGGCTCTGACCGTCCATTGGAGTTTATCCAAGGCGCATCTAACATCGGCGATGGAGAAGACGACGCAGAGGGTGACGTTGACGTCGAGGTGAATGGCGAGGAAAGAGATGCTGCTATGCAGAACGGAGAAAATTAGTCTCGTGACGTTTACTTTATTCCATCAACAATTTTCTTTACTTACCTTATATTTCGTTGAAAAAAAAAAGGGATACATACCACGCTACCGTATTGTCCAACTTCGTTGGCCAGGAGGGCGTATGTTACGAGTCGTTCCACGGCCCGATACTTTTACCTGACGTTTTCCCTCTTTCCCCCGTCTCCCCGGTTTAGCCCGTATTTGTTATTCCCACCATATATATATATATGCCAGTACACGTATTGTAGCTAGGGGTTTTTCGCAATCAACCAAGCCTATAAGCCTGTCAGTGACTGCGCGAGCCTTTCGTGAGAGAAGTGACTTTCGCCACCCTCTCAGACTGGAACAAGAGGGAAGGAGAGGACCTGAGGACCGGTACCTCCACCGTGTCTTAGCAGATTGCTTACTTGTGACGGTTAATTAAATGCAGAATCCAAAAAAAAGAAAAAGACTCGAACACATTATATAACCCATGCGATGGGGGCCATTGAGCCGAGACAAGAGAAGAATTGGACGTCACTTATCACGTCAGTTTTGTTTCGTTCTGCCTTTGAACACATTCAGAATGCATTTTCATGTATGCGGCATCACTGTACACGGTAATTCACCGATGATCATGCAATGCCCGGCATAAGGTCTTGACGGAAATTCCGCCTGGATGTAGGGGATGTAGCCTACGATATCGTGCACTGATTCACATCGTCTTCATTTCATGTCTGCACCAGCGCGTTCATCGTATCAGAATTGTAAAATACGATAGAAAGTCGGAAACATTGATGGTGCTCCCACCGCCGCCGCCCGGTCTACCGGCGAAGTACATACTGTACTAGTACTAACCATGTACCCATAGCAAGGACTACTGTACAATCCAGTTCAGCTGCAGCGCGTTCATGTTGTATGGCTCGATGTGGACTAACAACCCTCAACTTGGAGAGGCTGAGCGTGAGTCGAGGATAAAGCCTCGTCGCCATCCTTTTGAGCTAAAAAGAAGTGCACTTCTGTGAAAGCCGGGCGTTCAGGGGAAAGACTTGGCGAATACTTAGCAGAGTACGGAAGTTTTATATCATAATTGCACAGTATATAGCATATAAATTAGCGATAGCACGTAGAAAGCATGTGGATACATCCAATCAAAGCAAAGAAAGTTTTTCGTAAGCCAATGCAATCTCATTCCATCCTATTAAACTGTGCCGTTTTACTCCAGCTCTTTTGTTGGAATTCTTCCGCTTCTAATGCTTTCAAGACTGCATCCTTCAGCGTCGTATCCCCATACTCTCGTAGACGCAGAAGGACCGTGACAAAATGGTAAACCTCGATGGGTGAGGAAATGTTGAATGTTTGAACATTGCGCTCAACGATGTAGACGGTCTAAGATGAGATAAATTAAACATCAGCACTGTAGCAAAATAAAAGAACTTACTTCGGAGTCGCTCGAGCACCAAGCCATAAGTACAGCTCCTTCAACGCCATCTGTCGCCAATGCGAAAACAGCTTGTTTGGTCACTCCCAGACTTGCGAGATACCTGACAGACGCTTCCGCGTACATTTTTGCTTGCACGACGGCCTTCGCGTAAGTCTGCGTAGGCTTCTTGTATTCGGCAACTAAAACGGCCAAGAGAAGTTTAGTGAGCAGCTCCTTGACATCCATCACCACCCCAGGTGGGAATGTCATCTTGGGTGCTAATTTCGTCACTGAGCACGTCACCGAAAATGGCCGTAGCAAGTTTTCTTTTCTAGTCGCCCGGGTACCGTTTGATCCTTGCTTGTCGTCGGTCCGCCTCCCTACTTCCTCGTCAGGCACCTGAATATGCCCTTCCTGCTCTTCTGCAATTGAGAGCAGCTCACTTTGCGTCGTTGCAGACTTCGTTCGCCTGGAGCCATGAACAGGCCTGGATCTTCTAACCTTCGGCATCTCCGACACTGCATTTTCATCTGGCTCAGATATGTTATCTTCGCTGAGAGTCTTTGCAGCATTGACAGTCTCGCGGGTCTCTGTGATACAAATGAGAGGCTCCTCGATAAGCTGCAGGCGCTCCAACGGCAACGTCAGGATGGCGTCAACGATCCCAAGCTCTGGCTCATCTCCGGCACGCTTCAGTATGGCTTTCCTGGCTGCCTCTGCATTATCAAAAAGCGCGGAAACAGCACGTGATTGCGTGGCTGCGACCAAATGAAAATCTTCTGCCTGCCGAACGAGCTTCGAATTGGAGGAAGACATGAACTTGGGATCTTCCAGTTGTAAAACGTGTTGATAACTGATATTGCGTGATTGCCGAGCGACACCCTGAAATTCTGCAGCAGCAGAAGTCGGGGAGGTGTTCATCACATCTGCCGCGACATTCCGCGAGAGCGACAATGCTCTTTCGAGACTATGACTAGGATAAGTATACAACACAGGTACGCCGACAAACATAACTCACACCACTCTTCCAGAAGCGAGCTCATGGACATTCACGAAGCCGAGGTTCAGAAGAATATCCCATTCATGACGAGCTTCAGCTTCGTTAGGTGATTTATCAGCGAGCTCCTTGGAGTACCCGCCGACGGATGCCCAAAGAAGAGACGAAAAGCAACCCGAAATGACCTCCCAGAAGTGCCGTGGAAGTTGGGAAGTGTTTTTACCACCGGAGCATGCATCAATTTGAACGAGAAAGTGGTCGCGAACTTCTTCGATCCGTTTGTCAACGACAGGTGATTCATTCTAGAAACAATAAGCGTGAAGGGACAGATTGTAGTGATCAGACATGCTTGCCTGCTCGATAGGAGGTTTCATATACTTGGTCATTTCCTCATAGAATTCAAGCATCTCGTTAATCTCGTCAGCAGCATCGACTATTCCATGAGCATTTGTGTCCAATGGTATGTTGCTCAAACTGATAATTTTGCGGTCGTGTGCATAGCTTGAGAAAGAAAGCTTCGCGGCAGGGGATATGCCAGCCAAGGACTTCGCACCTAACCTGGTGGGAACGGGATATCAGAACGGGTAGTTTAAAGTGGTCAAAAATAAAAGGCGTACGCTGAACACGACAAGGCATCTGCGCTCTTCGAACGCTTACCAGTGTTTTCATTATTAGAAGAACCACCATCCGTCTTTGTTCTGAAAAAGAGTTAGAAGGAAATCGACTGAAGCATGAGCAGTCTAGATTCACTCTTGTCCTCCACGTTCATCAAGCTGAGCAGATGCTCTATCCGATGGAGTCTTCGAACCCGTAGCTCCGAGGGAAGGCTCGCGAGGATATCTGAGATCGATATCGGGCACAAATGGTGTAGGCTCTGCTGGAGGACGTTCTCGTTTGCTGTCTGCAGACATTGAGCGCCTCGGATGACGTGCAGACCTAGCCTTCGAAGAGGACCGCGTAGTCCGCTTTTCAGAGTCAGCTATGTTGGATGAACAGCAGCAGTTAGTCGACGGAGTATCGGAAGGTGCTGTGTGGTCGGTGTCACTGTTAAACAGATGAGGGACAGCGTTAAGGCCAAATGAAGTGACTCTCACCATCTTTCCACCGTATTTCGCCAACAAACAATCCTTTGTTCCCATTGTTCTTCTTCGGAACCGGAATCGTCATCATCGATGGTATCTGATCTCCATGAAAGTCGTTTGAATGTCGGAGCTTGGCATTGGGCAACGATTCCCTCGACATGCGCCCGAAGGCCGATGATAAATTGTGCAAATTTGAGAGCACTGACGGCGTCAGTAAGGTCGTACACTCCTAATGAGGGGTCTGTACGCGTCCCATCTGCGTACGCAAAACGAACTGTGGGCTATTCAAATCAGGCAGTGGAGGTAATGGGTCAGAAGAAGCTGACGCACCAGAACATCAGGGTCCGCGCATACATTGTCAAGCCAACCGAAGACCACCCGGCCCACGAACCCTGTTTTTGACAGGATAATTCCAATAACAGGCTTGCAAATTCCCCAAGTAGAACGCTGATAAACAACACCGCTCATTAGGCTGAAAATGTCTTCTTCATCCGTGACACAAAGGTACGGGAGAACAACAGAGTTCGGATGTCGCCAGTAGGCAAGGATGTGGCCATCAAGAGGAACATAATATGACTGGGCAGACGTCGGATCCGTTGAAGCCTCTGTGCGTTCATAGCTGGTGTCACTATCAGAGGATGATTCGTTTGAGCGTTCCGCTCTCATGATAGACAGGTGCCCCGAAGCGTCATCCTCTACGACCGGCCTTGGCCGCCAAATATCTTCAACGATATGAGATATCAGCAATGAAGCATGTCCATCCTCCATCGTATTCGAAGAATGTGATAATCGTGGTCGAACGAATGCAACATCTTGCCTGCGAACAATTTCGTTAGGAAATAGATCAATTGATTCCATTCAAATGCACGCACATTATATATGATTTATCATAGCACATAAATGAAAGCGAACGTATAAGAAGGGACCAGAATGGTATCGTTGACTGTCTAGTATCATCCTTCGAACCGCCGGCGAGAACTCTGAGCGCGGCAACAGTCGAAAGCAGTAGATCCAAAATATCTAGTACTTCCGAGGAGGAGTCTGTGAGATGTTCTGGAGAACATTCTAGGATACTTTCAAGCTCCTCGAGTAACGGAGATGCCCTAGAAGAGACAGGTGGGTATGGGCCGTTGGCAAGTCGTGATGGGATTGGAGAGTCAAGTAAGCACGCCAAATGCTGTATCTCAGTGGGCCATTCAGTAGCTCGCGAGACAATAAAATTCAAAGAAGACATAGCAGCATCAGTTGTATAACCCTTCGCGATTCTGCGTCGTTGAGAGAGGAAGACGACAGTCGTTGTGCCGTTCAGTGGCAATGGCGCGAGTCCAACCACTGCGTCGCGATGCCGTCTCAGACACGTGATCGGATCTCTTTTCTGGTCTTTTTTTTCAATCTCTTGTTGAAACCTAGGCTTAAGGATATCTTTTCACTGTAAGCTTTTGCAGTGGTATATCGCTCCTTGCATACTTTTTTTTCAGTATGCCTCTTTACCCCAAGAGGCGTCGGTACTCCAAGGGCCCACAATACTTTTGGTGAGAATGAAAGAAAATCCAACCATCAAACTTTGTTGCCCAGATAGATGTCGAATGGGTATCACCGATGAAAAAAACCCACACATGGGTTCAATATAACATCAGCTATATAACTTACAAGATAATACATGTACATCGATAGCTTTTGTGCAGTAGCAAGAGCAGTACGAAAGATATTGTCCATGTAGATCCGTCCCGCCTCGAGAAGAGGCCACTACCTTGATCACTTGTGCAAGTCTGGGGAAGTTAGAGATGAGCGGCCCAAGGAGTCTGTCGAAGACATATATCCCGCTGCCCGTACTGGACCAGAGAACAACATAAGAGGGTCTGTACGGGTGGGGATGACGCTCTCGCTCGACGTCCGCTGATGCGTCTGCGGGAGCGGGAGGGGGCGAATCGACATGGGTGTCGACAAGCGTTGAGGCGGCGTCAGTGGGGGGGGAGGGGTATTGGGAGGAGGGGGCGTCAGGATCCTTTCGTCTCGGAGAGGGGACGGATGATACGGCGGCGAAGAGACGAGGGGGAGGTCGTCATCGCTGTAGGCCAAGTTCACGGTGGAAGGGAGAGCTGAATGTGTGGAAGGGTCGGAGGGAAGGCGGAAATGCGAGGTGGAAACGTTTCGGAGGTCTTCGATGGAGGAGTGGGGGATGAAGAGGGGGGAAGGCGGGCGCATGGGGAGATAGCTGGCTGAGGCCATGGGTGTGGGGTATGCTGCACCGTCGCGAGACGGTGGCGGTTCCATGCGCAAACCAAGCATGTTGTCCGATGACGGTTTGTGAAGACGTTGTGTGTTTCGTGGAGGCGACAGAGGAGGCAGAGGAGCAGGATACGTTGGGGCTGGTGGAGGTCGCAAACTTGTATGCTGCCGTTGAACATGAAAATCAAAATGACAGCATTTACGCGAAATATGTAGCACATACCTTTACTTGGGGAGGTGCCTCTGGGGGATGTGGGCTAGTGACGACAGCGACTTGGCCTGCATGCTGATGGTGTGAGCGGCTTTCACCTGATTCGAGAGTGAAATCATTGTTGTCTCGAGATATTAACATGACACTGGGCGGGGGATCAGGCAACTCGTCGGAAGGAGTGATAAGTCGTTCTTGATCGCTATCAGCTTCGAACCCCGGCTGGTCTTCTCCATTATTACTGATGTAGCTCTCATTATCAACCAATGATAGGCGAGAGAATCTGCTAGATCCAGGGACAGCCTGGGCCGCCGTGTACATCGGCTTTCCCGCTGTGCGATAGTTCTCAAGCGTAGAGTCAGTCTTTGTGCTGATTGCGGTGCCATCTATATCGAAGATCATGTCGCGGGAGAGCGCCTTGACGTGCACAGGCCTCTTTTTCCACGGTAGAGGTATGGTTTCCGCAACCTCAAGAAATGTGTGTCCCGTCTTTCGAAAAAAGTCCTGGGAGCGAGTGTACCATGTCCTCCGCGGCGGGCTATTATACAGTGTTGGGTACGAGCTAAGACGAATATGTCCATGCCGTGACGTAGAGGGCGTGCCCACGATCTCATAATCTCCCAAATCTTCGACTTCATCGTCGATGGCCCAATTCTTGTCTCTGCTGTCAGTCCGTACTTTCTTCGGCCCATGAGGAAATCGGGGAAATTTAAACGAGAAGCCTTTTATCGATACACCGTGGTGTCGCGCCCACAAGTTCCTCCACCGGTACAAGAAGAGCAAAATCGCAGCGAGGGCCACAACTGAGCAAGATATAGCCACTACTGTGATGATCTGATATTTTGACCAGCCGTCACCTGCATCCTCAGAATCGCCAGCTGGGAAGAATAAGCGATATAGGATATGAGCCGAGGAAAGCTTTGCTTACTGTCGACGGCTTGACGAATATTGAAGGTCTGATTGACTGGCATATCTGCGTAGGCCCAGGCGGGTACATGAACCTGGTCAGAGCGCTTGGAGGTGGTGATACGCAGCTGGTGCTGCTCGCAATGGGTCAGCCACTGATCCGAGGTCAGCGAGTAGTTGCCCTGACTCATCAGACAAGCGCTCCAGATGTTGAAGAAGATGTTTGTGCTGTTTGTGCTGAGTACAACAACATGCACCAAGAGCAAAAACGTACCATGTACACCAGTTTGCACTCGGTTCCCCATTCCATGTGTGCTGCACTTCCCGTCCACCAAGCACAGGTCTTGCCCACCGAGCCGCCCTCACCGGTTGGCACCGCACCATCTCCTCGACCAGTTCACACGGCGTCTGACCCTGGTTGTTGTTCAACTATATTCAAAATGAATTCTGAATTGATTTTCAGCGCGAAAAAAGCGACCCACAGCTCTGTGATGATCATCCTGGGAATATTTGGGTGAGGATTGTTTGGTTTGTCATAGCCGAGACGATGCTGTGGCTCACCTGGGCAGCGACGATGAAGGACGATAGAAGAGCGACCAGGCTTAAAGAGAGGAAGCTACCGAGATTCATCACATACGGACGAGGATGTAAGAACAACTCGAAACAGACAGTGAAAAAGAAGAGTCCCAACGAACCATGTGGATCAATTCCGAGTTCGAAATGACGATTTCGGGATACGGTCACAAGTTCACGTTATTTCCAGACGGGATCAAATTTCAAAGGGTTTTCAATACTGATCGTTACTTGACTGTAGCCACTACACATATCCTACCAGGAATAGAGGAGATATTACGGTCCACTGGCAAGCAGAAATCCTGAAAACCACGCAGCCCGGAACTCTCCATTTAATTGAGGACCGGCAGCAATTGGATCCTCGAGGCGCCCCTGCTTCGATAGAGAACATTCGACGGAGAGTATTCATTACCATGGGACTGATTACAATCTCGTGCAGTCTGAGCGAACGAATAGCCTGTCACGGCAATTTTTCTGAATCCCGACGGTTGTCCACTGAGAATGATGAGTATCGTCATGTTCAAGGAGCTGCGCAGGGCCATGGCCATGGCAGATCAAACCACCAAGAAAGACCCAAGTAACTTGTTCCTCGAAAATTTCACAGGAAAACGGCGACATACCACAATTGGACTGGGAACCATCCATGGCACATCCAGTCCAAAATAACGATTCCGTCAGCAGACCCTTGATATACTACGATTAAGGGCACCGAGACTCGGAAATGAATGAGAGAGAGGATACCTTTATATATCAAAGCGAGGTCTCGCGCGCACGGATAGCTATCCGGTAGCTTACTATACACTTGATCTTTGTCAGACCGGCACAGCTTGCTCCCTCTTTGCAGAGAAGTTGGACCCAATTGTTATGTTGACGATTTGCTGACCGTACCGGGATTACTAAATAATCTCGGCGTTATATCCGCGCAGCCAGTGGAGACGAGGAAAACAAGGCCTTATGTGCCGGGGATTTGATACTCCGGCGTCGCACCGCTGAACTTCAACGTTGGGAATAATCAGGAAAGAACATTCATCCAGAGCCTAAGATAAGGCCGTGAAGGTACTCCGCAGGTAAGAGGTCTTGTCTTGACTGCGTCCTCTTCGGAAACCCCAGTTTGTACAGGCAGCCGTTCAGCGGATCGCTGTGGCCAAAGTTTTTCTGCACATCATTCGCGGCAGCCACGATGGGGTCGGAGATCCGTGGTATCGTGTCCATCGCATGTACTAGTTGGTGGATTCAGGGCAAGCAGCATGATTTAGCAAGTATCCCCCTCTTTGTCGACCATCGCGACTAGAACTGGCTACTAGATGCAAAGCGAGGAATTTCAGAAGGAGAGGCAGGATTTCGGAGGTTAGTACCGGGTATCATTATGCCTCGGCTAAGGACGCGTCGCGTCCAATGACACGTGACTGCCGCACGCTTCATGATCATCACGACTGTCAGTGTCAACGCGCTCAATCCTTCCTGCTCTTCCTCGATTTGCGGTGATGTTGACCCCACTGATGTCTTTGCGGCAATGGGTGTAGCTTGAGAAAGAGAGCTCTGCATAGAGGACTTCGCAGCGAGTCTGACAACTACGTATCAGCATCCAAAGCTTTCTAAAGATCAAAAAGAAATGACGTACTCTGAACAAGAGAACGTTTCTGTGCCCTTCGAACGGTCGTCAGTCTTTCCATTATTGGAAGGCCCACCATCCGTCTGATGTGTTCTGCAAAATAATGAGAGGAAAATTCAGGAGAGTATGGGCAATAGTTACTCACCCTTGCCTTCCACATTCTGCAGGTTGAGCAGACGCTCTATCCGATGGGGTCTGCGAACCTGTAGCTCCCAGGCAATGTTATACGCGAGATCAATATCAAATTGAAATAGAGCAGGCTCCGTCGCTTTCGCTATCTACAGACGTAGAACACCTCAGACAGGGTGCAGACCTTAGAGGGAGACCACCTCTCATGCTGCTGGGAATCAGCCAAGGTGAATGAACAGTTTTGAGCTGGGAAAGAAGCAGAGGATCCCCTGTAGTATACATTGCTGTTACATATATGAGGCACAACAAAGGGCCCAATGAAGATATGCCTACCATCTTTGAACCGTATTTAGCCAATTAACAATGCTTTGTTCCCATTGTTCTTCGGAACCCCAACTGTCATCATCGATGGTATCTGATCTCCACGAAAGTCGTTTGAACGTCGGAGTTTGGCTTTGGGCCACGATTCCCTCGACATGCACGCTAAGGGGAATGATAAATTAAGCAAATTTGAGAGCACTAATAGGGGTCGGTAAGGTCGTACACGTACCGTCCCTGCGCGCAAAACGATCTGCGGGCTATTCAAATTCAGTCAGTGGTGATCATGAGTCAGGAAAAGCCGACGCACTAGAACATCAGGGTCGGCCCGTACTTTGTCAAGCCAACCGAGCACCACCCGGCCCACGAACCCTGTTTTTGATATGATAATTCCAATAACAGGCTCAGCAATTCTCCGCACCGCTCATTAGGCTGAAACCGTCTTCTTCATCGGTGACACAAAGGTACGGGAGAGCAACAGAGTTCGGGTGTCGACAAGGGGCGAGGACATGGGCATCAAAGGGAACGTTAGATGACTGGGCAAATGTTGAAGAAGGTCGTTTCTCAACACGTTCCACCTTCTTAACTGGCTTCGGCTGTTGAATATCTTCGCTATTTCATTAGCGAGTGGAATCTAACTTTATTTCGTTCACATCCATATTGCATATGTCCTATCATAATAGACAAAGGCCAGAGAGAGAATCAGCAAAGACCGAAAAAGTATCGTTGACTGCTTAGCAATATCATTCGACGCGTAGAAGAGCTTTGAGCTCACTAACGGTCGAAGGGACTTCAAAATATCCAGTCCTTCCAGAGGAAGTCTATGAGTTCCTGCACGAAATGATATTCTTGAACTCCTCGAGGAAAGAAAAGGCATTAGAAGAGATACCTCGGCATGGACCGTTGACGAGTCGTGAGGGTATTGAAGAGTCAAGTAAGCAGACCAAGTTATGCATCTCAGTGGGCCACTCTGTTGCACACGATACTATAAAGTTAAACTAAGACATTGCAGCTTTTGCTGTATGACGTAGAGCCGTCGAGAGGCGGACGGTAATCGTAAGGTAGTGGTGGTGGGTGGTTCATGGATCGCGATGCGAGCCGGTAACCGAACGTCAGAATTTAGAGTCACGTGACGGTACATAACTTTTTTCAATGGCTTTTCCTCAACGTGGTTGTTCTTTTTACTTGTGTCTCGCTCTATGACAAGAATTTTCGTCGTTAACTTCGTATATGTCTTCGTTCTCTTTCAGACACTGATATCGATTATCTCGTGTGTTGGCTGTACGGATGTTGTGTCTATTTCCGAGAACACTCCTAGTTCTGTATCTCGCATCCTCTCATATCCCCGGAGGCTATACGATCCCCTCTCGTGATGCCTCTGTCCGTTTTTCAAGAACAGTTGACAGTTCTCCCATTTGCCAATCCTTTGGAAAATAAAAGCTTTCTATCACGGTTAACCTCCGAGTCGTTAGACGATAAGTTTAAGCTGCCTTCAGTAACAAAGGCTGTCGATCCAGAACGCTTGTCGATACGACAGACTCGCAAAGCCCACCATCATTTGTTGGAAAGCCCTTCGTACCCCGACGTCAGCTCAAGTGTCAACCCGTTGAACCTGGAATGGAGCTCAGTCGGACGTTTGCTCCGCTCTGAAAGGTTCATGCGTCGGTATTTCGGACCCGTAGCGGCTTTACGCTAAGACTCCGGGCGTGATGTCGAGTTGCAACTTCTTGAACAGAAATCACGCTGCAGAGAAGTAAGGGTATGAAATTGATCCCACTTCAGCTGGGGGATTCTTTCAGGGATCTCGTACGCGTACTGTCTTCGCTTTGTTCCCGCCTAGGGTGGCTAGACAGACCGCCGCTGGAGTGGAGGAAGATCGAGGACAAATTCAGAGGTGCCAGGCGGCTTGTATGATTGGCACTGGCGCAGGGTCTGTCTTGCTGATGTCGCGCTTGGCGTTCCAGACCCATTCGCTGGACATGCTGAACGTGATAAAATGCGACAGCAAGAAGTATAGGTTATAGATGGGAGCCTGCGTGCGGGCTACGTTAGCAGCGCAGCTTCAGAACACGTTTACAAGTACTGTGGGACTTTCAGTGCATGTTTCTCTGTGAAGAGTGAAGAAACACACCCATGAGGGACGCTAACCACAAAAAGACTGCTGCGCTACATTTGACATCAACAAGGAAGTCGAAAAATATAGTGTGGTGCAAGCAGGCAATCAAAGATGACTGCTTTTTCAGCACGTGTAAATGGCTCTTCTTGGGTCTCGCCGTCCCCATCGGAAAGAAGATACAAGTAGTAGTAAAACAGAAAAGCGCTTCAAGGATTCTCCATTGCCACCGAGAAAAATCTTGTACTCCTGGCAGCTGACTAGCAAGGAAGACTAATTGGAATATAGAAAGCTTTCGTCTACAACAAAATGCGTCAGGATTATCGACAGATTTTTCTGTGGTGCCTCGATAAAAAAATTGTCTGTTTACCAGGCGTATTGGACATCTGTCAGTCGTGGACGATATGTTCGCAAAAGGTTCGAGAACATTTTTCTTAAACCAAAAAATGTCCTGAGAATCAGTGGTTGGCCAAGCAGAGTTGAAGAATGATAGAGTTCAGGTCATCTGAATGTAATAAATGTCATAAAATGCTAGCAGACGGAGAAGAGGGGAGTATATATTTTTGCGGCATGATTGACAGTCGTATCGCGGTATCCCCAGTATTCCCCAAGCTGTATATCTGTGCGTGCAGGAGCAGGAAACATTAACAGGAAGACATAGCTCGGTTTCCTCGGTTTCTTGAGTCTACGGAGATGCGCCCAAGGGAACGAGGAGGCCGGGTGTGTATGTATTGCGAGGGAAAGATAGATAGCCAATCCCGCGAAGCGCACCAACCACCAATTTTTGGAACCTGTTGTCAATCCGGATATTTCGTTCAGCCTCTACTGTCGTTGCAGCACCCTGAGTCACTGACGCAGACGTGAGTGAATTGGAGCGGTGGACATGACAAGTTACAGCCTGGTGAGCCGAGTACGGTACCAAATTTCACAGCAGAAGGGATATCCTGGCGTTACCTTCGGAGTGATCCAGAGGAATTGGAGGCGTCTGTCTCTAATCAAGATCCCAGGAGAATACGGCGTCGTGGCGAAGTTGAATTACCATCGTTACGTGAAGGAATCAGGACGCAACTGCAAGGCTGCTGCCGGCCAGAGGGGAGTTGGAGATGCTCCCGCCAATGTCTTCGTCGAATCTTTTCGTTAATGGAGCTTGCCCACGCTGTCCTCAAACACTGGCCTTGCTCAACGCGAGTGGCAGGAATCTCCGAGATTTGATGATGGTGGCGGTAACGGTAAGCGATGACGTTGAAGGCGCGGAGCCGCGTTTGCCATCATTTGTACCTCGCCTACCTTCAACGACCATGAGTGCTGAATAATCGCCCTTGCTGCCGCATATATTCTCATTTTTGGGTTGATATTGACAAGAAGCTCGGGTTACGATACCTTGACCCTGGAAAAACAAATGGCGCAGAGATATTCCTAACCTCTTATCTACCAATGGCGACGTCACGGTCTGCGACTCTCACGACGGCTCAACTGACCCATTTTCGTAGTCTCCTCGAAGAATGGCTAGCAGAGCAGCCGCCAGCGATGGGATTCAGCGTGCCATTCGAAGATATCACCAAACCACCGAGACATTGTCGCGTTTCGAACGCGTCCTCCGCTACTTGGCGAAGCTGCCGGTAAATTCAAATTGATTCCTATGGACGGGGAGGATGACGTGCCAGTCGAGGCATGCATAGGCGTCACCGTCGAGAGCGCTGAGCCGGGTGTCTTTGTTGCTCATGTACCTGGAATGAAGGTGCGTTCCCCGCTTTTTTGCTGGTGCTAGTCCTGACGGCTAACAATTCCGGGCAGTGGTCTGGATTTACGCTCGCACACAAGGAATACATCGCTGACCTTACCTTTGGGCCGGATACGACGAATGAAGAAGTATATCAGCTAACTGTCATTTGCTAACGACGTGCGTATACTTTTGCAAGGCCTCATGGCAAGGCCGGTCTGTTTTTAGGCCAGGAAATCTGACATGTTCTGGCTTCTTGCAAGAATTATACAAGCTCAATATAACCATTACCACGGGAAAAAGATCCAAGTCCAAGTGAAGAACTTCTTTATCGCGTTGTTGGGAAGGTTTTTTAGGCCTGGGACTTGATAAGGAGCTCTGAGATGTCAGTTTCCGGGCCTAATTAACTCACCGACCCTGCCATTGATGCATGTGTTCTCGTGTTCTGAGAAACCTCATTGACAACATGTACAGCTCCTCCATCTGGCATTATCCGGTGGCGTCGGATGCATTCTCGCTTACGGTCAAACAAGCAGTGGAAAAACATACACCATGGAGGAATCGAGTCACGTATCGCGCGAGATCTCTTTGACGCCGCTCGTATCATTGGCTCCCGCCTTTCCTATGGCAAAAATGAAGAGGATTATTTTGAGTTCAGCGTGACATTCTCCGAACTCTTGGGGAAATACGCGACGGATTTAGTTGAGCCGAGCGACAAATGGACGCGTCGGGAAATGTTGTGCGTAACAACATCGCCATCCACGAGGACAAAGCTGGGAATGTTAGGCCAAGGCTTATTTCCACGATCGTCCGCACGTCTAAAGAGCTTGAGGACCTTATCACATCTTCTCCGTCGCACCGGCGCACCAGTGCTATTCTCCGAAATGCAGCTAGTAGCGGCAGCCATGCTGTTCTCAACACCCATATCAAGAATAAGTCTTTACCGTACGCCGAAGATGGATGGCTTATCCTCTTCGAGTAAGCTGCATTAGTTGGCATCATATGAAAAGAATTACTGATTTTACTTAAGTTTAGCAGGGAGTGAGCGCTGCGAAGACTCCAAAGCTCACGAAAAGCAGCGCATGAAAGAGTCCCACGAGAACAATGAAAGCTTCATGAATCTCAAAGAGTCTGTCCGCGCCAAAACCTAGATGGCGACTGAAGACGGATCTGTGTATATACCCTGGCGTTCAAATAAGCTAACCATGTTGCTGAAACCTATCTTTGACGTTGAATCCCGTCAGCCGTCGGAAACCGTCATCATTGCGCATGTCTCCCCGCACAGCTGGGCTATCATTCGTAGCACCAACACGCTCTCATATGCAACCCCATTCCGCACAGTACCGGTCAAACTGCGCGGCCTCCTCGCGTATGATTTCGAAGACTACGTGGGACCGGGTGCTGACACATGCATGGCTAACCAACGAGTTTGCGAAGCGCATAGCTAAGAAGAAGGGCCAGGCGAGGAAAGCTGCCACTACTTTCGCGTCCCTGGAAGAATCTACTGAGGGTTTGGATCTGGGTTTGGATATTGACAAAGTATGTCCTGGGGGGTACACCGCTCGGAGTCTTGGCGCACTGTATACGACGGAATCCGTCGAGCGTTGTCTCTCTGCGCAGACCGAAGGGGCTGGAGATATGGAACTTCTGAAAAACAGGGCTGCAGAAGTTTATCGGACAATTTTTCTATCCAATAATGAGCGCCAAGACTAGGGCCAGGACGCAGACCATGAAGACCCGGAAGAAGGTCAAGATGCAAGCTCATGGTAAGTTATTCGTCCTCCGTGCGTTCATACTGACTGACATGTGAATTTTCAGGAGAGGCGCCGAAACGGACGTTAGGATATGGAGTCGAGGATGATGACCCTATGCTCATGATTGACCCCATTGGATATCATACCCTAGAAAAGTGGGACGCGACTATAGCTGCTGCGATCGCGAAAGCTGTCGAAGAGAAGACTGATGTGCGTGAAGCCCATCTGAATGCGACTAAGGGATTGGAGGGTGGACGTGGCTCAGCGTCAGTCTGAGAGCAAAACTTCAGTATATGTCATGCCGGGCGAGCGGCCGCAACACTGAACGGTGCTATCTAACCGCAAATCACTTGTATTTGTGTCGACCGTAACTTTTTTATCGCAATCACGGGGAATCTTTACCTTTAGGTTTCTATCGCTTTCACTCGTGGTGTTCTAGTCCTGTGGTCAATTCGCTCTTACGGACATATAGCGCGGGAGAATTTTCTAAACCCAATCCCCCGCGACATGCAGATCCGGGGGATTTCCCAATGTGAGGCCTTTTATCTCCCGTTGGGACTGTACAGCAGTCGTATGCTTATTCTATGCATAGGAATTATACTAATCCCCAAAACCTTGTGTTTTTTTCCAAGTGGGGCGGCCGTCACCATCTGTCCAAGTTGAAACGACTTGTCAAAACCTGGGAATGCAGGGTACCTGGGGTATTGGCTGATTTCGTCCCAACCACTGCCAGGCTTATACTGTTTAAGCAGTCAGGTAGTCTCATTTATCTCAATAATGAATCACGAACAGCAACCTCTTGCAGCAAGGCCTTCACATGATGAAATTCTGCCAAGTTGATTACAGAAATATCTAACGCCACAACTGCGGTAGCCGGAGCGAAAAAGCAGGCACGTACACGGAACACAGCCACCAGATTTCAGCATGTGAAAGTTACTCGATCACCGATCCGTCATTCCTTTGCGGTGACGGGACAATTTACTCTCCCTAATTCACTGTTCGAATGACTAAATACGTTGGATTTTAGGGTACATGGTAAGCAATTCATTAGTCAAAATCCTATATCAAGCAGCTCATCTCGTTATTAATAGATTAGTCGTAGGTCATCACGCGAATAGAACGTATCAAAATTTGTCTAACCCGACAAGCGAAATTGTTATCGGGGTCTTACCGCTGCTTCGTGGCTTTAGCTAGACTGCCGGAGGCTGTCGAATGTGGAACGCATCATTTTCCCTGACCTACGTTACGCTGTTTATGATCATGTACGCTGCACCCGACTCGGCTTTAACTCTGCCTTTTCATGAGCCAGAGTTTCAGCCAGCACTTTCTTCACCCAACCATCACCATCATGTCTTTGTCCGCTTTGCAAGAATTGGCTCCTTCCTTCAACCTCGCTGGTGTTTCCACTGCTGCTGCAGCGACAGGAGCAGTAAGTCCTCGTTGGTCTTCCCCATTAGATCCAGTGCCCTCAACATTTTTCCAGGTTACAACTTTGTATCTTAACCGTAATGAATACCGTGGAGACACCGCGGTTGTTGTTTGTGCTCTTACTTGGGCGTCGCTTTTCGGCACAGGTGTTTACAAGCAACTGGGCGTAAGCCAATCCTTGGGAATAGCGACTGGCGGACTCGCATCGTTCTTGGGGACGATGATTGTGCTTGCCGTTGCCTACCGCCTCTCACCTCTGCATCCCCTCTGGCGCTTCCCTGGTCCCTTCCTCTACAAGGTTACGTCGTTGAAGGCCATGCACATGGTGTCGACCGGTCACCGTTACCTGATCATCAAGGACCTGCATAAGAAGTACGGAAAATTCGTGCGAACCGGTATGCCTGGCTTCTTTCACGCTTCGTATGGGGAAGCTGACATTAGACAGGTCCCAACACACTCTCCATTGCTTCTAATGAAGCTATCCACCCGATTTATACCACCGCACAGAGCATGAACAAGAGTATGGCGTACCGACCGGGGCGTGCCCCCGTTGGGGGATTGTTCTTCACCCCTTCGAGAGAAATGCACAACATTCGCAGGAAGGCGTGGGCTGGTGCTTTCATTGCCAAGTCGTATGTTCATTTATCCCCTTTTTTCTAACGAAGAATTCACAAACTATTTTAGGCTTCCCAAGCTTCTCGCTGTCGTTGATAAGCGGACGAAGCAGATGATCAAGGTCATGGACAAGCGACGCGGTCCTGATGGTGTCATTGACATGTCTGAGATAATCCGTCACTGGGCGTATGATTTGATGGTCACGAAATGGTTCCTCTTTAGTGTTTCTGTATGCTGATACCGTATTCAGGCTGAGATGACTTTTGGCGCAACCAGCGATGTCGTGCGTACCACTTGATCAATTCTTATAGTTTTAAACAACGGTTGCACAGGAACTTATGGCTAACGGTGACCCGGAGGATGTTTCTGAGAATGCTCAAAACGCCACAGTTGTCTTCGAAGTGTGAGTCCATTCTACATGTCCGTTCGCTCTGAATGCATCCTAATTATTACTCTACAGTCTCGGTGAAGCCCCTTCCATCTTCGACATTGCATGGAACTTGCCTGCTTCTGATGAATTCCACGTTCTGGAAAGGACTGCCACGAAGCTCATGGATGTCCGTAAACACATCACTGGTGATGATATTGCCTCGTACTTGGCGAGTTATTTTCTTTTGGGCGCTGTTGCGGCTTCATCATACCGTCGTCTAGCTCGGGGAGAAGGGTGGCGAGCGTCTCGGTGATGAAGACCTCAATATTGACTCTGCCTTTGCTATTGCTGCCGGTGTGTACATGAAGGTCATTGCCGGAATTGTGTCTGATGAATGAATGCCCCTATAGGATCCGACACTACCGGTGGAACGCTAACGATACTTCTCTTCTACCTCCTCCGTGACCGCACCGTCTACAAGAAACTCCGTGATGAACTTGATGCTCACTTTAACAGCGTCGATGAGATTGACGACCCCAAAGCACTCCTCGATCTACCCTACCTCTATGGTGTCGTCTGGGAAGGTTTGCGCCTTGGCACACCGTTCGGTGGTCTACCTCGTGTCGTGGGCGAGGGAGGATCGATGATTGATGGTGAATTCGTCCCCGAGGACATCATAGTGGTACGTTACAGTGATGGTCATAATGTTAAGAAGAGATTGTCTTAAAGTGTTATGTAGTCGGTTCCCCCATACACCCAACAGACCGACCCGGAAAACTTCTACCCCATGCCGATGGAATTCTTGCCTGAGAGATGGCAGCCCGAAGGTCTCGGTCCGGCGACCATCACGAAGAAGAACGCCATGCTGTGTTTCTCCTACGGTTCGTGTTATCGTTTTTCATTGATTCAATAATGGGGGTTGTTTGTTGATCGACTTACGCAATTGACAGGTGCATTCAGTTGCCTCGGCAAGGTCTTTGCTAACCAGGAACTTCACCTCACTGTGGCCAAGCTAATGGTAGCCTATGATATGGACCTCCCGAAGTCGTTTGATCAGCAGAAGTTCATGGATGGTATTCTTAACATGCGCACGACACTCTTTAACTATCCTCTGGCTATCACGGCGACTCCCCGGAACTTGTAATGGAAGAGGGTCCATTTAGATGTGAAGTACAAATAATTGCCGCTACCTATTCACTAGATCAACCTGTCACAACTAATAGCATGATATTTTAATAACGACGCGTTGGAGTAACATGGACTTTACTGACTACTGAGAACACTGATTATTCGGCGGGGGGGCTGTCATATATGCAGACGTCCTAGCATGGATTGGATATCTCACTGGTTCTGACTTCTAAGATTTTGGTAGGCGGATGATGTAAAAAAGAAGACACGCGGTGATGATTCTCAGGTCAGTGTACATACGCTCCTCCTAGGTTCGAACGGCCAGGATATTCGACACGCTAGAATCGCCCGCGGCCGTAGTATCACTGAAGGGGCAAGCAGATGTCTTCCATGCCCCAGAATGAATTCTTCTGGGGCCACCTTGTACGGTGTACTGTGCGATCAATGTTAGCGGTGTATATACAATTCCTCCCAGGACTGATCGCCGAAAGATCGACAATTACTTTGGTCGCTATAATGTACCTTCAAGTTTTCTATGTGGTGCGTATGCTTTGGAAGGTGTGGTGTGTTTGTTCCGGGGGGGCTGCTTACAGGTTTTTTCAAGTTCTGCTGTGGGCTTGTTCCAAGTTTGGCTTGAGGGGTGTACATGTGGGAGAGTTGTTTAGCAAGTGGAGGCCATATTTTGTTATACTTGCGTCTGACATGCCCAAGTGGTAACCGTGCCGTGTAATGATGAGTCCTTGGGACGAATGGAAAAATAAAATAGCTCCTCCTCCAGAAGAACAGCTCGGATCCCAGGACTATTTCGCAACTTGCTTCATATATTTAATTTTGTTCTACTGAAATATTCCTTTCCTTTCCTTTCCTTACTCGAGCACCGTCTCAAAACAAATCTAATGTAAGCACTATTTTCGGGAGGACTACGTTGTGTCCTAAGGACCCATACTGTACTACATGCACTGCCGTATCCTCTGCCCAGAGTATCTCATGGCCGCCGCTATCATGGCAAAGCCCAATCCTGTCGTGCGCGCACGACTTCATATTCCTATAGACCTGAGTAGGCTGTGGTCAGCCCCAATCCGATAACGGCTAGAGGGCGTGCGCTCAGTACAGAGAGAGTAAAGGCGCATCAATACACCTCATCAAAAGGCCTGGTATCCTTGAAACAACTCTCAAAGACCTCATTAACGACCTTTCTCGCAGTCTCTTCGTCAGGACACAGCGGATTCGCCGCCAACGAGTCAACCGCCCGTCTCCGCACACACTCCTGGTGCTGACCCGCCACGCCAAAGACCCCCCTCGCCAACTCACTCGTATACCGACAATCCCCACTCAGACTGTTCGCCCGTATCTCCGAACATGCCTGGTGCCGCAAGTTCGCCCAATCCACGCGGAATTTGCAGTCGTCATACATGTGCACGAGCTCGTGCGCCATGGTGCGCTCCATGTGTCTCCGGCTGTAGAAGTTGGACGCGCAGAGGATGATGGCGCCGCGCTCGGGGTCGTACCCCCCCGCGCGCGTCTGGTTGCAAGGGCCGCAGATGAGGTTCCGGGCCGGGACGCGGCAGCCGCTGAGGGCGAGGTGCTGAAGCATGAAGGTGACGACGGGCGAATTGTCGATCAGCCATTGCTTGTTTTTCTCGCAGCGCGCAATGTCGCGCGTTTGTCGGGATGTGGAGGGGGTGCCAGTGGACAGTCCGACGCCGGTCATTTCACTGGCCCAGCTGCGCCATCGTTCAAAGGCAGACGAGGGATTGGAAGTCGATGTAGAAGGCTTGGGCTCACTTTCTGAGTCCATGATAGCTCTGCAAGCATCGGTAAATAATAACGAGAAATGGGATGTCGGACAGTACGTACCTCTATCCACAGGTCTGGTCTTGTAGTGGGCAAAGGCTTACTGTGGCTAATCAGCACTTGACAGAAAACGTTATGTAATGTCGGACTTTGTATATTCTGTTTTCGGATCGGCGGCTCCGTCATAAAAGAATGTATATAGAGGGTAGTAAGTTACGACGTTGCCTCTTTAAGACTAAAATACTTTGATCGCCGTCCTCCGGCATTTCCCCAAACTCTCAATCGAGTCCATCGGCACACCGCTTCCCAAGCCGATCCTTACCAGTCGATGATCTCACTTCAGAATGAATATGTGTGAGAAACTCTTTACTTACATTTTGAAATTCGTCCTTTCAGAAACTATTATATATATATTTTAATGTGTTGGTCAGGTTACCATCACATCAAATTAGTAGTAACAAAACACGGCTGACACAATCATTTTTTTTTCAAGAAACTACCAATTGGAGACCCCACTAAAAATAGCCATAGCCATTGATGGCCGTCGCACGGCAAATGTGACTGAGTGGTTCGGCTCAGCGCTTCCGAGCCGTAGCACAGTGTTTCTGTCATCCACTCTCCAAAGCAACACTATTGGTAAGTCATCTGCACATCTCTGGGGTAAGATGCCCGCATAGTTTCCCCAACAGCCCTTGCACTTCGCAAGATCTCCTCCCTGCAGGTAGAAGTAACATTAATGATCAAATAATGTAATAGCCCATGTGTAAAAATAAACCCGACCCGTTCCACTTGGCACTTGCTATCCATCCGTTTACCCGTCATTTGGCCAGATCTCAAGGGGGCGGGGGCAGGGCCAATTCATACAGTCAAGTCTCAAATGTGACGTACATATCCTGCAAGTAAAACGAGCCCTATTTCAGCCGCCAACTCTATTATTACACCTTTTTTCTTTTTTTTTTTTTATGCGAGCGTCCTAACACCTAGAAAGCAACAACACAAGAGAGCAAGAGTCCGGAACAATAGGTACAGGTAAGTAACGATAAAACTACATTATAAGTAAGGTGTGAGTGAGATAAGCTGGAGGAGTCAATAAAGATGCAATGCCTATTAGTACAAGTCCGAGTGAGTCGTAGTCCATAGTCCATGGTTCTAATGCAAAGGTATCGTAAACATCGTCAAAGAGCGTTAAGGGTACGACCAGGCGCATCCGTAAGGGCAAACTTAGTCCAAAAAGCGCGAGTCCGAGTGTATAACAACAGATGTTCGAGTCCGAAACGAAACATGTCCATGTTTACAATGTCCATGCAATGGGCAATTGTCTTTTTTAAGAGTGTCCTCGTAAAGAGTCCAAGAGGGAGGGATTAGCATCCTCGTACGTCGAGATTGAATCCTATACTTCCAGCCTCTTCTGGACTTTCGCTATCGGAATACCTAGTCGAGATCCTCAAGGTAAGTATTATCAAGAAACATACGAAAAGCGAGATACCATACCCAGGATAGGAAAACGGGAATGAAAACTGGTCATGGCGTATAGAATCGTACCAAGTTCGCTTCGCACATCGGAACTATCCATGGGTGGCCACGATGATTCCAAAGTATCGAGCTCCCGGACAATGATTTCCGCCGCTGATGTCCAACAAGTCTAAAAGAACATCATATCATATAAGTGAACGCCTTCCCACCGGCATGAGAAACGGACTTACGCCAACTATGGGATCCAGAAAGTTAAAATCGGAATCCGTCATAGATTTAATAATCAAGGCGCAGGCTCTAGCAGCCCGAGAAGATCTGTCATACGAGTGGGCATCGTCACGAGCGAACGGCTGGTGGAGGATTATTATAGAAGCGTGCGCAAGAGTATGTACTGTGATTAAGATTTGTCTATCGTCAGGCATCGTTGCATCCATTGAATGTACTGGAGGCAGTGTTGATAAAAACCGCGTGATTGTAATCTCTAGCGCTCGTATCTGTTCTTGATTCCCTGGTGAGGGTTTTCCTAAGTGGAGTGGTAAATTTAGCATGAAAGTGATGATCATATGGAATCGAAACACCGTACGAGAGTCCCACGCCCGGGATAGCTGGTCCGCGTGGCCGAAGAGGGTGGAGGCCTTTGCACGCAAGGTCTGCAGCGAGAAGCTCCCCGAGGCTACATCCCCATTCAAGAAACTCGCAATGGTGTGGTACGGGGAGTTTGACTCGATATAACCCTGGATGAAATTCGAGATCAGCGTACGCGAACAGAACGGGAAAAAAAAGTTTCAGGGTTAACGGACCGAGTCATACTCCGCCATGTCTCGTGGCCAAGGGCAGGTTATCGAGGTCCAAGGGTTTGACCCATCCGGCAGGACAGGAGGCTTCCTAAGCACGACGGACCAGCATCGATCCAGGTTGTATACTTGCCAGAATGCCAGAACGCGCTCGCCGCGTCTCAGATCGATCTTTTGCGGCTTGAGATCGAAAGACTCTGTGGAGTCGTTCATCCACTGATGATGCTCTGGTGAGACATCCACGTGGAGGCCCATTTGGATCGCCAGGGCAGCCGCGGCGCTGGCGTGGTAGCTTCCCTCGAGCAGCCGCCCATTTGCGAGGAAGTAGAGAGATAGGAGGCACGAAGCTTGTATGATGTCCAAGACTTTGTCGGCAAGCCGAAGGCCTTGCTGGTGTGCCTGGACGGCCTGGGTGAGGAAGTGATCCTCGTGCTCACAGAGAGGCTCTGGCCGCGAGACAAAACAGGCCCAGAGATAGATGGCGTTCATGAGGGCGGGATGACGCTGTTCCGACATGGGGAGGTTGAGGCTATCCCTGAGACTGCCCATGTGCACTTCAAAGCCGCACTGGTGACGATGAGGGGCAAAGAGATCCAAGCTAGATGCGACGCATCAAAAGATCAGATTGTGTAATGACATGGATGACGCAGGACTTACAGGGCGGGTGCAAGGTCGAATGGGCCAGGAATCTGGGGCTCGTCAAAGAATATCTCGGAGGAAAAGGGAGTGGCTGAAGGAGATACGCCCTACGAGAGAGGATCAGAAAGAGATATTAATGAGAGACCTAGACTTGCTGGTAAATTTGTCCATGGTCGTGCCGGTGAGCTGGTCGTGTCTATAGGCATCGCATCAAATTTTAGTCCGCGGACAAATTGCAGCCAGGGAACTGACCAGAGGGGAAGGGGGAATGTGATGCAGAAAACGAAGTACTGCCCGGAGAGCCCAACGAAGATGATGAGGATTCAGAATGATGATAGGCATGAGGGTCGTGCAGTGTGATGGCAGGTGATACGTATTCGGGATCTTCGAGCTCCCGTATACGCTGTTCGAGACGAGCTATTGTCTCCTTGAGAATCTGTGTCCGCGTCTTGCCCTTGCCATCATCATATTCACAGCAATCTGCTTTCTTGGCACGCACACACTGCTGACACGCTGGTTTCATACCGTCACATCTCTATGAACGCGAACTGATCAGATCATGGAGCGCTCGGATGCAAAATAAAAGGGTACCATCTTCCGTTTCCTGGGTTAGGGGGGAGGGGGTTGGGGTGGGGTAGGGTAGGGTGAAGAAACGTGATAAGAATTGCTGTGATATTCGAGGAAATGCGCGCACTGACCTGCACCGCAGACACGCCTTGCCTCTTTGCAAAGCTCCCTGTGCACCACCAGCGACCATCGCTATCTTGTTGGCCATCAAAGAAATATAAAACAATGCGGGGAACGATCTACAATGCAAAGAAAGACCGATTTTCCCGGAAATATACCGCGGTCGGAGCAACGTTCCAAGAAGAGAGACAAGAAGGAAAGAAAAGGGAGTCGAGGCTAGTGAAAAGACAGATGCAGAACGATCCAGTTATGCATGAAGGCCGGAAGGGCTGGCGGAAGCGAAACAGAGAAAACGAAGGCAACTCATATGGATGCTTGTCTGTTAATAAAGGAAGATCAAGTGTTTTGGGCCGCACAGCCAAAACGGAAAGCACGGGGTACGTTTACAGTTTACTCACATTTGGCAACACACACAGGGTCATCCCGATCTGAGATCCACACACCCATTAATTTCCAAATTTCTTGTTCCGGTAATTTCTGAAAAGGCGTCGTCCAATTCCTGACATAACGCCACAATCTTTCTTACGCTTCCTTTATCCCCGCCTCCTCTGCACATGAGTAGTTCCTGAGGCAGCAGGGGGCGGGAAGGATTTCTGGGGATTTTTGGGACTGTCATTTCGTTCTGTACCTTTGTCTGTACCAGGCAAACGCGTTTTCTCTCACATCGGGCTGTTGAACCCGCGCTGCCAGTCTCTCGGAGGATGGGCTCCGAATGGGCATTGCCTCGGCTCGTCCGTTCCGGATAGATGAGACTCCTTTTGTTCTGGCTCCTTTATATCATCATCATCGTTCAAGTAAACTTTTTTTCATGAAAGAGTAGAAGAACAGGGATCAGGACGAATGATAGTCAGGAGCACGCCTACCCTGACTTGACTGACTGCTTGGCAGCGCATCGGACACCTTTCCGTTGATCCTAGTTTCGGGTTTGGACGGCAAGGCAAGGAACCGACAATCATGACCCAGATGATGGGGGCCGGAAATAATTCATACATCTTGGGGGGGCTTCTCTTTCAAGCTTTAACCTAGCGCCAACGTATACTCCAATTTCCAATGCCCACGTCGGCCCGTTTCGGATATGACTCATCTGTACGGAAGGCGATCCCTGTGCTCGCTCTGGAACGAACCCCCTTGCTAACTACGCAAATACGCGGCCCGCTAACTGTGCATTCGAAATCTGATACGAACTCGCCGGAAAACAGATGTGCGATGAATCGAATCGCTGATGCTTGTCGACGATTCATGGGTGAAGCAATAGTAGTGGTCCGCACTCAAAACACCTCCGAGGGCAAAAGCCACACGACTTATTAGTCTAGCCCTTGCCCTTTTTCAGATTCCAGTTCTTCTCAGGCAGGCCCGGATCCGTAGGCTCTTAATGTATTATTATTATTATTCCAGGCAACCGCCGTGATAGATAATCTATTTCCTCCAAATGGTCATAACCAGTGCCGAATATGTTGTTGTACACCCCGTGACTGAGGAATTGTATGGTACACGACTGTACACAAGTCGCTGCGGCGCTTGAAAGGGTTTGCCTCCGTCAATTAACCTGTGGAGCTGCGCATGTTCCGTTTTCGATGGCTGCTACGAAGATCATAGGTACGAGCAAGGTACGCTTCTGCGCAGCGGTCTTCGTGACGTCGTTCTCAAGGCTTATTTTGTAAGATTGTGTGTGTGTTTTTTTTTTTTTTTCCTTTTCCCCTTTCCAATGCAACTCATGGGGACACCTGATGCGGGTTGCCATCACATCCTCGCGGTCTTTTGTCTATTTGTTTCACCCCAGGCTACTCAATTCTCATCCTCGTATTTACTCTGCAACAAATGACATTTATGAACACACAAAATTTTCCACAAGCCTGCCACAGTGAACCGTCGGCTACCGCGGCATTTGCGGAATTATTAAGGCTTCAACCGTGCCGTGCGTATTGTCCACACACGTCAACGGAAAAGTGTGGACCCAACGACTCCAGACCAGCTCCTCAGCTTTGTCATTCCCAGGGTTTATCGGACACCTTGTCTTCAAATGCCGCTTGCTTCGTTCAGACGACTCTCGGAACTTCAAATTTCAACGAATAATAATATTAATGTGTTTCAGGACCAAACACCAAAATTTCCAAACGCGATCGCTCCAGCGCCCGTTCTAAGGATCGACATGCGGATATAACACAGACAAGTGGGGGGGGATAAAGTACATAGCGAAGACGTATGTGAATTCCAGAACGACTATAATATAACTGGTAACCAAAGAGACGAATTAGATGTCAACCACTCTCTTAGGAAGCAACGTCATCTCACTCACGCATAAACTACAATGATTAGATCAGAATGCACCATTTACATGCATGGAGGTGACGCTAGTGTTGGAGTGCGTACGTGACGGAACCGCCGGAGGGAGCAGCAACGGTGCCATCGTCCCCTTGGCATCATGCTGTTGTTCAGCTATCCGCTTTTCTCGCATGTGTGCTTGTCTCACATACGAGTAGCGCTGAAAGTGGTTGAGTGTTTGCAGGAACAATACACCCACCTATCAATGAATCTTAATATCAAAAATGGACCGACCGATTCGCAACCTTACCGGATATGCACGGAGCTGATTGAACAGGTCCACCGTCTGGTCCCTTATCGACTCCTTTTGGTGGAAAAGCCCAAACGCTAGGGGGAGGAGACCGCCACTATGGGGCATTAGATAAGACAGAAACTGTAATGGAGTTATTTAATGACTTAGCCGGGGCAAAAACCAAAAAAAAAATAATTAAGCATGAAAGGACTCACCTCCACTACCTGATCGTAGGTCTTGACATTTTCAATAAGCGCACACATGACCAAAGACACTTCCGAGTCCGGGATCCTTTTGGCATGCCTGAGCCGGAAGATTTGATGTACAACGTCAAAGCCTTTGATGGGGTTCGTCGTCAGCGACTTTTTGAAATCCTGAAGTTATAATTTGCCAAGGGTGTCAGGAAGGTGGTGTGGTGGACAATAAAACAAGGGAGGACAGACCATAGCATAGTACTTATAGCTGTTCGTCCTTTTCCAAGCCTCGACGCGATGGCAGTTCGAAGCTAGTTCCTTGTGACCCAAGGCCTCGTCGTTGAAAGCAATGCCGCTCCCTAGCTGATGTCGAGAAGCGCTCCCATCCATGAAAGGCCCACTAGGATACCCAATACTTGTAATACCAGTCGCCTCCTCTTCATAGCGTGATGCCAAGCGCACAAAACGGCCAACGTATTCCGTGAACCGTGCCCGAACCAGGCTCTCCCCATAATGATACTCAATGGCAGATTTAATCTACGGACAAAGGAAGATCTACATCAGGCAAGTTCAATGATGGGAAGGAACAACATCACACATACGTCTTCGATGAACACTGTATCCGTGTTGTGGTCTGCTTTCGGTACAAAGTCAACCTTGTCTTTGCTAGGGACTTTCTGGTAATCCTCCTCGGATGATTCAGCCTTCAGTGTTCCGCTCCGGGTTATAAAAGGTGCAACGAAACCAGAACCACTGGTTATTGGGTAGTTGGTATGGATATCCTTTGCCACAGTGACTGTACCCGTGCCAATATCCAGGAGAAGATCCCAGGCACCTAACGCTTCGAAGATCGGGTTTGTTACACCCGCGATGTACGCAGGACTAAACTTGAAGCGATTAATCGGACCGTGACGTGAAAGACAACATATAAAAAGACGTACACAGACTCCCATTCTTCTCTATTATTGAGATTCGCGTATGGAAAGGCTCTTTCTATGAAACCTCGGAGAATAGCCCCGCAACCGGATGCCAGTGCGCATGCGGACAGCACGAAGCTTGACACTTCCCCCGCGGGTCGTTTATGACCCAAAAATATTATCCGCTTACCAGTGATCAACGCGTTGAAGAGGACGATAATCGGATGCGTTTGAGGGCCGTTCGTATGGAGATGGGGATGCAACGGACCATTCACGGTGGCGCCGAAAACTTTAATAAGTGTGATCAGGGAGTACTAGGCCAAGAACAACATCATGAGTCCGCGATGCATTAGAGATGAAGTAAAGTTTCTTGCTTACATCACCAACCTCTTCAGGAAACGTCGAAAGCGGCATTCTAATAGGCAGCTGGTGATCTCGATACGCCACAGTGGTATGAAAGAAATGGGTATCTTTAGTCCAGCTGGATCGTAGGTCGTACGGTACATGACCTGGGTGTAACGGCGGTGGCCTAAGGGTAGATCCAACGAGTGACGACGCAGAGGAGGCATCCGTTGAGCGTCTCTTTCGACTAGAACCCACTAGCGTGCTGCTGTTAGCCAAGGACGCGACGGCCCCGTCCTCGCCTTCCGCAGAAGCATTTTCCAAGCCGCTTTCTTCCCCTACCCAGACAGCACTACCGCCTAGCGTGAACGATGAGTCGGAAGGTGGAGTATGTGATTGCCGTGTCTGTGAAGAAGACCCGGTCGTGCTCTCTGTATCCGTTCTGTCTCTTGGCCTCACTGTGTTCTCCCATTCCCGCCCCCTGTTCTCATCAGCAGCTCGCTCCTTCTCCTTCGTCCGCATCATGATACCCTCTTCAAAACTCGAGTAAGACCCAGCGGAAGGCGTCGTCCGATGCGCAGGATTCCTGCTGCCACTTGCACCGAAGGACACAGATGAAGCATTCTTGATATTAGCGAACTTTTCAGCAAAGATGTCCTTTCGCTCTGAGAATCTCATGACCATCTTCTCGTGTCTGTTCAGGATTGGTGCGCCGGAAAAGTCCATTGAGTTGACGGCATCAAAGAGACGTGCTAGACAGTCTTGCGAGGGATCGATGAGGTAGTCGTCGAGAGCCATTAGCAAAACGGGCTGGAAATAATAGATTTAATGAGCCTTGGTAACAGCAGCAGCGCACTTGCCTTGAATATTTGGATAAATGGATGTCGCGTACATATCGCCAATGCCAACACCCTTGCTCCTCTATCCAGCGCCTAGCATCAGCGTATTTCTCTGGACAGGCCACAGCGAACGCACCGATTCAGTGATTTATCATGCTTGGTCCTCACCAAGTTCAGCACGCAGAGCAAATCCGGCTGGTCGCCTTGCGACGACATCTCCTCTCCTGGCAACCCCACCGTCTTCACGTCTGGCGAGTCCAGGCCGACCACAGGCGAGATAGTATTGAACGGCGTCTGGTTCAGGAAGAATACCGTCCAGTCGTCGACCTGCATTTCAGCCCCGTCCGGGAGCATCGACATGGCGAGGACCCTACCGATGATGATGAATACCTGGTCGCCGCCAGTTCGAGTGGGCTATGCACTCACGATTCATCGACACCGAGAGGCTGAGGGAACTGGTACTTGAGCTGCGCGCCTTCGAGGATGTGAAATTCAGCCAGGAGGACGAAGGAGCAGTGGTTTCCTTGGCAGCTCATCGTGGCTCATGCAAACTGTTGGTGGCCGCCAGAGAGCGCCGGTCGTGCTGTGATGTATTTGCCTGCAGTTCTGTGAATCGTACTGTCGCTGACTGCCAGGGAGGAAAGTATCGTGAATGCGTTCAAGAGATGGTCGCCGGAAGCAGATGCATTTGTTATGTCTTTCATCACGTCAGTTTCTGCGCTAATCTTTTCCTTGTCTTGTACTATTCTCGACGGTACTGCAACAGTTTGCTTGGCATATTTACATTATTCAGGGCTGTTTTTCACAATCATTTTTAAGCAGTAAACGTTCAACATCACTAATTACTGGTACGCATTTAGTAAATACTACATTCAATAACAATCACAGACGAGTTAGTCCTTCAATTATAAAAACAAAAAACACGACAGGACCACCAGTCCTGAAATTAATAAATCTACTCTCCAGGGTATAATGATCACTGCCGCCGATTTAGCAGTGCTGCTTGTCGACGTTCCACTTGTCGCCGCTCCGGGTGTGCCTGTGGTAGTCCGAACCGACGAAGTGAGGGATTGTTCAGAAGAGTTGGAGGAGGGGTTCGCACCTGATCCCCCCGCCGCGCTTGATAACTGGGCAAATCCAATCGCTGGGGGATTTGAGTCTCTGAACACGGAGTACACATTTTTCTTCCCAAACTTTCAGTCGATTACCATGACATCGATAAACGCAGACACTGACCAAGAATGTTGCTCCGACGACCCATCCCGGGTTCCCAGTTCCTTCCGGGATATTGCTTCCAGCCGTGAGGTCAAAGATTCCCCCAAGACACATACTGCTGCCAGTCGTGGCGGGGCCCAGATTCATGTCCTGGCTATTAATCGGCCAAGCCTTGCCACCAAACGACATTGTCACTTCGACATCGGTGGTGCATGCTGAGAAAAATTATTATTTAAACGTCAGTTGACATGTAAGGGAAGACGCGCCACTCACGAAATTCGTACAGCCCTTCCTGTCCTCGGGCCTGTTGCGCGCCCGGAACCTGAGCCCATAAGGAAGCAACGTCTGCAGACGGGCCACCAATCAGAGTTGTTCCGGTGTCGATCGCAGACAGCGCGGTGGTTCCGCTCGTGGTTACAGTAACGCTTTTGTTTTGGACGGTAAGTGCTGAAACACGAATCAGGTGAAGGCGGAATGCGTAGACAACAATAAGAACCTGCCTTGGAGCTCTAGAAGCCAGAATGACGGCGTCGACGCGGACATGTTCAGAAACTCAATATCTCCGGTGAATAAGGTGGAGTTGGTTCCTCCGAGCGTAAACACGCCTCCCGATACTTCTGATTGTACGTCTGATTCACCACGGTGCCTGGCAAGCCAAAAGCTCATTTCCGGAGATGTCAATTTGTTTCCAGCGACGAGGGCTTGCCAAAAGGGCGTCGCCTGTGTCGAAGCGATCTGTTCGAAAGCGAGTCCCATGATACCTGACACGGAACCGCTCAACAAGCTGCTTGTTGTCTGGTCAACGGCCACTGCAACAAGGTGAGAGTTTGATAGCACAAGAGAGCATTTAACGCACAAAAGATTTGCTGGGTGACGTTGAAACCTCCCATTGACACTGTATCAGAGGAAAGCGTTCCAGCCACAGCTCCGGAGCCATATCGTATGGTCGTCTCAGAGCTGGTGCCGGATGCTGTTTTCAACGTGGATGATGCTTGTGTGTCGAACAAAGGCGTCGAAGAAGAACAGCCCGTACAACTCGTATCAGCAACCCACAGATCCGAAGAACCTGTGTCGAGAATCACGTTGAAAGATTGGGGCCTGGAGGAGACCGTCAGAATCACCCGAAATTGAAAAAGAAAACCACTGGGCCCCGGCGGAACGATGGAGGTGTCAAAGCGAGGCACAGAGCGCGCTGCCGATGAGCGGGAATTCGTTTAATATTTTTCGTAGCCGGGGCCATCTATCAAGTGTGCCACTTGGGAAATGACACTCACGGCGTTCCAATGTTGACAGTCGCAAAATAACTCGCATCGGTGTTCTTTAAAAAGAGAACGATCAACTCAACGTCAGCCAAAAAAAAAAAAAAGGCGGCGACGGACTTGATCCACAATACCAATACCAGCGGTACCCTGCCTCTTTCGAAGCCGCTTGCTCTGGGATGTGGGGAAATAGCCGTATTTTGCCCTGAGGGCATCCGCAGCAGCTGCGTAATCGACTGCGCGCGCCCCGTTGTTCCTTATGGAGACATGTACGGGTTCTGCAGACGTGGAAAGAAGAAGGAAAAACAAGAAAAAGGGAAAAGTGAGCATGGTAGTCATGAGGAAGAGAATGAAGGGAGCCTGTGGCCAAGCACAGATGAAAGCCGGGAAACCTGTTCTGTGGCAGCGTGTGACCCTGAGGAGCAGATTTATATCGCGTACACGTGCCTTCCCGAAACGCTGTCTTGGTCTATTCAGTAAACTGGCCATTGCAGCCCTAGGTCCTACTGCCAGAAATATCTTCGCACCCCCCCCGGATTGTCGTATTCGTTTTGTTTTTATCAGCCCATTAATTCTCTGCTGTACGGCCTGATTGGCACGTTTTTATCGTGGCAGCAAAAGCCTTGAACGAGATATCTACTGCTCGCGTTGGTCGCAATTTTTTTCCGGCTAGGACCCAACTAATAACACTTTGTAGCACTATGCTCTCACCACACTGAACGCATGAGAACCGTGCTGCGTACCCGACTTGCCCGAGCTGATCAACTCTTGTTTACTTTTTGCCTCCGTTTCGTGATTACATCACTCTTTCGTTCGGATCTTCCAGAATTTCGCGCGCACGGTGTCCAGCTTGGTAATTTTCCAAGTTTCATTCCTGGTGGGTGGAGACCTTACTGATTAGGGACCAACCGCGCTGTTATTTGCAGTAGCGGCACGCGATCGCCAAAGTAAGACACGACGCGTAGCGCCGCGTCATACATTCAGTCGTAAACCAAGCAACGGGCAACAGTGGCCGCATTCCTGTCAATTTCTTAGGGTTATACAATGTCGTGCTGACGCTTTGCATCTTCGGACTGAGGTCAGTGGCCCATTTTACCTGCTCTAACTGAGTGTGGCTTCCTTGTTACGAGCAAATCATGGTTCACACGTGGCCACCATGCTATTGTCCCTTGTTTGGTTCGGAGTTTCTCCGGATTAATTGATATTTAGTTATGGTACGTACTTATTGTTCCAAAAGTAGACCTTCCTTCAACTCTTGCCATCTTTGCCTTCTCTTCAGGTTCATCAAGGTCTCTCAGACAGGAATCCCCATCCATAGCATGCTCATCGACGTAAGTATTAGACCTTTCATCTATGTCTTGGTTTCCATCTTCATCGCCTTATCAGGATCATTCAATTTTTTATACCTAGTGATGCGGTTGGCTTTCCAGCTTCCCATGACATTGGAAGTTTCGACACCGCGTTAGTCTAGTTGCTCCCACTCTACTTGGTCTTGTCGCAGGTTTCATCCTTCACTCGCTTTCAGTCTCTGCCTAGTATCCTAGGTCCGTTGACAGGTGGCACCTATGCTTTGGTTTTTGCTATTCCGTGAATCGGATGATTCGGATTCGTCCTCGGACATACTTAGTATGCATTCCTCCCATATGGGGGCACCTATTCTCTTACACAAACACGTTCCCTCCATCAATTACAATGGTCTGTCCGGTCATATAATCCGAATCTGGCCCAGCTAGGAACGAGACCAACTTTGCTGGATCTTCTGGTACACTTGTCCGCCCCAAACAAATCGAATCGGTAAACCTGGCAAAGTTCTGGCCTATTGGCAGGCCATTTATCTCGCTCATTCCCCTGTCGATCTCTTCCCACATAGCTGAGGCCACGATGCCAGGGGCGTAGGCGTTAACGGTGATACGGTGACGTCCAAGTTCCATAGCGAAGGACTGTGTTAGGCTTCGCACCGCGGCTTTCGTAGCGCTGTAATGTGCGAGGAGATGGTTTGCTCGAAATGACGTCCCGCTGCAGAGGATAAGGTAACCATCATTGGTAAGCTCGACGGCCTACCTAGCGGCATTGAGAATCTTCCCAGCGGTTCCCTGTTTCATGAATTGCTTCGCAGCTACTGTATCGCTGTTGAAGACCCCCATGACGTTAACCTCGAAGATTCGTCGAACGTCGTCTTCGGTTATATCGAGGATGGATTTGGAGTGAGCAATACCCGCATTGGCGACCATGACTGTGAGTGGTCCGAGGGTGTCAACGGATGTTTTCACGATCTCCTCCACTTCTGCACGTTTGGATACATCCCCACAGGCGCTGACGGCGCGTCTGCCGAGCGAAGTGATCTCTTCCACAACCTGCATGGAAACCTTACTACATAGCAGATACTTATGGTACGGTGGGAGGACTTACTGCTTTGGCCTGTTTAGCATTCGATGAAAGATCGTTAATGCAGATATCGAATCCGTCTTGGGCGAGGCGTAGAGCTATTCCTCGTCCACTTTGGAAGGTGTAAAGTCAGTCGATAGTCAGATCACTCGCCATCGATCGTGACGACCCACATTCCTTGACCGGCGCCAGTGACGATAGCCGTACGGGGAGAAGCTGTGGTGGCCCTGTGTACTTGCCGTACAGATGCAGTCTGCCAGCGAGTAGCGTAGTTCAACGTGGATGAAATTCTGCTCATCATTGCGAGAGAAAGAACGCAAGTCAGCTACATGTGTTGTATCCCACGGCCAACGGGAATCCGAACTAGTTCTTCCATAATGCCTAATAAGATAATAATGATAATGATATATATATTATACTGTTTGCACATAGCATACAGTTAGGACCCCTTAGCTCAGTGGTAGAGCGTGTGATTCCAGTTTTTCGGGCATCCACAAGGTCGAGCGTTCAACTCGCTCAGGGGTCATCTCTGGTTCTTCTCGGTTGTTATAAATTTATTATTTTCCTTCTTTAAAATGTAAATACCGGAGAGGAAGAACTATCGCGAAATGTAGAAGAGGGGATGGGGGGATGGAGGGATACCGATCGGCAATCGGCGATCAACGATCTCCACTGTCGGAGAAAGCCGAGCGGCCTTTGAAATCCCAACGCGTTGATTTTGACACGCGCTTCACGTGACCTTACTGCATCTTATCACCAACCGTCATGTCCTTCCCTTCTGTGTCGGCCTGGAAATGGTCGACAGGTCATCGCGGTCAACATTCCTCTCCCTCGTCATCACCGCCGTGCTCGTCGTCTCCGCCAACATCGCCGTATCCTGTCTATTCTCAGTATCAAGCCTGCGTACAGTCAAGCCCAAGTCCTGGATATTGTAGCGATATTCACGGCTCAGGCAATGGCGCGTCGAATTGGTTCCGGAGGGAACTGCATCCCCTCAATTTTCCTCATCCCAGAGTGCCATGCAAGTTACCAAGTTTTCATTCCATGTTTGGAGATTTACCACCACCCATGTCTGATGTGGAAGAATATTCTGACGTCGCCGACACCCACCTCTTTCATAATAACATGGCCAGCGACATCCCTCCAAGCCATGCCTCTGTTTTCTATACAGACAGCGAAGAGGAAGACCATGATCTGGAGGACGAACTCTACCTCGACACGGCATCCAGGGCGACGTTCTTCCGGGTATCTGAAGAACGGGGTCAATGGAAGAATGATCCTGTACCTTTTCAACCGCAGCCTTCGCATCACCAGCGCAATTCAATGCCTACTTCGTCTCGTCCGGTCGTACCAAGTCCTGACAGACGACTCGCCTCTGAACCAGCAGGAATTTCTATGAACCCGAATCATACCATTTGCGAAGATGTGGATTTCAGTCCCGCATTCACCCCAGAGTCGGATGACAGACAGGCTTCATACGATGCCGATGTTGATTCAGAGCTTATATCATCGGAATCAGAGATGCCAGACGAAGATAATCGACCCTACTCACCTTTACCCCCTTCGTCACCACCTCTGTCGTCAATGTCTTTTTCTGTATCCCCAGTGATCGGCCCTATGTCACCGTCAAGCGTTTCAGCTCTACCTCCACTGTCACCCGTTATCATTCCTCCGCTCTGCTCGGATGATACCGACATCGAGGGTATTCACCTTTCGGTGACCATAGACCCTTCATCGTCGCCACTTGTACGTGTCTTGGCGTATGGAGCTTTGCTATCGTTCACAGGCCTCACCCTTACAGGTTCAGACCAAATATGAAATTCCTGCCTGCATGATACCAGAAATGTCGATCACATGTGGCGCCGAGTTGGATACAATCACCGCCGCCATTTCAGCACCCTCATCTCCGAGTCCCGATGAAAGCTTGTTCGACAAGGATCCACAAGTAGTTTCTCAACCACCAGCTTTCTTTGCAGCCGATGTGAATACTGGCGCCGGAGATTCTGTCGTGTCCAAAGAAGATTTATCAGAGGACGCTGCTAGAGAGTTTGTTGTCACCATCAGTGATGCTCCGATGAAGCAGGAGGTTCCAGAGGTGCAGGATCAGATGGTCGAGGTCACGCTCAAGGAGAAGAATGGAGTTGATGCTATCGCGGCGGTAACGATGGGGCACGAGAAGCGCAAAAAGGACCAAGATGAGGGTCCGAAGAAGAAAAAGGCTCGGTTGGGTAGCCACTCGACAACGTCGGGTGCTGCCGGGGACGACGAAAACACTAGGACCTCGCAACTCGAAACGAAGATCAAGATCAAACCAAGGAAGCCTCGAAAACAAGCCGGACCTCCTCGACGTCGACGTCGACAGCTGTCGTACTCATCTTCAGACGAAGAGGACGAGGAGCCAGCAAAACGACAACCACCACCTCCACCGCCTCCCTTGAACTTCTCAGTCGAGGACGCTGAATTATGCGGTATGATCATCGAGAGCATGGCTGCATCTCGTGCTTCCTCGCATCGAGCCTCTTCCATCTACAAAGCCGTCATCCAGAACCGCCCCGCACTCAAATCACAACGAGAAGATCCGGAATGGATCGCTGCTATCAGGAGGGTGCTGGAAGAGGCCCATCGTATAAACGGAATGTTTGGTAAGGTGGAAAGCAGTGGCATGGTGAGTGCATCTGTGAGACTGTACTATCAGGCGCTAATATCATTGTGCCCGATTTAGGACGACTCGAATCGGCCCCTGGAAGCACAATGGTTCTATGTGCCGGAGCGGGACGAAGACCAGGAACGTGCGTCATTAATGAGGGCAATGATGCCTAGACCGGCGAAAAGGTCTGAAACGAAGAAGTATAAACAGTATTACTATCGCCCTTTGGGTAAGATCTCGCGTTGGGACTCTGAAGATGCTCTCTAGACATTCTTGCTTAATGCCCTTTTTGATGCCACCTATCATTATTACAATCTTCGCTCTGCGTTTCAACTTGTAGCACTATGATTTTACCATGTATTTTCGGTTTTTGTTCCTCGCAGCTGCATTTTTAGCGTATCGAGAAACCATGACGATCGCAATTCTTTGACGGCAATAATGATTATCGTAATTTCATATACAAAATACACATCTAAAGGTGAAATCATGGCGTAGGTGAGTAAGAAAAGAAGTCGAGCCTGTCTAACGTCTCTGGGTCTTTCCGGCCTTGCGTTTACCAGCAAAGAGATGTTTTGGCTAAGAGGAAAGGTTAGATATGCACATCATTACATCCCTGTAGATTGCTCACCATTTTGACTTTGATTGCACGGTCGCTCTCTCCGGCTTTCGCAAGCTGGTTTCGCGGCCGCTGTCCAAGATTTCGTAGCTTGACCGCTTTGGATGCTTGCTGGATACACGTGAGCAAGCAGAACCATAAAGCTCAGCAGATAGGCTTACCCCCTCGTCCCGTAAACCAGCGAGTTGTCGATTCGTCTTCGGTGCCCGTCTGTCCATCGCCACTACTGCCCCAGAATTGCCCTTAACGCGCTTGGTCGGCGCCTTCTCCTCCCCGTCGACGTCCATGCCGTCATCATCCTCACCGTCATTCTCCATGTCATCATCATCGACATCCATCTGAGCTTCCTCAGCCCTCTTCCGCTTCGCTCCCGCCACCTTGGCAAGCACCGTAGCACGCTCTTGTATCCGGCTGGGATCCAAGCCGGCCTTGGTCATCCCCTCCGTCAGATCTGATAGTGACCGCAGTGTCGCTGTCCGAGGCATACGAGCCTGGTTCTTTTTGCTCTTCTTGATACTCTGCGAGTGAATCTTGTGTGAGAGGGCGATTTTAGCCTCTTGAGCTTCGCGTTCGTCATCAGAGTCGTACTGGTACAAGCCTATTAGGTCAGAGAGAAGAGGAAATGGGAGATGCTTACCATCTCCTCTTCGCTGTCATAGAAGCCTTCTGTCTGCAGGCGCTCCTCTTCACGTTCAAGAGCGTCAAGCTTCTCCAAAATGTCGGGGTCAATGAAGTCGGCAATATTTTTGCCGTCCATGATTTCGGGTATGATATCCATCTTCCATTCGGGATTAGCAAGGAGATAGTCCTCTGTTGACACCATCAGTTAACGCTGGGAAAAGGGAACAGAGGCACGTACGTTTAAGGTTGATGTTGTAAACTCCAGGTCCACCCTCTTCCAGCTCGACATCCTTCTGTAATCGTCGCCTGTCAGGATCATCCTTGTCGAATTTCTTCCTGTTCTTAGCTGCCTCCGGTATACAGGGTGCACGAACTACGTCGTCACGCGCTTTAGGCTGTGCAACGTGTATCCGGTTAATGATGGAATTAATTTTGCTGCCCTGGATTTTGGTCTCGACACGGTGAGCGAGGAGCGCCTCGCAGGCCTTATTTTTGAGCTCCATCACGCCCTCCTCAGAATAGCATGATACCTGAATGCACTGCACGCCCTCAGAATCGATGATCTCTTGGACAAGGGCCCGAGAGTCCGGATGGATGTCTTCAAGCCGCATGACGTCGATTTTGTTGATGACGAGGAGAGTTGGCTTGCCGTTGAAGAGGGGTTTAATCGAATGGAAGAGTTTGCACTAGAACAATATCAGACAATTTGTAGTTGGGATAGAGCTGACTAGAACTCACTTGGGCTTCGACTGTATAACCGCACTGCTCACTCAGATCCATGAAATAGAGGACAGCACTCTTCAGATGAGCCAACGCCGTGATACTTTGCATCTCAATCGTGTTCATCTCCTCCAAGGGGTGGTCCAAGATGCCGGGCGTGTCGATGACCTGCCATCGAAGGTATTTGTAGTCCAGATGTCCCACAAATAAGGATTTTGTGGTAAAAGCGTACGGCTGAACGTCAACGTCGGCCCGAGTGACTTTGTTGATAAATGAGGATTTTCCGACGTTGGGGTAGCCACAGATAAGAAGAGTTCGGGTATTGGGATCGATAGCAGGAAGACGGGATATATGCTGGCGCACTTGTTCTAGGTATGCGAGGGGGTCCTTTTGACGACGCATGATCGTGGCCATCCTATAGCAAGCCTTGGTTTCCCGCAAAGTAGAGAAAATAACTGAGTTGCTCACCGGCCCAGAGCAGCCCTTTTCAGCTGCTTGCAGCGGTACAGACTGTCACCGTACTTGATCAGCCTAACAAAGTCCTTCGCTACATTGTCGATGAGATTTTGAGCAGTGCGCAGTTGACCGAGCGCGAGTTTGTAATGATTCTTGTCGTAAAGGACATTCATGAGAGAGGAAAGGAATGGGTGTAGATCCTGCCTTGAACATGAGCTTCATTTCAACATGTAAGAAAAGCAAACGCACGTCCAACATGGGGAAGTCGTTCAGTATTGCACCCAGCTTTTCGTCGAATGTATCTTGCGTGAATTTGACCTTTCTCATATAGAAATTCCGTATACGGCTGATTTTGAAGTTTTTGTGAATGACCTGTGCAGCAAATGAGTCCTTCCTTGGGTGATAATTAAACGAATTGAGCAGACCGTTGGCGTCTTCCGCTGTGTTTTGGATAACACAATGTCCAAGAAATCTGCCGCCGTAGGGACTGGCGCAATGGCCTTGAGACCGCTGGTCGACATGGTGGCAAGATAAAAGGTGGAAGGTAGAGTGCAGCTTTTACTCAGACAGACTAGAAAAGAATTTTTGATAGATTTCCCACGATGGCATTTCCACGTGTTGAGCTGGATCTTATCTGATCATCTTAAGTGTATATCGAGACCACTTTCAACCGCGACACCTCTCCACTTATCGCGACGCTCCAGTTCCTCCACTACCAACAAACATACCATACCTATGTGTGCTGTATTACTCGATTTCTACTACTAGTAGCTCTGGCCTTGGATATTTCATAAAGCGGTCAGAAAGCTCATTCTTTCTCAGGACCAGCTGTTATCCAACAGAGAGAAATCTATCTCCAGCCCCGAACAAGGCCGAAAGGGAACTGACTGCAGGAAAGGTTTCGGAAGGTTTTGCGCCTCCAGAAAGAAAAGCAAGAAAAGAGATCCAGATCTTCAAGAGAGGTAAGAATATTCTTACAATACAAGGTCGATTGACTTACCAGTAGGAAGACCGGCGGCGACATTACTTGAAATCCACTCGGATATGGATCGTCTCAGACACGAGAATGACAGGTTTCTTAGGGAGTTTCACCGGACGCACGAAACTCTCCACAACCAACAAATTCAACATCAGGAGGATCGCCGTCTCCTTCACAGCCGAGGGAAGGAACTAGAGGACACGCGTACTTTCTCGAACAATATAGACACATATTATTTCGTCGACATAAAGTCAATGATGGAGTCGCTGAACTCAGAAATCCGTCAGCTGGCTGCCTACATGTCTGATACGCTGTCCGGCAATGGGATAAGGGTTGAGATAACTGAGGAGGATACCAACCGTGCGATGATGCGATCAAAATGCTACCTTGACGATCGCATTCTTGCGCTCTTGATGGGCAGAGACACAAATGATGCAGGACACAATGGCGTCCTTCAGGTCGCTTTCCAAGCGGCGTTGTCATTGAGTGTACTGATTACCTCAGGCTCTGAGCTTTAGAGTCCACAGAACATAATATTTTATGTCAGTTGTATGCAAGGGTTCAGGAATCCAATAAGTTATATGTATACTATGCTTTCCGTATTCATCTAATCCACAGCCGTAGATACAGCTGCGGTAGCTGGAAGATGGAGAGTATTGACTATCGCAATGAGCAAATATCAATCATCTTCGAGAGTGGAACAGTATCTATTACATCGCCTTGGCAAAGTCATCGTTTTAGGTGGGTGGGTCATTCTAGGCAAGACTGAGACAATCCGAAATGCTTTCTGCGGACGGATCGTGGAAATCGCAAAATTAGCGATCAAGTTGGACAGTGCGATTAAAGAAGGGATCACATCCCAGGACCTGGACGCCTATTTCGTGGGTCCTGGAGTATGATTCTGTCACGATGAATGGCGCCTACGGCAACCCCAAGACGGCGGATGAAACCGTCTCGTGCACATGTGAGCTTGGATTGAAGTCGTCCGATGATAAAAGAAAGACGGCCAGAATTTTGCTGAAGGCAGGGGTAGTCGTTCCGTCAGCGCTCGTATAGCTATGTTCATATCTGTCGATTTGAAAACAGTGTCAATTGCGATATCTGGTATCCGGTGAAAGCAGTCACAGATTGTCGTACGGAACACAAATTACTTGCTACGAAGGCATAAGAAAAATGCCGACAAAATCACATGGGTTCCGCTGGCCAAGCACAACTTCTGGCTCGGTGGTCGCTTTCTAGGATGAAAGAAGCTACAAAGTCAGGGATAGGTAAAACTCATCGTCTTATCTGAAATAATGAATTGTCAGGTTCAGCAACACGTGTAACTGAACACCTTCTGCAGGTGTAAGATTCTTGCGCATGCACACTGATTGAGTTTTCACAATGAAACAGTGTTCAAATCGATCAAAGGATGCGACATGCCCGATAAAACATGACGCACCGTTGACTATTTAATGGGAAAACCCCTACGATACCGTTCCTCCTTTCATCAACCCCCCAAGTTCCATACCTCGAAAGCTTCCTCACTACACCAAATTCAAGATGCCCACTTCGCAAATCGCTATGTCAGACGGCCGAGTGGAGCTCGCTTGTCACAATCCAGATGTTCCAGGAAGCGCCGAGAAAAGCAATGCGGTTGACACGGTGCCAGACGAGGGGTCCTCGTACTGGGAAAAAGCGCTTCGTATCGATGGGTGGGATCCAATATCGAGGCAGGACATTGAACGCGGGTGTTCAGAGGAGGGATACGAAGACCTAGCTGAGAACGATGAAGGATATGTGGTGGTTTTAAATGATGGCGAGGTAAGATATCGCATATTTTGCTTAATTTGATCCTTGTTTGACCCTGGGTCGTAGGGTGAACCCAAGGAAGAAACGAAAAGCCCAAAGACACTGAGTAGGGATTGCCACCCAGATGAAGAAGAGCGTCTACGTCTCGAAAACTCGGAATTGAGGGATGAGCTGTCGACCGTTCAGAAGCAGCTTGAAGCCGAACTCAGTTCGCGGGATGTAAAATTGCAGAGTTTGCTGTATCTTCTGGACGTCAGGACGAGGGAGCTACAGGACGCCCGGACGTATTTGGATACCGCTGATTTGGTATCTGGAGAAGATGTCGTGTCGATGGCAGAGGAGTTGAATGCCGAAATCTTCCAGACCGCCGCCTATATAGCTGATTCCTCGGTGTTCGGGTCCAAGTGCAGACTCGTGAATATGACGGAGATAGCCCCTTGGATTGGCGTTGACTTGGCCGAGATTTTGCGGCCAGGGAACGATGCTGAAGCGCGAGTTCAAGCCGTTCACGTGGCGCTCCAGGCGTCGTTCGTTCGATCTTGTATGATGAACATTGTGATGTGGCATCCCGATCGAAAGATCGATGAGGGACTCCGTCAGCTGTACGCAAAGATACAGAAAACTAGTACGTCCACTGATACACATGACGAAATGGATCTCGACTCTCTTTTCCAGGTTTGGCGCCCGTCGCGGCGCGATGGCGTGTAATGACTCGATCGAGATCGAAGTACTCGACTCCGGAGGAGGCTGAAAAGCCATATATACGTTGGATGGTCAGGCGGGCACTCCTGGTGTTACTCCTGGCTGGATGGAATCCAGATGGAACGACGACCTGGGATGCATGTGTTGACACCATCATGGAAAAATACGGGAGGAGGATACGAGACATCGTAAAGCTGATGACAAGGCTAGACAAGGCTATAGGTGAAAGCGTTGTCTCGAAAGACATAATCGTCTGCACAGTGGCTAGCGGCCGCCAGTACGATCTTAGGTCCATGGAGAACGCCGGTGGACTTGGTGAGAAGGTGCAGCCATCTGATCGTGTTATGTGTACGTCCGATCTTGGGCTGAAGGTAAGGGAGGTATCTCACGATGATGGCTTGGAGAAAGATATATATTTGCTAAAGCCAAAGGTGGTATTGCGTTCTTCATTGAAAAAACGCTAGTCAGAGAGGATATTAATTACTGCACGGACTTTACACTGAGATTCTTCACCTACCAATATATCATTCTCACCATTATCATCAGAGACAAGAAATAGAAGAATCCATCTCCCGTTTGGAACGACGGGTAGTGATCTTTCTTGAAGAGGGCACGAAGCGCTGAATGCACGTTGGAGATCGGGCCCACCCTTGACATGCATTCGCCTCATGAACCATCTTCTTCATATACCACCAAGTCGACAAAGCCCACTTGCACTACGAGTAGGCGCCATGTCCTTCGGTTATGAGGACCTGTCCTCTAATGTGGTATATTCCTCGTGGCCAGTGCTGGCTCCTATCGGCGGAGTGATCCTCTTGTCACGCCTGGCACTGCGTTGGTACAGACATGTCACATCCGAGCTCGAAGACAATCACAAGTTGTTGTCGGTGGGTGTTGATCTGTATCAAGGAGAAATTTTCTTTCAACACCATGCGCCTTGTTAACTGGCTTTGCGGTGAAAGACTCTACTATTTAGGGTTTCAATCCCGAAACTGTGCAGGGGATAGAACCCGCCTGTCGGCATTATGGAAGGTATATGATTTCATCTTCTATGACGAGACGAGATTCCGAAGATGATTGCTAGGAGGTTTGATACGTCCAGCACACATAAATATGGACATTCTTTGCTCGCTTATCAGTATCGCTCAATTATAGTGACAGATTCCTCAAACGCATCCTGCAAGGCTGCAGCTTCCGTCTGATCATAGGCAAGCACGACATCGGCGAGCTAACCAAGAGCGCTGTCTCATCGCCGAGAGTTCTTCACGCACCAAGGTCAGGTCAGAAAAAGGACATATAGCGCCTCCCTTACTGAATACGGCCAGCGTGTTGATGATCTTGCACATAGAATACCAGTATGGCCCGTTTTCCCTGGGTACGGCGTTCATGGATTCATCACTGATCGCGCAGTGTGTGACGCCAACTGGCATCTCAGTGTGATTGGCCAAAGTCTTGAGGAATAACTAGCACTGCCTGCGGTGCTTGCGGTGTCCTGATGTACCCCTGCTTACCGTTAAAGCGCGGTTCAGAACTCGCTGAATTGTGCTGAAGTACAAGCACATTATATTATCATATACTCATTTCAGACTCCCACTTTTCTCACCAAACGAAACGTAAGACGGCCAACAGGAGAATCCGAAGGCAAAAAGCACCTGTGATGGTTCTTTGTTGCCACAGTACTCCCTTCCTCTTCTTCCGTTCGCTTCGACACTGACTCCAACTTTTAGACTCACTCTTTACCAAAGTTTGTGCCTGAGGATACACAAAAGTACCTCTTTGGAGTTCCTCCCTGTAGTGTTTCAATACTGTCCCCCTCCAAGGAATTGCGCAGGTATTGTTCTGTGCTACCACGTACTCATCATAAGGTACTTTTCTGATGGTGATGTAAAAGCCTCTGTCAAGACCAGGCGCTTGCTTTCGGAGCTCAGCGATATTTTCCTTCCGATGATTACGGTCAAACGCAAACGAAGAGTTATATGTAGCTCAATATAAGAACCAAAAATTTGATTGCCTTGTTCAATCAGCGCGATGCTCTCTCAGTTTCTAGTTGACGTGGCCCAGCTAGTTAGCCTCTTTGCGGATAGTGTTTTCTATGGGTGAGTGTTGTTCGTTATAAACAGGCGACAGTATTCACTAAAGGGTAACACAAGTGATTTCCTTCACCTCTTCAGGCTGCATTGCCCGCTAACTGCTCCATCCAGGCTTCTATCTGATAACATTTTTCTCGTGTTTTCATGAGCTTCTGACCACCAGCGACGGTAGCCTCAAGTCCAGGCACATTATCAATTACAAGATGGTAGCTGCATCGCTTTGGATGTTAGTCTTTTCGACTCTACAAGTCGCTTGCCACCTCCGCTTCGTTCTCGATGCTTTCACCCACTCAGAGAGCATCGAAACATTATAGGATATATCGAATCCAGTTAATGTTCTACAGTTGGTCACTTTTGTGGCGCAGACATTCATGGAAGATTGTATTCTTGTATGCCTTGAGCTTCATTCTTCCATCGGCTAGTTGGCCTTATTTATTCTCGATAGCTCTACAGATGCTGGGTTATATATGATAGACGATGGATGATTGTCATTTGCCCGATAATCATGTGCATCGCTGAGACAGGTAGGTCCTCTGCCGACGGAGAAGCTCGACACCTCCTCATGAATCTTAACTCTATGTTGTGGTATTGCTGGGGTGTATATCGAAACCAAACTAGGTCGTGACTCTGCCACCACAGATCCATCACTTTTTCCCTTCATCATAACGCTTGGGTCTCTAACACTAGTTATTAATATCATCCCAACAGGTAAGTCTCTACTTTTATTTCCTCTTATTCATTTTGAATTGTTTCCTTCTCCCTAGCTCTCATTGTGTTCTGCATCTGGACAATCCACAGTGCTGTCAGGCAGCTTATTCCATTGACCAAGAACCATCCATTAAGAAATACGCTTGTTGTTTTGATCGAATCAGCGTCGATATATACTGCCTCTGTGGTCATTCCGCTTACAGTCTATGCGCTCCGGAGTAGTGCAGGCTACGTTGTTTTCGATTCTGTATGTTTTCCTCTTCACTCAGTGCCTTGATTTCACGTCATAAACAGATAGTCAAATCATCGTGAGAAATGCCCCGCCTTTCCAAGTTCGTAGCGATACTCACTCAGGTGAATTGACAGGAAATTACTTTCAATCTGATCCTCATACGATTCGCGAGGGGCATGGCAGTAAGGCCGATGGAAGAGACGATTACATCTCTCAGGGTATCTCTCTGGAGGATGGTGCAAAGAATCATTTTCGAAAATTCAATATCACCCGAGTCAAACCTACCTAATGACAGTAACACTAAAACGATATATGATGCTGAAGAAGATTGTCATGAAGTCTAACCAATTGATTTCGTGTTTAAAATTACTTTATGCCTTAATCTACCGTCGCATAATTGGTGTCTGAGAATTTGCTAAGAAGTGAAGACAGCACGCATCTGTTAAAGGTCTCATGCGTTCCCAGAAAAACGCCGTTAAAATGGTGAGTACGAGTACTTGTAATGCGAACATTACTTGAAGGATCTACCGTATTACATCATCCAAAGGTCGAATTCCTTTCAAGTATTCGAAAAATAGATAAAGGTATCTCGGGAGGGAGAGCGACAAAGATGCAGACTCGAAGGGTATGAGAGAGGATGTTGGAATTTAGGTGCTGGCGATTCGGAGGAAGGCGTATTGGACTCGAAGGAAGGGTATATTTCGTCGTATAGAGTAAGGACAGTGGTGGTTCCGAGTCAAGTCAATAAGGTACAAAAAATGTCAAAGTATAAGGTAAGCAGTAAAATATATATAAATAGAATATGATATTAAAGCCGTGAAAACCGAATCTCAACAGAGGATGTATTAGACTCAACTGAGAATTGAAATGGCATACTGAGACCAAGGACAAATGAAAATCAACCCATAAAATAATGGACGCATCAAACATATCTTAATGAATATTCTCGATCGCAATTCTACCTGACGAAAGTGGGTGTTCCAAAAAAAAGCATCCTATTTCGATCACGTGCAAAATGTTCGGTCAGCGGCCCGAAACGCGATGTACAGTTTGAACTTGAACCATTGCCACCTACGACCACCTTCTTCCTTTCGACGGCTTTACGGCACGATACGCATACAGAAGGCACAGAATGTCTGCCTTTAACTCTGTTATCTCGTGCGCAGCAGAATGGCCCACTGAGATACAACACCTGGCGTGTTTACTTGACTCTCCAATCCCCTCACGACTTTCCAACGGCCCATGCCCAGCTGTCTCTTCTCGGGCATTTCCTTTGCTCGAGGAGCTTAGAAATATTCTGGTATCTTCACCAGAACAGCTCACTGAGTCTCCCTCGGAAGTACTGGATATTTTGGATTTGGTACTTTCGACCGTTGGCGCACTCAGAGCTCTCTCGTGCGCGTCGAAGGATAATGCTACGCAGTCAACGATAGCGTTTTGGTCTCTTCTGATACGCTCTCTGGCATTTGTCTGTTATGACAAATCATATACATTGTGGGTGCGAATGATACGAGGCTAGATGTGCATGCTAATGAAAATCGGGCGCAGACAAGAAGCAGCTTTCGTTCGACCACGGTTATCGCACGTGCGAAGTTTTATGGAGGACGGACGTGCTTCATTGATTGTGTCTCATGTGGTGGAAAATATTCAACGACCGAAGCCGGTCGTAGACGATGAAGCTTCGGGGCGCCTGCCTATCGGGACCGCGGAACGATCAAACAAACCATCACAGGAAGAATGCGACTCGGAAACTTCCTACGACGACGAATCATCCTCCGACAGTGACACCAGCTATGAACGCACGGAGGCTTCAACGGATCCGACATCTGCCCAGTCATCCTACATTCCCCTTGATGCCCACGTTCTCGCTTCTTGGCGACACCCGAATTCTGTTGTTCTCCCGTATCTTTGTGTCACCGATGAGGATGAAATTTTCAGCCTAATGAGCGGTGTTGTTTATCAGCGATCTACTTGGGGAATTTCCGAGCCTGTTATTGGAATTATCCTGTCAAAAACAGGGTTCGTGGGCCGAGTGGTACTCGGTTGGCTTGACAAAGTATGCGTGGACCCTGATGTTCTAGTGTGTCGGCTTCTCCTGACTCATTACCGCCACTGACGGAATTTGAATAGCCCGCAGTTCGTTTTGCGCATGCAGATGGGACGCGTACAGATTCCTCGTTAGGAGTGTACGACCTTACCGACCCCGTCAGTGCTCTCAAATTTGCACAATTTATCATCAGCCTTCGGGCGCATGTCGAGGGAATCGTTGCCCAATGCCAAACTCCGACGTTCAAACGAGTTTCGTGGAGATCAGATACCATCGATGATGACGATTCCGGCTCCGAAGAACAATGGGAACAAAGGATTATTTGTTGGCTAAATACGGTGGAAAGGTGGTCGGCGTTTCTTCATTCGGCCTTGCCCTTGTCCCTCATCTATTTAACAGCGACACCAATCAAAAAGGATCTTCCGATCCTTCGTCACCCAACCATTATTCGTTTGTCATGGATGACTCTGAACGACGCATTACGCGGGCTTCTTCCAAGGCCAGGTCTGCACGCCATCCCAGGCGATCGATGTCTGCAGACAGTAAACGTGAACCTCCCCCAGCAGAGCCTGCTCCATATCTACCCGATGTCAACCTCACGTACCCCCGCGAACCTTCCCTGGGAGCTACGCGTTCTCGGACTCCGTCGGGTAGAGCGTCTGCTCAGCCTGACGAACGTGGACGACAAGAGTGAGTAGTGACTACTCATATTTCTCTGAATTTTCCTCTCACTATTTTGTAGAACACAGACCGATGGTGGGTCTTCTAATGATGGAAAGACTGGTAAACGCTCGAAGAGCGCAGGTGCCTTGTCTTGTTCAAGGTATGTCTTTTCTTTTTGATCCTTAGGAAGCTACGAATGCTGATGCCTTGTTGTAGACTGGGCGGGAAATCCTTGGCTGGTATATCCCCTACCGCCAAGCTCTCTTTCTCCAGCTATGCACATGACCGCAAAGTCATCAGTTTAACCAATGTACCGTTACAAAAGAATGTCGAAGGAAAGGAGGAATCGGATACTAAGAAATCCAAGCCCAGCGAGTTGGACATTATCTCGTCCGAGATCGATACGATGCTCCAATTTTACGACAAAATGACCCGATATTTGAAACCACCTATCGCTGAGGTAAAATGTATCTGGTGGCTACATGTGATTCATGTGATTTACTTCTCATTCCAGGGACTGCCCGTCGTTGACAAACGGGTCGAGTGTGTGCGAGAGCACTTCCTTATACAAGCAAGCAAATGCCCTGATGGCGAAAATACCCCAGAGGTTTCTCAACGGCACTGGGGGATCATTTCCGGTTGCTTTTCGTCTCTCTTATGGGCGTCGGTGGGTGGATACTCGAAAGAGCGAGGCGCCAAATCTCAGAACGAGGCTGAGGCCCGCCATGAGTGGGATGTCCTTCTTAATCTTGGCTTTGTCAGTGCCCCTGAGCTGGCTTCTGGAAGAGTGGTGTAAGTCGCTTTTAGAAATGACTCTTTGATCTGTGCTTATCATGGTACCCCAGTTTGGAGAGAGCGTTATCCCTATCTCGTAACGTCGCCGCGGATTTGGTCAAATCCTCTGTTCAATTTGACGGCGGAGAATTCCACGCTGTCGCACAACAATCGAGCGACATAAGCCGACGAGTAGAAAACGTGCTGTATGAACGTGGCAGCTCTTCTATGAGCGACCTTGTAATCCAGACATCACATGTTGTCATTACTACTCTGATGCGACAACGTGCTGTATCACACCTCTTTGCCGATGCAGTCACAGCGAAGAACGCCATTTTGAAGCGCGCTGGAAATGAGCCGGAGTTCGGTATTGTGGATGCGATCTTGACAATACCGCTGGGGTATGGCCAGGAAAACTCGGAGCCCCTTGTTCGTGTTTCAGAAACACGCGAATCGTTACAAGTTGCTCGGACACTCAACGCAGATAACATTGTTGAGCCCACTGATGACCTTGTGTCTGAAGAGCCATCATCGAAGGCGAAGGGTCACGTTAAACACGCCAGGTCTCGACATGCTTCAGCACGAGCGAAATCGACGTCCACCTCAATGGTCGCAATTCAGGAAGAGCAGGAACCTCCCCAGCGCACAAAGGATGACGAAAAGAACAATGCTACTCCGATCGGAAGGCCAGAGGACTGGATGCACCCATTTGCGGTGACCTGCTCCGAGACTAAACTTGCACCCAAGTTGCAGTTCCCATCTGGAGTGGTGATGAATGTCAAGGAGCTCCTTAATAAACTTCTCTTGGTCGTTCTCGTTGCCGAGTATAAGAAACCCACTCAGACTTACACGAAGGCTCTTGTGCAGGCCAAAATGTATCTGGAAGCTTCGGTTAGGTACGTTGCGAGTCTGGGAGTCATGAACCAAGGTGTTTTTGCCCTAGTTACCGATGGCGTCGAAGGGGCTGTGCTCATGGCGTGGTGTTCGCGTGAATCTGAGGCGAGTGCTTTTCTTTCTGATACAGAACTTCGTGTTCATCTTGATCATTGTCCTAGAATGTTTATATCGTTGAGCGCAACATACGAACTTTCAATATCTCCTCGCCCATTGACGTTTACCATTTCATGACGGTGCTTTTACGTCTGCGGGAGTATGGTGATACGACGCTGAAGGACGCGGTGGAGAAGGCCTTGCAGGCGGAGGATTTCAAACAAACGAGCTGGAGCAAGGCGGCACAGTACGCAAGGATGGAATAGATCACATCAAGTGGGATTTACGACATGCTTTCTAATTGCTATCGAGGATTTAAATGCTACGCTATATATCGTGTACTTATGATAGAGATCTCCGAACTACACCCTTGGACAATAATGGCTCTCAGCGACACGTTAAGTCTTGGCGTTCTTCGTAGTGTTCATATCTGCAAACCAAGGTGCTCGAATTGGACATCCTTGCATGTCTTCAGCCATACGCAACGTTGCTTCTCGTCCGGCTGTTTCGCTCGAGTCAGAATGCTGAAGACAATATGACATTCCAACGCACCTTTCTCTAAAGATACCGGACCCTAGAAGATGTCAGGACATGTGTTAGGGGGCATCAACTTTCTGCGACGCACTATTTCTTCCAGTATATAACCATCAGTCTTGTATTTCTTCCCTGGCATCTCGTCGTAGAAACCGACGAAGACTGCGAGTCTATCTTTGAGTGACCCTAACAGTCCGTTGGCCTGTGGTTTATACCAAGGCTTGGGCTGCCATCGCGTCGGGTACATACGAACCCGTCCATCTCGGCTGTCAAACTTGGGCATCTCGGTAGAGATTATAAGCTCGCCTTTGCCCCGAGGAAGACAGAGGTGGTGTTGGATGAAGCTGAAGGTGGTGTTGGATGAAGCTGAAGGTGTGTAGGACGCCGCGGGTGAACGCGTGGAGGTACCAAGGCTGAGCTGGTTGCCTGTGAAAACAGTGAGGAGGGTTAATCTGGAGAAGAAGCAAGGTGTGCTAACATCATCGCAATGCGAGTCCGGTCGTCGAGAAGGCAGATCGAGACCCTTCGAGCGAAGTTCTTGATTCCGAAGGATTCGGGAAGGACGTGGAGGAGTTCTTCTGTGGTGAGAGAGGCTACATCGTGATTGCTCTGTGCTGGGACCATGTTTTCTTCGTATTTCTGTTTGTTTCGTAAGTCAAAATGTTATCGGTAGGAATATGACGAGCCTGTGACCACTGAACGAGTTCTTCCCATGTTTCAGGGATGTCCTTGATGTTCATTCTCTGACCAATTTCGGTCCAGCATATTAAAAAGGCCTTCGGGGATAAATCAAACTCATGGAATAGATGGTAATTTATACCTTACTGAACGTTCCAATTCGGAGAGAGACCGCCATCCGAATCTTGCAGCCCACCTCTGGAGAAAGTATTAGCATCTTAACGGAGAGGATGATAGACTGTGTATGACGTACGACGGGCTCGATGATGGCAAGACACAGCGTAAATAAGTAGTCGCCGTTCGACTACGACTTATATTCAGTATGCAACCGATGGTGAAAATAAATGCTGACAATTTTATAACGTGAATGGAGCCAATTGACGCGAGAAATAGCAATATTGGCTCGCGGGTCTTCTTCGTGAGACTTCTCATCCTCCGGAACGTTTGTCCTAGGCTTTCCTGATAATGGACAAAACATCCATGTCGCTAATGGGAATTGAGGTTTCAGTTCGCTGGTAATAACAAGACAATAAGACACTCACAGAAACAGATCTCGGTCTAGAGCGGGTTCGAATTGAAGAAAGGCACTGTCTCGAGGAACGGGATCACTCACGTCCGCATAGCGCTTCGAGATCCTGTCCGGGTGTGAAAGCTCCTGGGTATCGAATAGGAGTTTGGAGATACTGGGCTGAGACATACCCCTTGGTCAACACAATAACATAAGAAAACAAAAGGTCACACACGATCGCATAGGTTTTGAACAGCGCAAAGGCTAGCGAATAATTCAGCAGGGCTGGCATATCATATATCATGGAAAGACCCATGATTTCCTGCGCATCTCGTAGCGTCAGCGCACCAGCCTTGTACTTGGGAGTATATTTCTCGTGTATAGCGTTGTAGCGTCGGCGGCGGAGGAGTCTAACGAAAGTAAGGTATCCCAGGCAAACGAGTCCAAAAACTTGCAGGTTTGCAGTGGGCCAGTCAAGCATGGCCGGTTAGGGGAAAGAGTGTCAGGCGTTGATCAGCTGGACTCGCTACTATATATTGTTAATTTCAGGAAACACCGCAACCCGCCCGAACGTGATATAGAAACATAACATACAATGTTTTTTTCGGCCCCTCTCTTCACCGCTTGGAGTCTTCAGTTTGCCCGTTAAGGCCGAAGAATCCGTTCTGAAACATATTGCAAGGCGCTGAGAAGCTGAAGGACCGTATCGTACATAATCGCTCCCACGAGAAAAGAGATTGTCTAATACAATCCCGTGGACTGTACTAAATGATCCAAAACTTGGCTGGCGTATATGTTCCCGTGGGACTGGAAGAAGTTCGTCCATAATATACATGGGCATCTTGCGAGCCGGCATTGAGACTTCTGTAAGCCCGAAGGTTTGCAATGAGGATCAAGCTACAGTTAGCCCACCAGACATCGTACAGAGAAAGGATGAAAGTTATTGTCTGCTTCATGAGCGACATCGGTCGCAGGTAAGGAATGGGTAAGGAAAAATGTGGATGTAAGAAGCCGGAGCCCCGGCATCATATGCAACGACCTTGTGCAACATCATCAGCTGATTATCGACCATCCCTCGATTGCTCATTCCAATTTACCCTCGATGGCTGAGCAGGATATATGCAGGCTTTTTGAAGTGTACACCTTTGAAATTCAGAAGAGAAGTGCCACGTCAACTGCAGAACCAGGAAGTCTATTCTAGCAGCAGGAGTACGAAGAGAAGTGGTCGTCGGTGACTCGGAGCTGCAGCTTTGTTTGAGATCTGGCATGCTGATTTTCGAGGACAGTAGTAGTCTGACAGATAATCTCCAAGGCCACGGCTGTCAAGGGTACTCGTAGCAGTGTTGAAGGATAAATGCGCCGATGATGATCTTGTATCAGCATATGGTAGTGCACACTAATTAAGTTCAGGTCTGACACAGCACTGATAACTCACCTCAGGCAGCTACAAGGCAGCTCTCAAGGGTATTTCAGCCGTTCTGCAGCAGCCTATCGTCATTCTGATGCATTACTTTGGATGACAGCGGTTTGTGAAGGCTGCCCGCCAAGTCTCAACTCCCTTGATGCCAGCTACGGGCCAATGTCCTAACGCATCGAGAATCCTATCCTGAACGGGTTAGGTACAAGGCCACCGCGAAATGTGAGTGCGTTACTCTCTGGCCTGACACGGAACTAAAGATGCACGTCAACTAGTTTTATGACGCATGTGATCGAGTGTATTCATCAATTGTGACTGTAGAGCGTCTGATTTGGTCAGGGATGAGACCGGGTCGCAACCTTTTATTGTCGCCAGTGATCGCTCGAATTGCAAGTGCTAATGACTTTTTACGCTACAGACATCGCGACAGCTTGCTGTGAAATTGCGACTTGGACTATACCAAAAGGAAATACAATTTATTCAAAAATTTCTGGTGGTACAAGCAAACATTACGCAACATAATCGGATAATCCCATAGCCTTGCGTCCCAAGGGATTCAAGATATCGCAGGGCTTTCCGAAGCCCATCAACTCATTTTCACGCTTCATCTGTACAGGAAAATCAGGTGGCGCGACTGCATTCAAGAAAGTTTCCTTTTGCCTCTTGATGTATGCTTGATTCAACAGAGTCGTAGGAACAGCAGGGATGTACATCACTGGAGACGAGTATTTAGACACCTCTCACTTATGAACGTCGGAATAACATACCAGCTGAGTCACAATTACCAGTATGCTCTTTCTCAACCGAATGGACGACGTCGGCATGCCAGAATACCGCATCACCGGGGAAAACCTTAGGCATCGAGATCATAGTCTCTTCAAGGAGAAGGTTGGGGTGCAGTTCAGGCGTTAGGTGAGGTCCGTACCATCCTCCATCGCGAGGGAGGAGACCGGGAAAATCGGCACTCGAAGCATCTATATGAACCTATTCATTACTGTAACTGTTCGCAAAGAGGTGAACGTGTGCGTACCAAATGCCCAACTCTTAGGATTCGAGACTTCTGGGGAGTCCGGTTCCACCAATAAGCGAAAGAAGGGGCGGAGGATCATATAGGTGTTTGACAGTAATATATCGGGAAAAACTTGAAGAGTCCCTTCGGTGGGGCCCGTTTCGCTGATAAAGTGAGCTCAAATAAAAGCGCCAAATGCTAGCAGTGGTCATTCACAAACCTCATGGCAAGCCAGCCTTGAAAGGTTCGGAAAATGGACCCCTACGAGGATATTCTAAACCAAAGAAGACATGGGAGGTGTTTTTCAGGCAAACATACCTGCATTGGCCTACCATACAGAGAAGTCTGCGCACCTACACGACTTACAAGTGCGTAAGGGTCATGCTTACGCCATTGGCCACTGAAGATGTCAGCAAAACAGGACCTGAGTGTTGGGTCCTCCCAGCGCTCGATAGTACCACCTGGACATCTGTCAGGACAACATCAAGAACGATAACGACAACGTACCATCAACGTGGGGCGGTAATAATGCAGCCCAATAACTGTCGATCCCGGGATGCCTGAAGCGGAAACAATCGGCGTAGGTGAGTGGCGAAGTCAAGTCCACGCCATCGAGTTTCTGTCCTGTCTCCGCATGGTACAAGTTATTTAACCAGACCGAAGTGGCGAGCATGTTAGGATGGGCGCGGGCCTCCAACTGAGGCTTCGTCCAGCTTTAGCAGAGTTAGAGTTGACTGACTTGGAAGAGATTGAACACACTAGAGCCGGTAAAACTGTTTGTCTCCGACGGGAGAGCCTGGAGATTTTGGATGAGAAACGCGGGCGCATAAGCTTTGTAGAAAAATGTACCGTCGGCATCTGGATTGGCGGTTATGAAATCTTCGAGAGACTTCTTCCAAGCAATGGCCTGTGCATCATCGACAATGTCCTTGATTACAAGACAACTTTTGCGCCGTATTTCGTCGATCTTATCGGCTGGAAGGCTATCAAGTTCAGAGAATTGGACTTGGGGAATGAACTAATGTCTGTGAGATAGGACGTGTCATTAGCAGTAAAAGTGACTTACTTCGGGGCCCCCAGCGCTGATTTTCTGGGTCGCTGTCTTCAGTTCATCGAGGATATCAGCCCACGCTTGTGTAACGCGTTCTTCGAAGTCCGGATACGAAGAGGCGATTTCGGACTTGATACGAATTAGATAGGGAGCTGAAGATGCTTCAGACATGATAAGAGATGCGAGATGAAGAATTTGTCGCTCGTCGACCTTTTTATCTAGCCTATAGACCAGAGCTGAGAAGGCCAAATATTTTCTCCGATGCTTATCCGATGTTTTCCCGGACCAAGGCAAGAGTCATAGTTCAGACTTTGTCCATGCTTTATCGTACAGACGGAAGCCCAGAAATGTATATATGCATCACCATGGGGCTTGCAGCATGACCACTAAAAGAGGAAACGCCAAATTTATATTCCGTCGCAGCTCCGGAGAGGTCACGAAGCATGCAATGAGGAGCGAACGTAGCTGAGGACAGATGGACGTTAGCGACCAACAACATTTTGGAACTTGAACTAGATGAACCGTAGTGTTCCGAGGGTCACATTGACAACCAACATAAAACCATAAAGTTGGCGGGTCGCGATCGTGAGCGTAGCGGCGAGAGTTCTCCTTTAAAGCTGCATAGGGATACTTAATAAGCAAGATGAGATGAGTCAAGACGCACTTAAAGTAGGGCGCTTTACCGGATGTTGTTGTAGCTGTTACCTACTACTAATGTGCAGAGCAAATCGTTAGAACTGACCTGAACTTCATACAGGTAGGACAACTGTCTGCACTATCTCCGTCATTATGAAAGCAGAAGGATGCATTTCGGGACTAGGTATCAATTCATAACCGAGGAATTCGTGCGGTGGCCATTCAATTCTTGGAACTCTTCGCCTTAGGGTTCCATTGAGAACCTCGCTCTTCTTCCGGGACAACTTTAAGGAGGCGGGCAGGGTTCCCTACGATGACGCTCCTGTGAAGGTTGGAAAGTCAGCGGGTTACTGCAAGTTGGGTGCTATCTTCTTGAGACTCACCAGTCTGGAAAATTCTTGGTAACGACAGAGCCTGCACCAACGGTGCATCCTTGACCAAGTACTACACCGGCTTGGATCTTTGCTATATTGGAGTTAAACATTTACACGTAAGTTCAGAAACCCGAAGGCGTATACGCACCACCTCCGCCGATCCAACAGTCATCACCAATGACTATTTCTGAGGCGCGTTCAAAATCAGTTTGACGCTCTTTAACGCTGGTGCCATGTGTTGCTGCGTAGAGCGAGACGTTCGGCCCAAAGGAAACACGGGTGCCGATAGTAATAGTCGCACAGTCAAGGATTGTAGTACCGTAGTTCGCGTATAAGGAGCCTTTGAGCTTAATCTAGATAATGACACTAATCAAGCAAAAATCCAAAAAAAGATAAACTGAACAGACGTTCGTCCCGTAATCAACATATAGGCTAAAGATAAAAGATAGCAAGTGATGAATAGTACGACAAGAATTTCAAGGAAACCCATACGGCGGCTCTATCATCACAGTATCGAGGTTACGCACAGGCACGTTGAGGAGCTCGGCCAGAATTTCCCGTCTCTCCTGTCCATCTAGAGTGGGCGGGGAGGTATTGTAACGATACATCAAGACGCGAGCACGGTGGCGAGCGGCAACTAGCTCAGGCTCCATGCAATGATACAGTGAATTTTGGGAGGCTGGGGGTGGTGGGGGTACATAAGGCAAAGACATGACACGGTTTGAACTTGGAGGTTTGGTGGATTCTGAAAACTGTTGATTCAAACTCCGACGTACGCGACAACCGGTAATCATCGGAAAAATATCGGAAAATTGGTAGTCGGTGAAGAAGAATTGTGGGCGGGGGAAAACAAAAACCATAAAAACTAGCTCCAGGCCGATCGATAGTCCATCGAATGACTCCCTATTGTATGAAAATGCGCATTAATTGAGTCGATGATAGAAGCAACGATAACTTAGTAATATTCCTTCGTAGAAAAGACATCTCCCGACACTCGCAGTTGCCAAGTTGTTTCTTCGACGGCACAGCCTCCGCGCGATTATGACGGCTGAGATGTTGAACTTGACCGCGACGCTTCTGGGGTTCGTTATCCGAAATTAGACAAGCCTTTGATAACAATGGTGCTTGTTCAAATACTCAGAAATGGGATTACCCTTTCACTCCGTCGATGGTGCAGCAACCTCCTCCTCAACAATATTCTTCTGTTCCTCAGACTTCTGAACCTGGGTTTCCTACTACTATGCCTCGCTCCCCGTCGTCAAGGCGCTTTCCTGCTACTACGCAGCCAGGTCCTTTAACTCAAGGTGTAGCCAGTGGCGCCATTGGCGGGGCGTACGGTCCTTACTCTGTATGCTTTTTTCCCCTTCGAGGATTGTACTGACGTCGTGTCGTAGCTGAAGTATTCGAATACGACCAAGAGTATGAATTCAAAATTTCTTGCAGCGCCTCCACGGACTTCTCCGGTGATCAAACCCGCTGCTACCACTACGACTGTACCTCCGTACCTTTGGGAAGATGATCCAGACCTGGACGATCCCCTCCACAACTTCGATTCCGAAAATGATGACGAGTCATTTACTCCATATTCTTTGCGAGGCTGGCTGAATGCCGGTGCTCTGGTCGTTATAGTAGTCGGTCTTGTAGTGCTTTTCGCTGGGTATCCCATCAGCGCCTACTACTCTAAAACTACACTCTCAGTTTCAGGCTACAATCTGGGCGGCATCAACAGCTCTGGACAGATACCTGACCTCCCTGGCCTACCTTCCCTCATTGACGGGGATACGCCAATCGATGCTTATTCCCGCACAGGTCAAGATGGCCTGAAATATAACTTAGTCTTCAGTGATGAGTTCAACACCGATGGTCGAACATTCTATCCTGGCGATGATCCCTTCTGGGAAGCTGCTGACCTTCATTACTGGACGACCGACGACCTCGAATGGTATGATCCCAGTGTAAGACCTCGTTTCGAAACTTCTGCTCCTGCTCTCATATCTGTTTTCTTAGGCCATCACCACGGCCGATGGGAAGCTCGTAATTACTTTCAGCATGGAAGATATACACGACTTAAATTTCAAAAGCGGTCAGTCTTATATCAGTCCTTCAATACCGTCGTTCAACAAATTAACGACGAGTTAGGCATGCTTACATCGTGGAATAAGCTTTGCTTTACGACAGGCTACATTGAGGTATCTGTAAGTATGCCTGGAAATTCCAAAACACCAGGTTTTTGGCCAGGTTCGTAATTATTACCAGTACTTGATCTTGCTCGTGACGCGATGTTTATTATAGGTGCATGGACTATGGGTAATCTGGTACGTTTTGCAACGACAACCCTCCCAACACTAACCAATATAATGTCACTTTAGGGTCGACCTGCTTATGGTGCCACTACAGACGGCATGTGGCCGTACAGCTATGCCGCATGCGACGTGGGGACATTCCCAAACCAAACGTCTGCAGATGGAGAGCCGGCTGCTGCTCTCACTGGTAGCCCATATGGCGGGACACTCAGCTATCTACCAGGACAACGCACATCCGCGTGCACATGTGAGGGGGGAGATCATCCGGGCCCGAGTACCAATATTGGCCGCGGAGTTCCTGAAATCGATATCTTCGAACATATGATCGACGTCGATGTCTGGCAAGGCGTTGTGTCGCAGACTTTCCAAGTAGGGCCGTTCAATGATCAATATCAATTTGTCAACACGACGCCTGCGACAACTATTACTGATCCTTCGATCACTCATGTTAACACTTACGTCGGTTCGACGTACCAACAATCTGTTTCCGCGTTGACCTATATCGATCAAACGTACTATAACGATGAGGCGTACGGGACGTACGGAATCGAATGGTTTTCAGATCCTGATAGTAGGGATGGTGGTTACATACAGTGGTATAGCGGAGGCGTGGAGTCATGGAGGATCACCTCTGCATCAATTGGTCCTGATGACACTGTCGAAATAAGCCAACGACTCATTCCTGAGGAGCCTATGGTACGTCTATTTCGCTTTCATTCATTACCACCTGCTCGACTCAAGCCATGTATAAGTACCTCATACTCAATTTGGGGATGGCGGACAACTTCCAACCGGTGGATTTCAAGCATATCACCTTTCCAGGAAAGATGTACATTGATTATGTACGGGTTTATCAGCGAGTGGGAACGAAGAACGGCATGACGTGCAGTCCGCCTTTACGGCCCACACAAGATTATATTAACGCGTACGTGAACTTTCTTCCCTGAAAATTTCGATCACTCAATATATGGACTCAAGCCATATTGAGGCCTACACAAATCCGAATTTGACAACATGGGAACAGACTGGATTCCCCGTACCAAGCAACTCTTTGTACGATGGTTGTTAGACCACCGGATCTGCTCATTTTATGTAGAGTTACGGCGTCGTGGAAGCGGCCTGCGCTTGCCTTTAGTCGTTTCAGATACGCGACTACTGGCTGTTGGAGTTGCAAGCGCGCCTTTATTCAGACCCGCATTTATCCATGGCGTTCTTGGAACTTACTTACATTTACCTGTAGTTATCTTATTACTAGATATCTACATCACACCTCAACAGGTCATTGGGGCTCATGTCTCACTCTACTGAACCTGTTGCTGCTATTTTGGCTCCCGAGTCCTATCCCCACTATGTCCACCATCACTGCTGATTTCACTGCACTATTGAAGGTCCCAAAGCTAAATGTGTCAGAAACCAACTGGATTATCTTTCACTACTGCTTCAAGATTGTTGTTGAATCTAAAGATGTCTGGGGCTGTCTTGACAGTTCTGATCCTACTCCTCCTGGCTCTCAACAAGGTGACAATGCTGCTACCATGGCAGTGGCTAGAGTTAAGTGTCATCAGCCAACCTATCTTCATATATCTTTTGGCTGAAAGATGGGTGAGCATATGGCAACAAGCAGTCTGGGAGGTGACCCTATCCTTCTTCTTGGGGAGCTCATGAAGTCCTCCCTCATCATCAGATCCATTACACTCTGAGTGGACATGCTGAGAAAATGAATATCCTTTCTTGCAAAATCAACTGAGGCTCATCTCTTTTCTGCAATGTCAGGAGAGTATTGAACAATGAATCATCATCATTCATGCTCAACAGGTTGGCAGGCATTAGAGCCTCACCCATAACAGATCTACTGTCTGACTGATCTTTATCCTCTTTTTTCCAGAGTTTCTGCTCTACTTTTCTTACTTTCCTTCTTTTCCTTAGCAGTGGTACTTCCAGTTGCTGGCCCCTCAACTTCCATCACTGTAGAGGTTGAATCCACTTCTTTCACCAAAGGAAGCAAGTGCAAACATGAACAAGAGGTCACTGCCATGGAGTCTCAAATTGAGACATCAAATGTTTGCAAGGAAAAAGAAGAAGTTCATGAAGAAGAAGTCCAAGAAGAGGAGCCACCTAAAAAGATGACTAGGCAGTAAAAGCTCAACTGAGTCATCAAGTGGCCAAGAAAGTTCTTTATAAGTCACTTTTTCTTAACCTTGATCTTCTTTTTAGTTCTTAACTCTTTTATTTTCAGTGCACAACATTACATTTGACCCTGAGTGGATGCTGGCCCATCTGATGCCAGCCTCCTCTCCAACTGTCATCAGCATATATTATAGATTTCAGTCTCAGCCTTTTTCCTCATTCAGACTCTTCTTATTGTCAGTGATGATTCCTCTGCATTGCTTGTCAACATTACCTGGAGGTTTGAATTTGTCAAATTGGAGATCATAGAACAGCACAGGACTCATCACACCCATGTCATCACAGCAGTTGAAGAGTCAGAGTCAGCTGGGGATAAAATGGGTAGTACTGCTTCTATGAGTCATTTGTAGTGGATTTTATAAAACATTGGTACTAGCAGAGGTCAAATAGATTCATATTATCTGACAAATCAATACATACATGCATCTACTATCTAATGTGACCATAGATCATACAGAGACCACTGGTGGGACTGTCATCCTGGCAGGAGAAGAAATATTTCATTGCCAAAGACCAGAAAGATTAGAGAAGAAAGACCACCAAGATTAAGATATCCTAAGATTAGAAAACTAAGACTAAAAGCTGAAAGATCTTTTCTTGGTTTTGCTGATGTTGATGAAGATCTCAGTGCATCATTGGATCAAGAGGCAGCTGATAAAGACCTTGGGAGGCTGGGAGATCTTGACTTCTGAGATCCAGATGTTGCAGACATGCTAGAATTTATGACAATGGCCCAGTTGGATATAGCTTCAAGTATATACGGAGATGGATTCTGGGGATCTTACTTCCAGTTCCCCATCAGAGGAATGCCGGCTTGGACGTGGTGTCGATGGGGGTAATGGAGGTGGTGGTGATGTAGCTGCATTTGCTCCAGCAGCAGCCAGTAAATCCTAGGAAGGGAGATTTTAATGGCTGTTACACAGTAGCCTGTGGACCTTTTTCTTCACCATTTTATGAGTAATAGATGTTAATGTAGACTATGGGCAAGCGTGGTATGAAAATAAAAAATGGGATGAGGAATAATTATTTGAGCCAGCATTCTGTCCTCATCCGCGCAGTAACGAACCTCCTAGCGGGCTCTGAAATGCTATTTGAAATCACCCAACGAACGAGCTGAGCGAACTGAACTAAGAACTGAACAGACCTAATTGCGATGCGATATAAGCACCTGAGAAACTGCCGAAATCGCCCTTGGACAGGTTGCTGTAAGTATCACTGGGACTGCGCAAGGGCGCCGTGGAGCCAGTGGGCTGTTTGTGGGGAATATTCGAAGTCAGTTCAACTCCCATGAATTCTTCCCCTCCTTACAAGTTTCTACTCATTACAGTCGGCTAAAGCTTCATTTTTGACGTTGGTCTTATAAGTTTCTCAGGGTTTGGAGTGTTCTTGTTATTCCAATCCTTTGTCCGCCGCTGACTAACGATCCACATGCTACTATCATAGTACTAACTTGAGCGCAAACATCGATCAGTCAGGAAAACTGTCCCCTGAAGTTCACGGAAATAGGCGGGTGTATGGTGACTACGTGGAAAAGAGCTGCAGGAAATATCTTTCTCCCTCTACCTCCCCAGGCCATCGCACTCCACTCAACTAGTCGATGTCGTCCACCCAAGTTCCAATGCCGCGCGAGGCGTCGCATATTTGCCTCACCCATGATCAATTCCGTAACCTATTTGTCCCCCGACAGACACAACTTTCGACGTTCGGGACGTGGCGTTAAAGCCCTTACGAGATATCGGATGTTATGAACCAGGGTTCAGCGGTCTTTTGGCTGCTGAACGCAGCAGCTATTTTACTTGCCGCCTTTTCAATGGAGCCTCCGGAGCTGGTTGTCGTGAAGCATAAACTGTATATATATATATATTGGCGGACTCGGATTCGGCGATCTCTACAATCTTGATCAGGCCCGACACTTTTCTCATATTCATATTCAAAAAGGCCTCGATGTCAACGTCTTCTGTCATTCCAGAGCTTCTTCGTTCAATTACGACCTTGTCACTTTTATCGTCAGCTGTGTGTTTCAGGTTCAAATCAGACTTCCGAAGGTCGTCAATCAAACCCGACAAAAAAAATTACTACTGTGCTCCTCCCACAAAAAATTATCATGACTTGCAGGTTCTTGTCCCTGGCATTTTTCGCCAGTCTGTGGAAGGACCGGTTGTTTTCTTAGCGCCCTTGTCCTCGTCTTCTCTGAGCTACTCGAGGGCCTGATGGTACGGCTGAGTTGCGGCAATGGAACTTCTATCAGCTATCAGCGACGGCTAGCGGCTTCGATTCTCGCAATGGCAGTTCATACAGGAACGCGATATGGCGTTCACGTCTCATATACGAGATATTGATAATCAGTAAGCAATTCATCAGAAATATGAGGTCCATTGAACGCATATAAAATCTTAGCTGCCGGGTTCCCCTTCGTCCTTTGTCGATCTATCTTCATGACATCTTCTGGTACATACGTTCGGGTTATGCTCTTCTTGCTCCTTGCTATAGTCTCTGGTGCATCTGCGAAGCCCGTCGCATCGGATTCGACTTGGTGGTGGCCTAGCTCGTCGTCCGGATGTACCTCTCCGGAGACGCGTGTCGAATGGTAAACGCGCCTAAAGTTCATATGAGATTGATTCTTACTTCACCGTTATTCCATTCAGGACGACATTGTCGAGCCAGCAGAAGACAGCATACTTTAACGCCGAGCTGTGCCTCTACGCAGCACCTGCTCGAACTAGCATTCCCGGTGTGATTTCACGCTATGACGATCTCGTAGGGATCTTCTTTGCATATAAATTGTATTAAAGTTTTCTGCCCCACAGGTCGGCGTGCATTCAGTACAATCAAACACCACAGATCTGGGTGACCTTTGGCATCCAACTGGACAGTTCGTTGTTCGCATTCACCTAGAGCACACAACATTCACTAACATAGTCGCTGATCAGATTCCTAGCTGTGAGCTGACTCCAGTCCTACATACCTGAAAAGTCCCTTAACGACACCCCACAGGTCCATCGATACTATGTCCATACTCACGCAATGTTGCTTCGTCGAGAATGCGGATACAGAGGTCCCGTAAGTCATCACCTCTCCCCAACTTTCTCCATTCCACACGCGTCCAATACCAGATCCCGTACTGGAACGAAGTCCCCGATGCCGGTGCTTTCGCCAATTCAACTACCATTCTCGACTTTGGCGGTGAAGGCGATGAGTCGTCGAGCTATCTCGTTCCCTCCGGACCCTTTGCGAATTTGACCGTCCATCTCGGGCCCGGGATGACCAACACCGATCATAGGCTCACGCGTAAAGGGGACGTAAAGAACTCTGTACAAGCCAACCAGACCTATGTGGATGCCGTGATGTCTACGACGACCTTTGCGCAGTTCCAGAGGTCCGTCTCTTCCAGTTTGCACGGAGCTGGACATGGGGGCATCGGAGGAGACGTGAGTTTTCCTGTGTTTTCTGATGAGAGTGCGGCAGTTGTGACGCTTCCTCCTTAGATGATTAATATCTTAACCGCCCCTAATGATCCGCTTTTCTGGATGCATCATGGATACTTGGACTATGTGCGCTGGTTCTTATCGATACCCTTAGCTTTTTTAATTGAAAATACGAGCAGGTCTGGTGGAAATGGCAAGGCAGGAACCAGACGAGGATCCACGACCTCGTAGGTGCGGGAAATGAGACAGGAAAAGCACCTCCGACGGGATTCGTCGTACGTCTTTCCATTTTTTGTGATCGATGACCCTTTTCAACGTCTCTCGTTCTTGTAGGCAACGAGTGAAGCTACGAAATTGTATGTTTACGAACTAATTGCTAACGCTACGGTGAGTTGTTGTGTGTTTCGTGGCAAGAGATATAATTGATGCTTTGCGCACGGATAGGTGGGAGATGTAGTGGACACCCAAGGTGGATTCCTGTGTTATACTTATGTCTGATGTTGGTCCAGCAGCTTTGATATCTCATAGTATTCACATATATGCCTCAGTTGCTTTATTGCTGTTATTCATTTATGTTAACCCATAACAGTCTTCATATGGGGGATTCTACTACTCGGAGAGAAGCACCGAGATTCTCTTGTTCCTAGGCACAATGAAATTTGTTTGGATGTACGAGATATATCCCTTTAGTGGTTTGTGGGTTCTCTCACCAACGCTCGGTCAATGTCTTGAACCCGAGACATCTCAGATCTCAAGTATCGTTGTTGTTTCCGGAGTTCAAACAAGAGGCTTTCCACGACAGATCAAGCTGTAGTACAACCTTGAGACCCACGTTAATTTCAAAAGCAAGCTGACCATACAAACGCAGTCACGAAAGCCTGCATCTGGAATCGAGGGTTATACAACCATAACTATTGCAGAGCGCGAACGTATGTGGCCTGGTGCGTTCAAACATCTGCAGCCTTCCTTCATGTTGTTTTTTATTCGATGTTTAAAGACGAAGTAACGTTGACCATACGGATTCACGAGAAGAGATCTAAGAAACTGAGACTGTAGCCAAGGATCCGAGGTGGTAACAAGAATGGTATATGAATACAATTATCTGGATAGCGTATGTCGATTATGTGTAAAATTTACGATTCTCGTTAGGTCCAAAGAGATCGTTCCTGATCTCAGGAAGCATCTACCGCATATTTCAGTACGTCATAGAAGAGAAAGCAAGCAAAACGAACCCGGTCTTCGAGGAGCCTCAGACGCTCATCCAAAGTATTGTCGATGGTAATACGACGCGAACCACTGACAAGTTTGATTCCACCGGCGCTAAATAACTCGTCAGTCCTCCTTCTGGGAAAGAAACCTGCTTGAGACATACCCATCTCCACCCAAAGATCCCTCGACATCGTACTTCACCTTCCGCCCGCTGATCTCTTTGTATGTCAACGCAGCATTCGCAGCCGCCTCTTCCACCAAAGATACATCTTGCTTTCTAGCGTACAAGGTGACAGAAGGCTCGAAAAGCTGCAAGAACCCCTGGGAGATGAAGCCTTCCAGGAACTGGACGTAGCGCCCCTTATCCCCGGCGAGAGTCAGCACTGTTGAACGCGAAGTAGAAAAGAGTTCCTGGAGGTGCTGTTCGCGTTGATGGAGCAGCTTGAGCCGGGATTTGTTAGTTAACGTAGATTGGGCACTGTAGAGCAGGGGGTGTTCAGGGTATCGTGATGGAGACCGGAAAACACCAACATCTTCTGGGCGACCTCTGCGCCCTTTCTCTTCTTCTCGTACTGCGCGTCGATAGCTTGCTGTTCCTGCTTGACCAGTTTTGCCTTATGACGTTGTTAGTTAGGGACATCATCCAGGTGCAGGATGGGCACCTTCTCAATGGCAAATTCCTCATCTGCCTTTATCTTTATTTCTCTTGCTTTCTCTAGTGCCTCCTGCTTGATGAAAGCGACCTATCCAGTTCATTAGCCAACCGCCATTAGGAAGGGTTCCGCCGGGTACCATTTTGTTCAATTCAGTGAGGACTTCATCATCGTTAAGAGGTCGGGTCGACATGTTGGCAGAGAGATATACGGGTGGTTAGTAGATAGTGTTGGCTACTCCAAGGTGGTGGTGGTCAAGTCGCGCGATACGGTAGCAGCGCTACGGGTGTGAAGCACCTTCCTTATCCGTCCGCAGTTTGATGCCACTGGCGTGGGAAAAAGCCCAGATAGGGCATCCAAATTTCGTGCGCGCCTACACTGTGAACGACACAAAGAGACTCCAGGGCCCGTCGACATCGTCAGCAAGCCGTCGAAGATCACCGTGAGTGTCTTCCTTGCCGTTTTGTGCCCCTCCTAGCGAAAGAATGAAGGCAGAAGTCGTTATTTGAGGCTGGATTCGGAGGTTTAGATTTGGATGTAACCACTGACCCGTCTTTCTACAGGTCAAAATATGGCTTCGAAACTACCATCTGTCCTGGCTGCTACTGAGGAGGAGATCCAGCTCCTTCTCGCTGCACAATGCCACATTGGCACAAAAAACTGCGATAAGCAGATGGAGCCGTACGTCTGGAAACGACGGGCTGACGGTTAGCAACTCTCCAATTCTTCGCAGTTTTATCCTCAAATGTCTGCTAGGAATCCACGTCCTGAACATCGGAAAGACCTGGGAAAAGATTGTTCTCGCTGCCCGTGCAATTGTCGCTATCGAAAACCCCAACGACGTCTGTGTCATCTCTGCGCGTCCTTACGGACACCGTGCTGTCCTGAAATATGCTGCCAACACCGGTGCTCAGGCCATTGCCGGACGATTCACGCCCGGTTCTTTCACCAACTACATCACCCGGTCGTTCAAGGAACCCCGTCTGATCGTCGTGACCGACCCCCGTGTTGACCACCAAGCCATCCGTGAGGCTTCGTATGTCAACATCCCCGTCATTGCTCTCTGCGATACCGACGCTCCTCTTAAATTTGTTGACATTGCCATCCCCACTAACAACAAGACGAGGCATTCGATAGGTCTCATCTGGTGGTTGCTCGCCCGTGAAGTCCTCAGGCTCCGCGGCACAATCCCCCGTACGAGCGACGGCTGGAATGTCATGGTCGACATGTTCTTCTACAGGGACCCTGAGGAGGTCGAGAAGCAACAGCAGGAGGAGGCTGCGGCTAAGCTTGCCGCCCAGCAGGGTGCCGAGGAGCCTGCCGTTGCTACAGAGTGGGATGTGTCGAGTGCACCCCAGGCCGGCAGTGTCAACCCCGCCTTGGTCGGTCAAGAAGGTGATTTACCTTTTCCTTTTTAACCGAAGATTTTTTTTCTCATCTGTTTTCTCGTAGGTAACCTTGACTGGGCCGCCGACCCCAACCCTTCGACCGACTGGGCTGCAGAGCCAGCGACTGGTACTGGGGGCTGGGGTGCTGATGAAGCTGCCACGGGCTGGAATTAGGTTGTTCAATATACATTTGACTTCAAGCAATCACTCCGTGGTCTTTATTATGCACTGAAAAAATATGATATATTCATGGCTTCCATCGGTGTTATCTGGAGTAATGGATTCGGAGGCGTCTGGTCTCAGCCATCGACGTCGTTGCAAAGAAAGGTCCTGTGGACATGTATGGGAGTATGTAGGATGAACTGCCGAATTTCATTGAATTTAGTGAGTATGTGTGTTTAGACATTTTGACCTCGTAATTCCAAGAGCAACTGAACTTTTACTTTCCGGCGACCTTTCCTGATGGGTGTCTTGCGCGTGTTACCTTCTATCTCGGCTGGTCTGTATCCTGTCAATGCATTGCACCAGCACGATCATACATAAACTAGCCCGTACTCTAATATTACCACCTACCATCACCTCAAACTTGCATACTTTCGCGCTCAGCTCTTTGGTCTTAGTACCAAAGTATGGCCAGTGCTAGATTCCTATGTCATACAAACTAGGAGAAACTCGAGAGAATCATACATAAGACTGCTTCGCTTTCCTTTCTTGTTCGTTTGTTAGAGGACACATGTGAGATAGCTCCTACTCCATGTGACGGAATATCACTACCCGGTGGTAGACTGTCCTCTGCTTTCAAGGCGGCCACTACCAATACGTGTTTCTGTTTTGATAAATTTTACCATCAAAGGGCTGATATGATTCCCTCGAGTCGGCTCTTACGCTCCTTGTTTTTTTTTACAATTCGGAGATGAGAATATTTCAGGTTCCAGGGCGCTCCGACTACGTCACAGACCTGCGAGCAATACGCCGGTACAGCCCAGGCGTTGGTATAAACCACAGGCCACCGGGCTCAGTAAAAGACAGGTTCGCACTCTTAATCGGCTTCTCTGATAAGACGCCAGGTTCTTGCCATTGAGATCCCTCCCCGTTAGCGTCTGTACTGGCGTCTTGCTAATTGGGACTGTTTAGAGAAAGGTGGCTCGCAATGCCAGATTATCTCTACTTAAGCAGGCTGACCGGAGCCAAATAACCTGAAGACAGATGCCCGAAGACATTCAAGGTGTCCAATCCGTGCACCTTGGTTTACAGCCCAAAATACACTGAAGTTCGAACGCTGAGGTTTAAAATCTCAGCGTAGTGTGCTTTAATTTATCTATGCTGATTTACTGAAACGTACTCAGATGTGTTAATTTAACAGTGCAGTTCAAATATATCTATCACAAGTACACGAATTAGATAACAAATCTTCGTTAGCAAGTAGAAAGCATGTGCACGTAAATCTCATTTAGCCTCTAACGCCTTCTCAACAGCGTCCTTCAGGGTAGTATCACCATATCGACGCAGACGGAGAGGGACCGTCACGAAATGGTAAGCCTCGAAGGGCGAGGAGATGTTGAAAGTCCGCATATTGCGTTCGACGATATAGGCGATCTAGTAACAAGAGATGAATATAGGTGCGGAAATGAGGAGAAGAGGACTTGCCTCGGAATCGCTCGAATACCAGGCCATGAGCACAGCCCCTTCGACACCATCTGTAGCTAACGCGAAAATGCCTTGCCTGATGACTGCCGGACTCGCGAGACATCTAACCGAAGCTCCCAAGTACATTTTGGCCTGTACAAGAACCTTCGCGTAAGTCTGAGTAGGCTTTGAGCTTGGCGAGTAGAACTGCCAACAAAGATCTGGTGCGAAGCTCTCTGACGTCCATCACTACTCCAGGTGGGAAAAACATCTTAGGTGCTGACTTAGTCTCAGAGCACGTCACCGCAGACGCGTGGGAGAGATCCTCCGTTTTGGCCACCGGAGTGCCATTTTTCTTGTCGCCGAGTTGCTTCGCCTCATCATCGAGACGTGCTTGAGCAGCAGTTTCCTGCCCTTCGTCGATTACAATCGTTTGGGTAGACATCGATGGCGTTCGTACTGATGCAGGTCGAGATGAACAGCGATAGTGTTCTCTCGAAGCTGGAATACCAATGAGCACGGAGTACACAGTCATTACTCAAAGGACTTACATCAGTCATTCGGAGCCTAGCTCATGGATGTTCACAAAGCCGAGATTGAGCAGAACATCCTACTCATAGCGGGCTTTAGCTTCATTCTGATATTTACCGCCTGCCCCCTTCGAGCATCCGATCGACGCCCACAAGACAGACGAGAAACAGCCGGAAATGACCTCCCACAACTCTTGAGGGAGCTCAGGAGTATTCTTGCCGCCAAGGTATGTGCTGGCTTGTACGAGTAAGTGACTTCGCACTTTCTCAACCCGTTTGTCAACGACGGGCAGTTCATACTAAGAGGTCTAAGTGACAAGGAATGTAGGTAGCCACCAGATGCACTTACCTCCATGGGGGGCTTCATATATTCGGTCATTTCATCATAAAATCTGAGCATCTCGTTGATCTCCGATGCGATCATCTCCATTTCTTTGATCTCGGATCCGGTGTTAGACGTAGAAATAGTACGATACGCATACGTTCACTTACCTATTTGATATTCCTTCCTTTTTCGGCATGTCACACTGTTCTGCACATCTCAGCTTTCAACCATAATGCTGAGATTAACGTTACGATGTCTTATCCTAGTGTCCATTCTCTTCCAAAAACTTTTTCCTTGTTCACCATGTCTATGCTCCTACCTCATTAACTCCAACAGGTTATGGGCCCCGCTACCAGCATGTCCATGACAACTGAAATAAAGCTAGTTAGCACAACAAAGCTTGCAGATGATGGATCGAACTGGGTAGTATTTTCAGAGAAGCTCACCACCAAGTTCCTGGACAAGGGCCTTGGCCGGCACCTCTGAGGAACAGCTCACATACCCCTGCACCCTGTCGAGCACAGAGGAAACTTCTACCAGTCCTCTGATACTGCATTTTCACATCCACTCTCAGATGATGACCTAGATAAGCTGGAGGAATATGAGCAGAAAGAGGCAAAGATGTGTAATATCATTTACAAAGCCATTTCTGACTCTACCTTCAATGAGATCAAAGGCAAGGCAACAGCTGCCCTTGTCTGAAGAAAGCTCATTGCTGTCATGACTGGCAAGGGTGATCTCGTGTGAGAGCACCTCCTTACTTGGCTTGGAAACATGGCATGCCCTGATGAAGGCAATATGTGTGAACATCTTGCCAAAATGAAAGTCCTCCATGAATGAATTGAAGGGATAGATCTAAAGATTAAAGACAATCAGTATACTTTGACGATCCAAAAATCACTTCCACCTTCCTATGATCATATCCATCGCACCCTCTCTGCTGCCAGCAAGTTTACTGGAAAGGCCCTGACATCAGACATCCTAGTTGCAGCCCTGCATGAAGAATGGGATGAGGAGATTGCATTGAAGGCCACTGCTGAAAACGTAGCAATATCTGCTCAACAACAGAGCAAAAGAAAGGGCCAGAACTCTGGAGGGAAGTCAAAGAAAAGACCTGATCAATCTCATCTCAAATACACAAACCCAGCATGTGGTAGAACTGGCCACCTCATTGCAGATTGTTAGTGTGAAGGCAGTGGAAAGACAGGATAAGGCCCAGCTTTGAAAAAGAACAAGGCTAAGGAGAAGGAAAAGGCAAAAGAGTCAGCATCTGCAGCTATTGATGAAAGTGATGATGAACATGTTATTGCCATTGTAGCTGATGACAATGATCACAAGAATGTGGCATTAATATGCACATCTGACTATAGAGCTGAAGGTGATGTCTATATGGCAAAAGAGGAGAATGTTATGACATTAGCAGATTGTAGAGCATTGAAAACATACTCACCTGAATGTCAGAGGTTTAAAAACTATACCAAAATTGAACCAAAGCCCATCAAAGCTGTGAATGGCCAAGTTTTCTATGTGATAGGAAAAGAGGATCTTTAACTACCACTTCCCATGGGAAAGGGACAGAAACTCACTATTGCAAGTTTTCAAAATGCATATCATGCACCGAAAATGGCCTACACCCTTATATCACTCTCACAAGTCAGTTGCACTGGATTTCCTATTCATATTGAACCCTCCGACTACACTATGTATATCTGCACACCATGGCCAGATGCTAAGATCATTGCAAAAATCCCCGAAGCTGATGGCTTATACATAATCTTAACTCTAAATACACAGCAAACTACGGCAGCCAAACCAGATGTCACTATAGCAGCAGGTAAGCTCAAGGTGAACATCACTGAGCTACATAACATTTGTGCTCACCAAAGTCACACTGCTCTTCACTGCATGTATGTCAATGGCCATATCGAAGGAATCAAGCTTGATCTCAACTCCAAACCGGAATTTTGCAAGACCTGTGTAAAGGCCAAAGCAAAGTGCAAGCCATTTCTAAAACAAAGCCAATATAAATATATCAACAATAGCAGTGACAAGATTATCAGAGACCTGATGGGCCCGATGTCTATAGCATCACTAGGGGGAGCCCACTATGTCTGCACATTCTATGACTTACACACCCATGAATCAAAATCCAAATACTTATCAAAGAAATTGAATACCTTTGAGTCATATAAATGTTATGAGATATGGATCAAGATTCAGCGAGGTGTAGAGGTCATCAAGATCCTTGGTACAGATTGAGGGAGAGAATTCACTAGTGAAGAGTTTGGTCAGCATCTCAAACCAAAGGGGACTGTTTGACATCTTAATGTACATGATTCCCCATAGTTGAATGGGATTGCTGAATGTTCAAATGGCTACCTGATGAATACGACTAGAGCTTTCTTAATTAGTTCAGGGTTATCAAAATACCTCTGGGCTGAAGCTCACTGGCATGCTGAATGAATCTACAACTGCACCTCAACAAAAGCGATACTATCAGAGAAAACCTCATTCGAGATAGCAATCAGCAGGAAGCCTAACATCTCAGATCTTCACCCTTAGGGATGCTAATGCTGGATCCAAGTAAAGGCACCAGAGAAGCTTGGAGAATATGCTATTGAAATATACTTTGTGGGTATTGATACTGAAGCCAAAAGCTGGAGAGTTTACTGGCCCAAAAAGTGAAAAGTCAGCATTGAATGTGATGTATACTTCAACAAGAATGATCTGACTCCAGAATCATTCATAGTCGAGAAGGAGGATGAAGATACCGACCCTATTGTCCCAAAGTCATCAACCGCTTCTAAACCCTTCAAAAACCTGCCAGATAAACCACTCACAGAAACTCATTCAGAGCATTCTGAATCTCCACTCACAGATATAGAATCTGATCCTATTCCTCAACCCAGCTGCCCTAAGTGATCTGCAGCTCCAAAACCTGGTCAACTTGCACCTCCAGACTTGTGCAAATATTCCACTACAGCTGGAATTGCAGCAACAGCACTTGAAGACGAGTCAGAATCAGATGATGATGATGAACCAGACAGCTACTCACTAGTTGACTATGCTATGATGGTGGATGTTAAATCAGTAACTATGAAGGAAGCACTGAGTGGTTCTGATGAAGGGGAATAGTGCGAGTCAATGCTTGCAGAGGTAAGGCAGTGTGAGAAGAAGAAAGCATGAGAGGTGATGAAAAGAGAAGATGTTCCCACAGATGCAAACATCGTGGGTACAAGGTTTGTCTACCAGATCAAACAAAACAAAACTGGTGAGCTCGAAAAGGCTAAGTCCCATTTTGTAGCCCAAGAATTCTCTCAGATCCAAGACATTGACTACTTCAACACCTATGCCCCAGTTGTCCGTCTTCCCACTCTCTGCATCCTACTCTCCATAGCTGCCTCTTGAAATGCAATTATAGACCAAGCCGATATCAAAAATGTGTATCTGCATGCCAACATCACTGAGGAAATCTATATCAAGTTCCCAAACAGATATGAAGAATTCTTCACAATCCTGGAACACCTCAAAGATCAGAACATTTATATCAAGCTGCACAAATATCTGTATGGCACAAAACAAGCAGGACGCGGCTGGTATCAGACCCTGAAGGCAACAATGATCTCTCTAGAATTCACTGTCAGCAATGCAGATGAGGCTGTTTTCTACCAGATCAAATCAGAGACCAAATATACCATTGTCGCAGTTGCCACAGATGATTTCACCATCATCACAGACTCCTAAAATGAATCAGATCGATTCAAATGAGAAATAGACTCACATTTCGAGTTAGTTGATCTTGGACCCATACATTGGCTCTTGGGGATGCATATCACTCAGGACTGGGAAAGATGCACTATCAGCATTGGACAGCCAGCCTACATTGACCAGATCACAAAACGATTCAGAGTTCAGAATATGGCACCATTTGCAACACCAATGGAAGCAAATCTCGATCTAAACCTGGATTTACTCTCCATATCCACAGAATCTGTTATGCCACATGAAAAAGCACTCTATCGTGAGCTGCTAGGGTCTCTCATGTATGTCGCAGTTGGATCCCACCCTGAAATCAGCTATCCGGTATCAGTGTTATCACAATTCGTGGAAGACCCATGTTCAACTCACCTAAAAGCAGGATTCCGAGTCCTCCATTATCTCAAGGGTACGCATGATCAACGGCTCATAATTGGTGGTCCTGGCATCAGTCCTAAGGGCTATCATGATGCAGCATATGCCAACCAGCCTGGATGAAAGTCTATGTCTGGATTTGTCCTATTCATGGGTCAAGATGCTGTTATGTGGACATCGAGAAAGCAACCAATTGTTACTGTCTCCACCGGTGAATCAGAATATGTTGGACTCACACCAGCATCGAAGAACATGATATGGCTTCACAAACTACTCTCAGAGCTCTCCATATTCATTGCAAACCCTTCCATTTACCCAACAAACTCTACTATCCTCTTCTCTGATAGTCAAAATGCACTTTCTATCACCAAGGATTCAGTATTCCATGAACGAACGAAACATATTGGAGTTCGGTACCATTTCATTTGCCAAACTATCGAGTGAGGCCACATCAGACTGATGTACTGCCCAACTGATAACATGGTTGCCAACATCCTCACGAAACCGTTGGCTTGTCCAAAATTCAAGAAGTTTATGGAGGCACTGGGCATCATGTAAGCGAACTGTTTACGTTTCGAGGGGAAGTGTTAGACGTAGAAATAGTACGATATGCATACGTTCACTTACCTATTTGATATTCCTTTCTTTTTCGGCATGTCACACTGTTCCGCACATCTCAGCTTTCAACCATAACGCTGAGATGTGAGTACCTCCTATACATATCTATCCTTGACCGTATTTACTTATTACCTATGTAGTAATGTTACGACGTCTTATCCTAGCATCCGTTCTCTTCCGAAAACTTTTTCCTCGTTCACCATGTTCACGCTCCTACCTCGTTAACTCCAACATCCGGAATACACCGAGGCATAAATCTTGATCTGTACGTTCACCAAACCGATGATTTTCCAATCATGTCCATAACTCGAGAAGGACAACTTTGCGGTAGGGGATATGCCAGCTAAGGACTTTGCACCCAGCCTGACATGAAGTCAGAATGCATAGCCTAAACAAGCAAGATGGAAGGCCTACGCCAAACAAGACGATGCGTCCGCGCTCTTCAATCGCATACCAGTGTTTTCCTTATTGGACCCATCATCAGTCTTTGCTCTGGAAAAATGGTCAGGAGGATACTCAGAGAAGCATAAGCGGTCGCTACTTACTCTGGTCTTCTACGTTCCTCTGACTGAGCGAGCGCTGTATCTGACGGGATCTTCGAACCTGTACCTTTAAGGGAAGGTTCGGGGGGATATGTCAGACTGACGTCAGGTAAAAATGGAGCAGGCGTCCCTGAGGGGAGATCGAGTTCGCTATCCACAGACGTAGGGCGCCTGGGACAGGGTGAGGACCTTGTCTTAGAGGGCAATCGCTTCTCGCGCTGTTGGGAGTATTCAGCTGTAGAAAGATTGAAAGGTCCTCTGTGGTCCGCATTGCTGTTACATATATGAGGGACAAGAGAAGGTTAAATGAAGATGCACCTACCATCTTTCAACGGTATTTAGCCAGCTAAAGATCCTTTCTTCCCATTGTTCTTTGGCGCCGGAACTGTCATCATTGATAGTATCTGATCTCCACGAAACTTGGTTGAATGTCGGAGTTCCGCATTGGGCAACGATTCCCTCAACATGCACCCGAAGGCTGATGCTAAATTGTGCAAATTTGAGAGCACTGACGGGGTCGGTAAGGTCGTACACTCTTAACGAGGAGTCTATACGCGTCCCATCTGCGTGCGCAAAACGAACTGCGGGCTATTCAAATTCCGTCAGTGGCGGTAATGAGTCAGGAGAAGCCGACACACTAGAACATCATGGTCCGCGCATACTTTATCAAGCCAACCGAGCACCACTCGGCCCACGAACCCTGTTTTTGACAGGATAATTCCAATAACAGGCTCGGAAATTCCCCAAGTAGATCGCTGATAAACAACACCGCTCATTAGGCTGAAAATTTCATCCTCATCGGTGACACAAAGATACGGGAGAACAACAGAATTCGGGTGTCGCCAAGAAGCGAGAACGTGGGCATCAAGGGGAACGTAGGATGACTGGGCAGATGTCGGATCCGTTGAAGCCTCCGTGCGTTCATAGCTGGTGTCACTGTCGGAGAATGATTCGTCGTCGTAGGAAGTTTCCGAGTCGCATTCTTCCTGTGATGGTTTGCTTGATCGTTCCGCGGTCCCGATAGGCAGGCGCCCCGAAGCTTCATCGTCTACGGCCGGCTTCGGTCGTTGAATATCTTCGGCGACATGAGACACTAACAGTGAAGCACGTCCGTCCTCCATAAAACTTCGCACGTGCGATAACCGTGGTCGAACGAAAGCAGCTTCTTGCCTGCGCCCGATTTTCATTAGCATGTACATCTAGCCTCATATCGTTCGCACTCACAATGTATATGATTTGTCATAACAGACAAAAGCCAGAGAGCGTATCAGAAGAGACAAAAACGCTATTGTTGACTGCGTAACATTATTCTTCGACGCGCACGAGAGAGTTCTGAGGGCGCCAACGGTCGAAAGTATCAAATCCAAAATATCCAGTACTTCTGAGGGGGTCTCGATGAGCTGTTCTGGTGAAGAGACCAGAATATTTCTGAGCTCTTCGAGTAAAGGAAATGCCCGAGAAGAGACAGCTGGGCATGGGTCCTTGGCAAGTGGCGAAGGGATTAGAGAATCAAGTAAGCACCCCAGGTGTTGTACCTCAGTAAGCCATTCTGCTGCGCAAGAGATTATAGAGTTAAATGAAAACATGCAAGTATTTTCCGTATGGGTATCGTGCTGTAGAGCCGCCGAGAGGAAGACAGTTGTCGTAGGTAGCAATGGTCCAAGTTCAAACTGTAGATCGCGTTTCGGGCCGCTGACCGAACGTTAGATTCACGTGATCGTACCTCCAACTTCAGCCGTTATTTTATTATTATTCAAATTTTAGTTATTATGCTCTTGGGCGTCGGAATATTTCTCTCCTTATGCACTTCGTTATATACGAGCTAGGAGTATTCGTCCACCTTAACCATCTACTTGTAAAGTCATGGTTTGATTATGCGGGCTTTATTCAATCTGCGAATTACAGCCGTCTTATAGCCGTATCATGCTCTCGCCCGAGTCAACCCCCGGTTCACCAGCGGCGAGCGCTAGCCTAGTAGCTGTACGGTCATCCCTTTCCCGACACATCAGACACTTTCTGATTTGCTAACCCTTTGAGGTAAAAGGATAAAATACCCTCAAAACGTTTCGGTCGCCATTAATCTAGTGAAGGGCTTCTAGTTAGTACGATAAGAAGTTGGAGGGTCGCACGGCACCGTCCAAGTCCTGCATTCGGCAACATGGGCGTGCAGTCCGTCAGTCGAGAGAGCTTGTCGATACGACACAAACTCAAGAAGTCCACAGCATCATTTCTTGGAAGCCCACCGTGCCTCGACGTTGACCCTAGAGTGGAGCTTAAATAAAGTTAGACCCTTGTTCCGCTCTGGAGAGTTCGAGCACATGCATTGGTATTTCTATGAATCAGACCTGTGGCGGTTCTATGTTATGGCTCTGGTTACGATACACGATGTCGGGTTGCAACTTCTCCAGCCAGTACATATTACGCTGCAGACAGCGTTCACCATTAACTATGGAAACAAGGACAAATCTGAAGAGTCAATTTGTATGTTTTGCAAAAACCATTCAAAGCGATGCGACCATTTGTTGATGTGTTTGACCATTACCTCGACCAAAGGACACGGCGAAGGCAAGAGGTATATGTTAACAGTGTCATTATAGTAAAAGAATGCCTGCGAGCGTATTATCAGGGACCAGAAAGGTATCGTTGACTACTTGATGTCATCGTTCGACGCGTCAGAGAGAGCTCGGAGTGTATCCAAAATATACAATGCTTTTGAAGAAGCTCCGTGAGTTGTCCAGGTGAAGAGACAAGCAAAAGGATTTCTGAGATTCTTAGGCTCGAGTAAAGAGGCACAGGAAGAGACGGCTGTCCGTTGATGAGTGTTAAGGGGATTGGGAAGTCAAGTCAGTGGGTAATCCTGCTGCACACAATATTACTGAATTAACCAGGACATTGTGTAATCTTTTCTCTAAAGTGTACCGCAATATGAAGCTGTCGAGAGGAAGACGGCCGTCGTGGTGGCGATGAAGCAAATTGCGTCGCATTTCGGGCCGAGACCCGAGTATCACAGTTACGTAATCGGAGTTTTGGTTTTGAAATTTAAATTGAATCTCTGTTGGATGCTTTTGGCGCCTGAATTTCTTTATGCATATCACTCTATAGCCAGATTTTTTTCTTTGTTAACATTCCTATTTCATCGTCCGTTCCACCGCACTTCTTATATCCTAGTGTTGCGGGCGTCTTTATTTCATATGCCGAAGTGGCGATACAATTGCAGCCATCCATGATCCTTCTAGTTCTGTCACTCCCTCCCAAAGAAAAATCCACCGCAGTTATGCTGTTTATGCGCTGCAAAATCATCCGTCCCTCTTTTCAACCACAAAGAGAAGAGAAAAAATGGAAAACCTCAATTCGCGTTCTGTGAGTACGGTACCTTTCCCTATGTACTCAAATAGTCTTAAGGACGTTCGATTTTCAATTTAAGGATCACGTTCTTGCTGACAAGACAATGTACTGAAACAAGCTAACAATGTCTTCGCGACGACCGCAAGAAGGAGTTCAATGGGGCGGAAGCTGAGACAGCACCTGAACCTCAAACTCTATGCATATCAGAACACATGCCGCGATCTATTTGTTCTTTGAGAACCACAGGCAGTCGCAAGGAGGACCCGGTACCCTATTGCACGCGCGAAATTCACTTCTTTCGACGTTGAATCGATGCTACCAGTTTCTATGGTATGTAAAGATGCTTCGATGCTCTTTGATACTGATCATCGGTTATCAATGGCCAAAGGTATTATGGAGCTCCGCACTGGTCAAGGTATCTGCGACTCGGATCCATGCATGACCTCGGGTTGCGAAGGCTCGCCGAACGAGTGAAGTACACCTATCGGCTTCAATACGTGGCCTGAAGTCCCTTTGACGCTCTTCTGGCTGGGCGTGGCACCGTTGGCTCTCGCCATATTCTCGGGCGCCGTGAACTGAAAAAAATGCAGCCTAATATTTAACTGGCTTCATGGCGCTGCCGTCTTTGGAGGGAGATTGTCTGACAGGTTTCGCGAGGAGCCTTCTTGCCGGTCTGTATACGCAAAATTCCTCAACATAGAAACGTTTTCTGATCTGGCCTTCTTCCAGACGGTATTCTAACTTCAGCTGAGATGAAGATGAAATTCTGCCGGGTACAACATGGTTGTAGGCAGGTGCCTTGGCTTCCTTTTCGGCTCTATGTATCACGAGGTTCTCTCCGTCTGCGCATGCCTCATCGACCACCCACCACCAATTCTCAGTCCAATTTCATTGCGTTTACTTGGTGATCAACTCGGGCACACGAGTCTCTTTGGAAATACACCGTCTCATCGCAACAGTAGCAATAGCCACGGACAGAGAGGATTCCGCAATTGGTATAGCCTCTGATTAGGGCCTGGGCATACAAGTCGGAGTCTGCTCAACTTGAACCAAGCGTGTACAGGTGCGGCTTCGAACACGCGTTGCTTTGGAAGGAATTTGAACGGCGTAAGCGCTACATGCCTGTCAGTCTAGCGCATGACTCCTTCACGCCGTCGTACCCGAACGACCAGTTCAGACATTTTGAATTTCGTTCATTTGTTTCGGTATTCCTTGCGCCGCCCCCCGCAATAACATAAACTGAATGACTGGTTGTAAGACTCGGGACGCGGAACACGGTATTCTCAACCATCAGACTTGCGTGGACGACAATCTACTCGGTAGTCTACCAAAGCACCTCTTTGCTGTTACGTTCTATTCCTGGTGCTCGCCTCCGAGCAAGCCCCAGTGGACTGTTGAGCTAATCAATTTCCAGGGAGGCCTTTGACCAACTCCGACCGGCAGAGACAGCTTCCTCGGATCCACTGCGTAGACCTCAGTTTCGGGGAAACGCTCGAAAAATACCTGGAAACGCTCGGACACCACAGAGATGGTTTGTTCTTGCTATCGATTGATCGGACCTTCTGCGGAACTTCGCGATATATTGTGGCCCTTCCCGCTTCCTAGTAGTGTATCTGTCGGCTGTGTATCCGTGCTACATCTTCAAGTTTCGACTTGAAGCACTTTTCTTATCTGATGAAACATTTTATTGCCCGAATCCACCAAGAAGGAAACAATGGCCATGGATTTCCACGATTCGGCATCTATCTTGTTGTCCTTCGCAGCACGAACGTGGCGCATCCTACCGCACCTGGTAGCTCACAGACTGGGATTATTTCCAATACGGTGTCAAAAAGAGGAAGGCAACTACCCAGCACAGCAAACTGAAATCAGCCCTCACCTCGCGCCCGTTCTGTAGAACCCGTGGAATCTCTTACATTTCCTCGCATTCTCGCACGGACCAGGGGCGTACCTGATACTAACCATAAAGTATAATTCTCCAATCTTTGACTTATGGGCAAATGACGTTTTCTGATGCTATTTCCGTTGATGCGCCGCCACGAGTCTCCGATATCTCGTGAGTACCTGACGCTTACGGCACCCGTCACCAGAGACCGCATGTGCTTTTTGGCGATATGTCCCAATCTGGCGAGATGGTAATCGATGAATCTTTATTTTTTCCTAAAGCTTGACAGCTTTCTCTAGTGGACTCCACCAGTAATGACATCGTTCAGCATCAGTGTTCGAAATCCAATCACTATCCGATGGAGCACATGATTAGCCCATGTTCCGAGTTCCGGGATATCAATTACATATCTATGGATGACGTGTGCAAGAATTAAAATCACATCAACGCTGCGGGGAGCCCTTTCTCGAATCTTATATGGACAACTACCCCTTCGGCAGTTAAACAAGGAGTGCCTTGTAAGTAACTATGGCAACCTTCAAATCTCCCAAACACTGACGACTGTTGACGTTGAAAGATCTGTGTTATCTTCAAAGAATTTGGGTTGGAGCCGTGTGATCGGAGTTACTTTGCGAAGCCCTGTTCGGCTGCTTCTGTGCACGACCCGGGTCAGAACTTGACGATAATGAGCCGAATGGTAAAAATCTCTCAGCTGCAGAGGAGCCGTGAAAAAAATAGCCATAGGATGGAGCCATACTCTGGGATATGTTTATTTGCGTAAGTTACTGGGGAAACATGCGGAGGGCGTGTTGTTATTGACAATTGTCTCTAGTGAAAACAGATACACTTTGCGGTGCAACAAGCATGACGTATTCGGGGTAACCAAAGGGTAGCCGTGGATCCGTACTGGCAAGTCCCTGCAGAGGCAAGAACATATAAAAGACTTCAAACTCGCCTTCCAATCCACTCACAACTGCACACCACACCCACCTGTCTCCTCGCTTTTAGAACCGATTAATTGCACCAATGCCTCCTGGTGAGACTACACAAATATGGGAAGTTGGAGGCTCGAAGAAGAGCTGGTCGAAAGGGGAATACTGTGTTCATTGGATTATAGTCAACGGAAGACCAACGATGTTTACCTTCGAGTGTCTTCAAGACCGTAAGTCTACCACCTGCCTTTAACGCCTCGTGACCTTGCTGACTCGCCCGTCTTGGGTCTTGGCATCATAGATAATACTTCGCCGTCTACTCGCGTGGGTGTGCCAAACGCCTGCATGGCTCCAACCTGCTGACCTAGTTTTATTAGCCCATACAGGGGAGAACCACAGCTTTTTGGACGCCCTACTATCCGAAATGATCATCATGCACGATGGGGCAATCTGCGTTGACGTCAACTATTGATGTTTGGTAAGTGCTGACGCTTTGATGGGCTAAAAATTCCTAAGTTTACGTTGATTTTAGTGTCTCGAAAGTCCCGGTGCTGAAGAAGTGTTGTATGCTGACCGTTCAACGTTACGTTCTACCCGCATGGTCCTTACTAATTGATCCTGAGTGTACCTATCTACGACGTCAAGTATGCAACATACATAGATATCCATGTCCTGTCCTGTGCCTGTCTCGCAAGTAGTGGCGCTTTTAATTTCTGCGCAGACGGCTAAACCTTGAAGTTGCCATATACACATGATAAGGCATAAGTCATCCCCTTGAAACAACTGTTGGCAGTAATGGTACACGGCGCCAATTAGAGGGACGAATATTCTTAAAGGGCCGAGAGATCAAGTCCCGGTAGACCAGGATCATGATGATGCTGAGGCCGCCAAAGTAATAACCGAATAATAACCCCCTACCGACCGCCGGATTATAAAATCCGAGGCCACCTTTTCAACCACCATCATGGCGTCCAACAGTCTACCTGCATCTAGCGCAAGCGGAGACACCATTGACGAAGTGACACTGAAGTCCCGTATTGAGAAGCAGCTCTCTGACGAGTGTACAAAATTCGAGCCCTTCGAGCAATGTATGTTCCCAGCTAGTTGTCAATTTTCTTGTTTTTTTGACCTCGTGTTTTTTTTTTGTCAAGGTGGAAATCATATGGTAAGTCCGTGGCAGCAAATGTCCCGAATTGAATTTTATTGAAACGTTTACAGACTTATATCGCACATATGAAAAAGGGACAGCAGGCAGTGTTCATTCGAGTTCAATGGTCTATCCTGAAACATGCCGGCTGCGGTATGACCTCTCCCATGGCCATGCGTTCAGAGGTATGCCGCGAATTAGGCCGAAAGTAATGCGTATTAAATTGAAATCCGTCAGGTCGCCACCTTGCGTTTTCTGAAATCCAAGACCAAGATCCCGGTTCCTGGAATCCTGTATCATGACGTTGATGCCGATAGGAAGGTCGGAGGTGAATGGATGATCATGGAATACGTAGGTCCCGGCACTTCATCATTAGGATAAGCTTATCAAGACAAACTATAGGTCGACGGCGACAACCTTTCTACAGTATGGCGAGGCCTCAATGCGAAGCAGCGCGAACAGGTCTGCCTCGCTATCGCTGATGTATGGGTGGAGATAATCAACGTAACTTTCAACTCGATTGGAAGTATTTACGAGAGGGAGAACGGGGAGTTTCATATCGGACCCATGACCCGTCTGGCGTCAAATCGAAACACTTCCATTTCCCCACCCAAGCTCGAGAAATGTGGTCCATTTCCGACGGCAAAGGACTGGCTCTTGGCGACTGCGCGACGAGATCTAGATTTTGGGCAGAAACCTCAAGATAATGACGCCCAGAGGCAACTTTTTGTCGACGCTGCAGTAGCCAATATCCAGAAGCACATCTTTCCGGATCGCCTTGAAGATTTACCCATCGTCCTCGAACACATAGACTTTGCGCCACGTAATATTCTGGTCAGTCGGGCGGACCCTACAAAGATAGTAACGATCGTAGACTGGGAAGCCTCCCGCACTGTCCCCATGTGGGCTTCAAACCCAAATTTCAGCTTTCCCCCCCTGTCGGTGACGGACGAGGAGAGGAAGCACCTTCTCACGTTGTTGACCAATCGCATAATTTCCAAGGTTCCTGCTTGGGAGAAGGCGATAGGACAGGACCTGCAGCCTCTGCGAATTTTGCATGATCGCGCGATATATAGTAATATGGATCCTAATATACTGCTCCCCGCTCCATATCTAGCGTTGTCAGCTACATATTGAGTCTAATAGATACCACTTCGTGTTCCTACTCTTAAATGTCTTAGTTGAAAATATAGTGCTTCTCTGAAAGTGAAGGCAGGTCTCCGAGTCGGTATAAGTAGGTCCTTGTATAACGCTATGGACAAGTCATCGGATCGAAGTTTCGATCGAGTAACTGTAACGGGTGCGGTAACAGGTCGGCGCCTTCGACGTCCCACGGGAAGTATTTTACTGTTATGGCCTAGTCGAAACGAACCCTAAAATACCGGTCCGCCGATACTAAGCATCAGTCTAGTCCGATTAAATACTTCAAAATCAACAAGGCAGCTCTCGTCCTTGCCGCTTCACATAGGCATTGAAGAGGACGAGGACTCTGGAGTATTCACGAGCGAATACTGGCAAGGTCGGATTCAAGGTGGGAACCTTGACGCGGTGCCTGAGAGCGAACGACGTCACTCACCAGGACGCACCCCAAAATTTAGAGGGTCAGGGAAATCATCGATTCCATTCAGATGGGCCCTAGATGTAACCAATGAGAAGGGGTGGCAGTGTCCTGTACAGTGGTACACACCAGGAAGGTTTGAACAACTTGATCGAGGAACCTCATGCATGTCATCTGCGCAGAAACGGATAATTTGTGTCAGATAACACTGGGAAAGATGCGGATAAGATAGAGCCATCGCGACTGCTGGCTCAGATTCTGTGCAGAAAAAAAGGCAATACTTAAAAGACGCATGACGTCACCAAGCAGAAATTATATACTAGAACACAACAGCGGCTGATTTAGATAGCCCAATGTACACAAGACTGATTTGGTATAGAATGAATGATGCACGAGTAGGGTACTGGAGATGATTGAAATAGTAAGAGATCTAAGAAAACTTGAATGCAGGATGGCATAACCGGATGAGCCGAGAGAAAAACACCAAGAAAAAGAAATCCTGAAGAGAAGTCTACGCCTGTTTGGGTTTCGCAACCCTCGCAGATCGTCTCGTTGGTCGGGGCGTCTCGCTCGGCGCCTGCTGCTGCGCCTTCTTACGCGAGACCGGCGCCTTTCCCTTCTCGCTCTTCGCAGGAAGAGGCGCTTCCTCCTCCCCCTCTTCGCTCCTCCTCTTCCTCGGAGAAGCGATATCCATTGGCTCTCCCTCTTCCTGAACCTCATTCACTTCATCCACCGTCTCCAGTTCTGAGAAGGGTCGCTTTTTTCTCGACCTCCCGTCAAGGGTGTCGCTTTGTACAGGCTCGCTCTCCTGCAATTCCCTCTGCTTTTCCTCGTGTGATATCATCTCCTGAGACGGTTGCAAAAGTTCTCTCCCCTCCTCCTCGGCGCGCAGCAAGACATCGCTCCTTCGTTCGAGGCGCGAGCTCTGTCGGGGGATGCCATTCTTGGTGATGGGAGGAGTAGGCGCATCAAGTTGGAGGATGTCCATCTGGCTGCTGACAATCGCCTCTCCATTGGCGTCAGTACTGGATTTCATCGAAACATCGGGCGGCATGGGTGGCTCGCTCGTGGATTCATTGTTTGCTGGAGTGGAAGAGGGGTCTTGGTCCATAGAGGCGAAATTCTTGTACATGAGGTCATAAACCGGCGTGTAAGCGGCAAACCAAGGATGCTTGTGGGAGTCGTGCATGGTCATACGTTTCGTGGGATCAGTTTCGAGCAGCGCCTGAATAAAGTGTCGAGCTGAAGGAAATCGTTGTTCATATGCCTGTGTCAGAACTGTGAATTGCATACCTTCAAGACTAAACATCTTCAAAGGCTCCCAATGGATCCATCGTTCGGCAATGCGCGTTCGGATGTCGGGCTGATTCTCATCCTCGATAAAAGGAGCGGTGCTCGTCAGCCTGCAAGAATCACTTAAATGGGGACCTAACAAACGCTTTAAGCTTACATCGAATACACGATGACCCCAACACTCCAGCTGTCCACGAGATTATCGTAGCCTTGATGGTTTTCTTGCCTGACTACCTCCGGAGCGAGGTAGCTGGGAGTACCACACATCGTCTACAGGAGGTAGATGAGTATTAAGAATGAAAAAAGCAAAGCAAACTTACGCGAAGCATCGTAAGACTGTCAACGACCTTAGCAAGACCGAAATCTGCTACTTTGACAATTGGAGGATCATGTTTGGTCAGTAGAACGTTCTACGGCGTCTTTAACATCGACAGTTCAAAGAGGAGTCAACAATACACGTACTTCCGGCTTAAGATCGCGATGAGTGACACCAAGACTATGGACGTACTGGACATATAGTGAGTTATTGGTCGAATACTTAAGTGAATCATACATACAGCGAGCGCATCGCACAACTGCCAAGTGATATGGCGAGCTAAGTCTTCCGACAAACCGTCGCGTGAAGTGATGTAGTCAAGGAGATCACCGCCTTCGACAAGCTCAAGCACGAGATCTGAATAAACTTGGTGAAACTAATGGATATACGAGGGAACCAACAATACAGACTGGTTGATCCATCCTGGTGATAATAGACGCTTTTCATCTCGCAAATGTTGGGGTGCGAAAGAGCGGTCATGATATTGATCTCTCTATTGAACTGAGTTTGCTTCGTTACAGATGTTGATCCTTGTGGGCGTTTCTCGCGGATCATCTTGATGGCAACCCATTCTCCGGTTGTACGTGACATTGCTTTGACGACAGTGGCAAAGGCACCTTTGCCAAGTTCGTGGGAAATTTCGTAGTCGACATGGACACCCTCAAGCTTGTTTCCACCAGCAACCATACGGAATATGTAGCCTTCAAAGCAAAAATCATCAAGTTTGACTTGGATGAAAGATGAAGAACATACGAAAGTCATCTTTACTGCCTGGACCTTGTGGCATGACCATACCAAACGCGATTTCATTCCCATCATGAAGTAGACGCTGGCGTCCTCTCCCAATCTTGGAACCCTTTATCTAGGGGAATGAATGATATGAACCTCAGACGCGTTCTAAAACGATTGACTTACAAATGTACCATTGGTCGATTTGTCCACGACGGTAACAGTAGCAGTCTCGTTGTTGCTGACACCATCCCATACTATGTCACAGTGGTGATTGCCTTTCACGAGAAGATGAGCGACTGGATGCGGCAGAAGCTAAAAGTATACTCACTGACTTTGACACCCGGAAGAACAAAGGTACTCGTTGGACTACGTCCAATGTGAACGGTGGGAACGGTCTTGGGGAAATCTATGCGAGTGTTGTTGGCGTTGCAGGGTTGGAGGATGCCCCATAGGTTGCTATCTACAGGATTCGCCTGCGAAGGCTGTTGAGTCGACTGAGTAGCCTGCTGTGTCTGTTCCTCGTCGTAGTCGTAGGCGTAGTCGTTCTCCATTGTCGTGTGCAAGAATGTGGCGGAGTAGTGGTGGTGGTAGAGAAAAGAGAATGGGAGACTTTTTATACGTGCAGGGTAGGATTCCCCGTTCGGTATGTGTTTGTTTAATTTGGGTTCCTTTTTGCGTCTTCGCCGATCGTAGGACAAGAAACCGAAAATGGGTGGCAAGGAGGCCACCTCGAGGAAATTGTCCAGGCGCCCTAGACTCTGAGCGCGTCGCCGGCGCAAAGAGTATTCGACGCGTAATTCTCAACTGCGGCAGCGTACCCAATATCGATGCGATTCTCTGCTGTCTCGTACGCGAGAACAAGGGGAATAAGCAAGAGCAATTTACATCTGAGCTAGGGAGAACGACCGTGACTGTCGCATGTCACGAGCGTCACTGACGTGACGTGACAAGCCCTTTCAACGAATGTCACCCCTTGTTCTTGGATCTGCACCTTGCTATCGAACCTTTGTACGTCTTTCTACGTTTCATTCATAACGTTGAAACGGGACTGTATTATTGAACGGAAAATCTAACATAGGATTACAAGGATATCGTGCTTTTTTTATTGAACGTTGCCATTGGATACGGTACGTACAATTCAAGAGCCCTTCGCAGCAGTAATAACACTCATGCATAGATAATGCCTGACTGGGTCCATTTCCCACAAGAGCTTATCGATGCGATCGTCAACGAGGTGCACAACTCTCGTGATCTCAAATCGTGCTCTCTTGTCAGCCGCAGCTTCTCTTCGCGGACCCGTGCTCTCCTCTTTCACCGAATCAACCTAAGAGCTATCAGATACGTCGAAAATTTCGTTTTTACAAAATTCCACGAGATTTGTCTCTCGTCACCGCAGTTATCTGCCAGTGTCAAGATCTTGGGTATATCCAAGTACGGTAAAATATCACGGTCGACCCCACCGCCGGCTGGTGGTATCCTTGACCTCATAATTCAATCTTTGCCGAATCTGGGCGTCATTACACTACTTGACGTCCGCATGGATTATTTTCTTGATGGTTCACTTGCGTGTCTTTCCTCATATTCATTTCTCGGAATTCACCTCAATGATGTCGTCTTTGACAATATAGATCAGCTCTACGAACTTATCTCCGGATCGCCACAGCTTAAATCCCTGATCTTGTCCCGGAGTGTTTTAGTTTTCAATGAGGAAAGCCAGCGCTCGGCAGCGTATCTTGCATCACCTCAAGTTGAGGACCTAGTTCTCAAATATGATGATAATCCGGCTCATCGAGTTGGCTCGGGAATCCTCGAAAGCATATTCCGACAAGGAGGCTGTCCATTCTCTTTGGAGCGAGTGAGACGTCTTACGATCAACGTTGGCCACCATCACAAGGTCGATTTTGATCGCGCTAACGCCATTCTTGCTGCTACGTCACAGACTCTTCAGGAGCTGACTGTGGTTCTTAACCGTAAGTGCCATGTCAATACCCGGCACCTCTTCATTAATGCAGTTTCAGCGTTTTCCTACTGGCCTCATTTTCGTCCCGAGTCGCCTTTGCATATCCTTTGCTTTGGCTCGACACGAAAAATACTCTTCTCATTCATTCATGGTTTTGACACAACGGTAAACCTCTGGTGGTGTATCCGCAACCTTATTCACATTCGAGACAAAGTCGGACAGTCAACTATCGAAGAGCTGGCTTTCGAAATAGTAGCGGATGACGTGGCTGTAGCTATCAAGGAGTGGGCGGAGCTGGATGAATTACTATCCAACCCTCCATTTTCCGATACGTTCCGACGTCTCCGCGTTACTATTATACAACATCCTGATCTGGATCCCACAGCTGAGGCACAGAGGGCAGACTTTGGGTCTTTCTTTCCATCTTTGAGCCAAAAAGGAGGAGTCAGCTTTAGCTTGGGTAAGATTTATGACATTTTTATTTGTGCAACTGTTGAAGCTAGGCTTTTGTGATAGACTATAGCGAATGGAAGCAGTTCTTCAAGTATAGAGAGGATTGGCGTCGGTCCGACTGGTATTCTGCTTTGGGCTTCAAATCTATGACCAAAGTAGCCTTCTATCACTAGAAATTTTACTGATTCTGAATTTTTGGAAGATTTGCGCCAGTTACATTCAAAAACGTGTACGTAATGATTGACGAATGAAATCGATAGTGTTACCGTATAATGCCAATGAATGTTAACGCGTCAGCGGCGCAGCTCTTCCTTGTTCACCATCAGCACCATCCGAACTTTACTTGACCGCTAGTATCGAATTAACTGGTACAGAGCGTTCGAGGGAAACTTCTCTGGTTTCTGGGCCATTCGAAGTCCTGACGAAGTACTGCTATCATTTCTCGACGGTAACAGTGCTTCCCGTGTCCCAGCCGCTTATCCGGCATCCGTCCCGCCAGTCCCACCTGTCAACTGTTCTTCTGGTGCTGCAGTTTCTTCAGAGTATATTGAAACCGGATCGCCTAGGCCCCCTTTCCTTGCCGCCACTGAAACTAGTGCTGACTACTGTGAAGCCCACAGTTAGCGGAGCGCACACTCAGACACAGTGTGAGCGCTCTCTACCTAAAGGCTGCTATGTTGAATGTTCTCTGCAGCATCGACTGTCCTTACGGACGATAACGTCTTGCAGTGGTTCTGCATTGGAGTTCCAATTCACCTTGCGTGCGAAAGATCAGTGCCATGAATTGGAAAAAGACTTACTCACTTTTACGAAGCCTTTACATGTATGACGTTAAGACCATTCAACAGATGGGACTGCGCCACGCCGGGGGTTTTGTACCTCCGAGCTTCAACACTACTGGCAACAATTCACTCCTCGGAGACGGACCGCGCCGTGTAGTATGTCCTTAACCGTCCAGGTCCATCGCCCCAAGATATCACCATGTCATGCTGTGTTAAATTGATATCCGTTTCCTTCACATTCCTGCTCATCCAGGGTTAGACGAGAGCCCCAGGAGGAGAACTATTCATTCATTGGTTATAGAAGATCAGAAAGATGAATCTGCAAATCTCTTTGAGGAGCGGACGCTTCGGCTATATCCTGCGATTGTCTTTGGTAGGCTCATCAAAGCAACCAAGGTGACTAACCAAAATCAGAAATTATATTCCTTGATTCGCGTCTTTTCAAAGATCGGCGGGTATACACTCTTTAGCCGGGTTCTGTTTCTCATATATTCTGGAAGGATGGCACCGTGATCAAGAGCTCGGTGTTGTGACATTGGCTCATCACCAAAAATATTTTATTCAAAGCTACAAAGGGCTAAATATCAAACCCTTTGAAGCTGTCAAAGGGTAAAAACTCACCCAACACATCTAGGGAACACTGCATAAGACCCTTGATACTTAGCTTTGCGTAAATGGGAATCGTGTTCGTATGGTATGTCACAGGTTGTCATTAACCTCGACTGTCAGATGACCCTGGTAGCCCTAGAGATACAAAGAACAGTTCATCAGCCGTATTCAGTTCTAGATGGGCGCGACTCACTGTGGTCATACAATAGTCTTTGGCGTATATTATACCCACCCTCGTCAGGCTCGCAAGGATACAGGCGATGCCCGCGCGACTAGACTTGCGTGCATAGAAGCACCAAATAATAGGCAAGAGTAAACGTTTTTGGATCCATCAGTTGACCATCAGCTAGCCGCACTACGTCTCCCAACAAAAGCTTCCCTCATGGACAGCTTCTCGAGCCTTCTCCGCATCAACGTATATCCGGTCATGACCCCCCAGGTTGTATAGACCGGCATATTCGACGGCAAGGATGTTGAACGAATCGAAAAACTACTGACGCCCGGGTGCATTTCATCACCTCCCAGGGACCGTACTGGGTATTGATACGCGTTCCCTATGATAGCACCTCATGCGCATGAGCATCGGTCCCCCATCCGCGGAGGGAAAGACGGCGACTATGCCCCCCGAACGCTTTAATATACTTTGTAACAACGTTCATATCTGTGGCCGTCGAATATCGCTAAATCTCCAAAATTACAGATCCTCTAAATTGCGTATGCTGTTTTGGCAACATCCACAACTAGTATGAAGCCTCAGAGGGGAAAGGACGAGGACGAGCATTCGCTTAGTTGGAAGATAATGTCAGCGGCGACTTGTGCTAGACGCGCTAGAGAACCAATACAGCAAGGCCAGAATGCGGTGTCGATAAACCAAAATTGGGTCCGTCCACGAGCCAATAGATTTCCAGTCACATTCCCATGAATGGGTATACCCGCTCCATTGCAGGGCATCATAAGCGATCTGGTAGAACGGTAAGCGGGAGTAAGTCAGGCCTGGAAGTCGACATACACGAATGGGAGGAGGTGAAGTTGCACCAATATCAATGATCGTGCACAATCGAACCACGATCTCTCATAGTTTGGTCCGGAAACAAACAGGTTGCAGTGACCTAGACACTCGATGGTCAACAATTGATACGAAATCCAAAATGCGAGCACCATGCATACTTAAATGCCAAATGGCAGTAAGGTTAAGGTCTTTGTCAAGTAGCTCCATAAAGTATACTCTTTGACATTGACTTTATGTTCTGCTCTGTCAGCGAGCACGTCGCAAAGCTGAAAGGCATGAAGGACGAAGGACGAAGAATGAAACCTCAATAATATGCGCCCTCGGTGAGGTAATGATTTCGGTCAGCATTTGCATGGAGGTCCTTCGAATAAAACTGCAAAAGAAAGATAAGCGAATCATAAATTCTCGATAGCATATATGCAGCTGCCATACTACCTCCAGACATACTGCAGTCATCACGGATATTCCAGTCATCGGTGGTGCAGAAAAGTGTCGGACAGGCGGGTGACGTTCCTCGATATCGTGTTATGGAATTAACCGCCAGCGAGAAGCAAGCACGGTAAGTGGAAGAATATTCGTACTTTTCTTGACATCGTTGTTGCAGTAAGGGAAAGCAAGACACCGTGGGAAAACCCTCCAAATCAGGACTTGGTATAACGTCGGTCAGGCCGCTTCTCTCAAGGCTCCGTATCTTCTTCAAGGTATCTATAAATCTAATTTTTATGTAGGGCGTTGGTCCCCCTGGGCTCTGACCGACATGTATAATCCTTCAACGCATTTATTTTTTTTGTGGTTCCTGTGACAGTATCAAACCCGTGCGACATCTCCAGTTGGCACCTAGTGGATATCACAGCGGCACGGTATTGTTAATGTCCGTGACATTTTTTCTGGCAGTGGCACAGAACCCCGGTGTTCCTTGTGGGAACCATATACCGGTTTTTTAAACTCTAAACTCTTCAATCATGAGACCAAGACTGGCAGTATGGTCTGCTACGCCAAGCGAAATTGTTCCGCTATCTAATCACCTCCCACCCTTCACCGAAGTAGTCTTTGAGTTCGTCCGCTACGATGGAAGGACCTGGAAGGCTCACAGGAAAGGTAGTCATCATTACAGGCAACACTTTTCTCGTTACAATCATGTCGTTGTGACACTGACAGTCGTTTTTTAGGAGCCGCTATGGGTCTCGGAAGAACGATATGTACGCGACATGTCAAAGAAGGAGCTGGTGTCATGTTCATGGACATCGACGCCCAGGCAGGCGAAGCCGAGGCGTCCAAAAACCCCGAAATGACCGTCTTGGTGAAGAGCGATGTCCGTTTGATCACCGATTGGGAAAAGGCGAGCGCCGTTGTGCTACAGAGATTTGGAAATATTGATATCGTCATACTGCTGAACCTTGATAACGAATTGATCATTTATATCCGTATAGAACAGCGCTGGAGTACAGGCCAAGGAGAAGGAAATAACCGTTAGTAATAACTCTTGCTTGAGTGAAATAACTCTTGATATCGAGCTCATACAGTTACTACACCTGGTATCGGAGGAGACGTATGATGATCTCTTCAGCGCCTTGCTCCAAACAGCCCACACGCTTCTGATTTAAAACCTCCTACAGCCTATACATATCTGGGCCAAAGTCATTATCCCCATTTTCTTAAGGCAGGGAAGCAGTGTCATCATCAACATGACTAGGTATCCCTTATTCATGGTTGCGTTCGTATGAATTTCTTCCCGTATTTCTTCCCAGCACCGGTGGTCCCCGCCCAAGACCAAATTACGCCATATAGAACGCGACAAAAGGTGCCGTGAATCTGTTTACCAAAACCATGACCCTCGAATACGCTCCGGCTCTAGCGATCAACTCCATGTAGATACCTCACGTCACAGCTCGTTATAACTGAAACACCTCCAAAGTTGCAAGCGACAACTCGGTGCGAAAGAAGACACACTGGAGAACCGTGCGCCCTTCCTGCAGAGTGCGTGTTAAACACGATTATATATCGCATAGGTTATTAACTCACGAACCTGCAACTATCCTCATGAACCGTCTCTGTGATCCAGAAGATATTTCCAGCATGGCGATATCATTTTTAGCTTCTGACGAAGCTTCCTTCATTACAGGGATGATCTACGAGGTTGACGGTAGTCGGTGTATTTTTCTCCTTTCTCCCTGGGGTTCGCTAATTCGTCCCCTTTTAGCGATAGGCACGGGGGTTCATGTAATATCGTCAGGTCAGTTGAACTATGCTGCATTATGCGCTCCATTTTATACTGTCTATACCGAAAGTGTACATACCACTCAGAATCCACCATAGGTTCTGTTCCATGAAGGGTCATTTCAGTCACGTCAATACATATTACTTCGTACTGAATTAATTACCGAGAACGCTGAATATATCAGCGATCCCATAGGAAGGAGGGCCTGGGTCATGGCGTTATGTAAATTGAATGATACTATTACAATTCCTCTACGACGCTGCATCTCTCCGGTTAAAATAGTTCATTGACAGGTATGTCTAGAACCGAATGAAGAAGAATAATCGTAAAGATGTAGTCCTATGCACGGAAAAAAAGATGATGAAAGAATATACATACACACTCTCAGAACCTATCCTGGCTTGAGGGCTGCACCAATCGTACCACACCTCTGGCACCGGACGATGATTCATCCGAATCATCATCCCTCCTCTGCACCAAGCTTACACTCTCCTCCCTGTCTATATCCTGATCGCCCCTGGGATACTTCTTCGATGTCCGTCCCCTCGTTCCATTCTCATCTACCTCATCCCCGTCCCAACTCCGCGCCGAATCAGTGACACTCGGGAAGCTCAACAAGGTCGCGGTACTTGGACTATTATCGCCCCCAAATATATCACGCGAGTCCACTCTCTGTTGGCCAGGACGCGCGAGTCGGGGATTCATCGATGGTGGCGCACTTTGCACCGCATGCTCGTGTGTATAGCTTGGCGGCACCATCACCGACTGTTCTCGCAAACTATTGTATGAGGTAGGGCTCTCTGCGAGGAGATCAGGTTTGTTGTCGATGATGGTCTCGAGTGGCCGTGTCCGTACAGTAGGCGGATATCCGCTCCCGCTCCCACCTCCTGGCATTACTATCCCTGGAATGCCGAGAGCTAGTCGATGCTCATGCGTAGCTGCGTGATCATCACGCTGACCGTTCCCGGTAGGATGATACTGATGTATGAGATCTTGGCTGCCAAATTTGATCGTAGGTCGTTTATTCATTATTTGAGAATCTGTCAAGGAGGGCGTCTTTATTGATGAATCATCGTCTCCCCTCGTTGCGCCAGCTCCAGATGACTGGGAATCGCCTGTGTTCGCTCGAGGGACTGGGGCATCATACAATTGATGCCGCTTGAACCCTGATAGATAATCAAGAGCCGTATTTGGTGTCGTATTATTGGCTTCTGGCCACTCCCGACGTCGTTCGGGATCGTAAGGAGCCGCAGCGCCAGGAGGCCTTGATCGATATGACGAAGCACGAGTGGCTTCACTGACGCGTCTGGCACTCCTGGCTCGAATGATGCTGCCCATAGCACCGAAGGAGCCTCGTAAGGCGTCCATACCCGGATCCTCGATACCAATTGCCCCCTTTTCTTCCACCTCTGTTTGTGACCGTGCGGCTTGGAGAAGGAGAGTAGAGCGCCGGTCCAGTTTCGAGAGATGAGTGGGGTCCACTTTGGACATCTGGAGGATGGTGATGCCTATGCAGATGACAAGGAAGCCCATGACAATTGTGATAATCTCGGACGCGCTGGAATCAAGACCTTGGAATAGTACCTAAGAAGACAACATCGGAAAAGTGACCAAGGAAGGTCTAGTCGGATCTTACCACAGTTGTCACCATCGAAAAAAAGGTGACTAGGGGGGGAAAATAAGCATGGAAGTATCGAATATTTGAGACTAATACAAGCTTACATATGACATAATATGTCGGCGTCACTGGAGAGTATGTGAGTACGTTGATATTTCGAAAGAAAGACGCATACCCATAGCTAGATACACTTCGTGAGCCAACTATAGAATTGAGCAAGAGAAAACGAACCAGTGTTGAAAAGCGCCAGCGCCTTATTTAAATAGTACACTTCTGTAACTGTAGAACCACTGTGTCAGTGTTCCAGAAGGTAGAGCAAAACGCGTACTTAAAGTTATCGCGACGAACGCTATTAGAAAGTACATGAACCAGTGCTTGAACTGGTTATCGCCTTTTGCTGTCTGAACGATGGCTGCGCCGACACCGGTGGTGACGCTGACACTAATGCCGCCAATCATACTGCATACAAAAATGTACCAAAGCATGCTCTTAGTGCCATATCTGTCGAAGTGTCAGGACAACACGCGTGAAAAAATAGAGCGCGCGTACTTTGGTGCAAAGAAAAAGATGATGACAAGCGATGCCGCTATTAAAACGGAGATGTAGACAAGAAAGCCTGGGGCCAAAAAAAGCTTCTGAAACTCTGTTATTTGACCAACGAGATCTTCCTTGGGACCTGCATAATACGCTATTAAGATCGTACATGAAGGAAAGAAACGTGACGCACCATTAAGGGCAATAACGACAGACCCAAGCTGAATGACATCAGAGATGATCCAGACGTGAAAGATACGTATGACACACTATGCATAGAGCACATCCCAGCCAACCGAATATCGTCAACGTTTCTTTGAGGAATATAGATGATAGAATTGCGCATATAACGACAGAAAGTGCACCGAGGGGTGTCTGTAGGGTTAACAAGTTTGGTTGCACTGCCCTGCTGCGGAGGATAAAAATAAGGACTGACCACAACGATGGCCTCAATGAAAGCATAGGCTTGGGGTCAGAAGAAATTAGTTATGTGGGAGATGAAGGAGAAACGGAGACGCACCTGCAGAATTGCAGAGCTCGCCCATTATCATCACTACCGGACGCTACTAGTCAATGTATGCACTAGGACCGCGAGACGAGACACTTACTCGTCATCCCAATCCACCATAGTGGCTAGGAGAAGAGATGAGCACACGACGAAAATGAGAAACGAACGAATAATGCTCGCCGACTTGAGATATGCCACACCCTCTCCCGCTACACCGCCCGCCTGCGAGCGCAAGAGACCCTTCTTCTTGAAGACAAAGCTGGATCCTATCAGAAAGCCACTGACGACGGCAAGGATAATCCCAACGACCTGAGGATAATATGAACATGTGGTACGATTCTAGCGATCACTGAACTAGGACCTTGAGATTAGAACTGGTCGAAGAGGAGCTCGACACCGACGACGTCGCAGACGCCGTCGCCGATGAGGTCGACGACGCAGATATGGAGGATGACATTAATTGGTGAACGTCGGGATGGTGAGAGTCGACGTTGAAGCTTGGTAACCGCGATCATCAGGCTTGGCCAGGTCCGTCATCTCGGATTAGGCTCATCTGGCACTGCTCTGCCCGCCAATCTCTTTTATTAGCGACTTGGTACAGTGCCTGCTAACAGCGGCGACGTCAGCGATATGGTACTCTAGATCTGGTTTCGGTTGCTCAAGTAGGATTGCAGATGGAGCAGGAGTGCACATGGTTTTTTTTGCCTTTTGTCTTCTATCATTCCTTGCTGACATGCATTTTGCGAGGACCTGTTTCAGGAAAAAGTTTCTCTACATCCAACGAACGTAGCAACAACGTTGTCCCCTAAGCCGGCTTTCTTTGTCCGGATTTCCAACAGTGCTGCGGTCACAGCCTGGGCGGACATTACCAAGGGCATTGCACAGTGGCGAAGTTGAGGGTAACTTTACCCTGGCTCTGTGCCGAAGCCGACTGCTCTGTCCTCAGCTGTCTTCCCAGCACGTCTTGGCTGACCTTGATCCCGAGTAAATAATAACTGATGGAATAACTCGTGATGACCGTCGATTCTCCCACCGACTGTAGACGTGCAAATGGTTCTTCCTTGCTCCAGGACCCGCCTATCCGCCTTAATACCGACATTACCGTGATGGCAACTAAATGAAGGCTTTCATTGTCTGGAAAAGCATATCACAAGCTCGTGCCACATCAATAAACCATCCGAAAGCAGCGCACCCATTTAATTTTTCGTGAGTAGATACAGACATCTCTGGACTGGGGTATACGTTACTCGCCTTGTGAACAAGCGTCTGTTTCCTAACCTGTGCTGTATAACAAAACTAAGTTTCAAGCCACGCTACCCCACCTCTTCGTTGCTATTCTGGTCCATCCTAATTGGTATTAACATTGGAAGAAGACAAGTATCGCCGAGTTCTATTCAACTTCCTCTACAAATTCGCCACCCGAATCATTGGCTAACCTAACCCAAAAATCTAAAGCATCTTAAGGTCCCTGCTGTAATCACTTGACAATCGGACTACCCGCGGGTGAACCCGCCAGAGAATAAACATCTGTTTTAGGCCATCTGATATTCTACGGTAAACCTGCGTCGAGACCTGCCGATGTAGGCAGGCCGTTTGCTTCGGATACTTTGCCACCTCAGCTCTTTCTTTCAGCCACATGCAAGTTAATGGTAGGTCCTGGGGTTAGGTCCAGGATCGACGGACCGTCCACAACGTGGGTTATTCTTCTGCCAGTGCTCTCACGCGTTAAAACCCAAAAATGACAGGTCCTTTCCCTGAGCGGAGAGAGACATTCGAGCGTAGTGCAACCGCGTCCTTAACTTCCATAATAATGGTTGCGTCTTTGATCGAAGAGAAGGTACCTCGGTGACCAGCAATTACAGACGCGAGTCTCTTAAGTTCACATCGGGCGTCACCATTCAAAATCGTCGCTAAATGCGTCACCCGCGGCAGCATTCTTGCGGAAAAAAAAAATAATACATGACAGGGCCCATGACGAATAGGACATGATTCAAGGTTGTTAACGACCTGCCCTGGTTCCGGAATTCTAACGGAAGCAAATTTCCGACGATCTTCATCATGCGTGGCGATAGAGATTCGAAAATACTGCGCTAGGGCACAACGTCAGGAAAAACACTTTAGAAAATTCGAGTGTAATTGGAAATACGGTCCTGCCATCCGAATCTCCGGCGATGGGGCGCAAGCCCTTTACCTCCAACAGTTCATCTCAACACTGGCAGAGGATTTCTGTCTGTAAACGAGGAGGTTCAAGTAACTGCATTCTTCATCATTACGAGAGGGAATACATATACGGTTAAAGATGTGTGAGCGATAAGATTTGATCTCTCAGGCATGTGCTGAAAGAACGATCTACCTGTAGGTCCATAAGTATCTCGGCATCTTTGATCTCATCACGAGGCTGGGCGAAAGGGTCCAGGGAAGCAGTGTTCCAAGCCCTCAATGTGATTTATATTATGCCCAGACTGCTCTTTAAACGCACACTCTACTTTTAACCTCCCAGGTTCCTTCCAGTCTGTGTCACGTCTCCTCGCCGATTACTCGATGCTTCTTGATTCTGGTCTTGCTTACTACGCGATGGATGGCGTGCACCATCGTGACCGTCCTAGTACCACGATATGGAACGACACACAGGGAAACGCTTTTAGTGGCTCTTGGCGCTTCGCCCCATCTCAAGGTCGCGATGAATCGCTTCCATCCAGATCGTCTTATCAAACGCGTTCAGAGGTGTTCATTGTCTGTTGACATTTCATTGTGATGGTGCGCTGACTACAAAGCTTTACAGATGCAGGTGTATGCGAATGAATCCATTTCTTCGTTTGCCCAGACGCTGAAGGAAGAGGATGAACGTTTTTACGCCACCTTTCCCGATGCCAGACCCCGCGTCTCCTCTCGCAAATGGGTTTCCTCCACGATGGCGTATGAATATCTTCAGCCCCACCTTTACTATGCCGATGAAGGCTCTTCCGAGTTGTCGGGTACAGGAGGTCACGGGGCATGCGGTGCATCAACATACTATGAACCCCGCATTCCGTACGTTGGCGTCAACGTCCAGAGTGGTGAAGATGCTGGCGTTAATCATTGCCAGGACGTACAGATGGCAGAAACATACGATCCTCAACTTCCGGTGCGTAGGCTTCCTTTCATTTCTTTAAGGCCTGCTTATCGCGTCACAGGATGTCAGCAATCAGCATCACCCTTCCTGCAATGGAACTCCATCACTGGCTCCTCTGCGCATTTCCCAATCCTCTTTGATTTCTTCTCCCGTGGTCTTTGCTCTTCACCGTCTTGATCCGGGGCTAGCCAGAGATACTACTCAATCTCCGTGCTCAAATGATATTTCTCCTCGAGCTCGCAACGTTCTTACCACCACTGATCTCTCCCCTAGTACACTCTCATGCGACGATAATCGTCTCGTTTGTGAGTTCGAGGACCCTCAATCAGATTATGCATCCTCTCCGGAATCTGTCTATATGCCAGGTATACCTCGTATACCGACACTATCCACCCCTGACACAGAACTTAACTCTCCTTCAAAGTCAGACGACAACCGGGAAGTCGATGACACATGTTTTACTTCTTTCAACGGCACATGGCCTCATCTCCGCGTCAGGACTCATGCTACTCTCGCCCCATCGCCTGCAAATGAAAAACGCTTACCGTCATCAGAAGAATGTTCTTTGCGGGTCGGTACAAAGCTTGATGGAGCGGCTTCGAAGCGTCAGTCTCCTGCTATTCTTGCTAAAGCCACCAAGCAGCCAGTCAAGGCGTTACCTGCCCACAAACGCGCGGTGGGCAAGAAGCCTTCTCTGGCATGCCTATTTTGTCGCGGTAGAAAGATTGCATGTGGCCCGCCTCTTCCAGGAAGCACAGACAAAACTTGCAAGTATGTTGTTTCTCCACGTCATGTTTTCATTACCGACGCCTGATCGTCCGAACTTCGGTCACGTCGACATCGTTTATTTTGTCTCATTCACATCGTTGAAGATGCAGGCTGACGTTAATTTTCTCTAGTCAATGTCAGCGCCGATCTTTGAAATGCGAGTTTCCTCGCGAGAGTCGAAGGGGCATGAGAAAGAAGAAAGCCGAGTCGAACGCTGTCGCATCAATTCCCGCTGAAGAACCGCCCGTCAAAGCATGAGATGCATGAGACCTTGGACCCACCACGGCGCATTCGGCAGCGACGGGCGCTCCGGTGGTCCTCTTTCCTCGGTAGAGGCGGATTACGGTACGAACGGTGCGGGGAATATCAAATCCTGGTCTCTCTATCTACGCGTTCCCGCATGTTTTCCATACACCACTTACCTTATCTAGATTGTTTCGTAATGCTTTCGTGACGCCACGGCTATTATATATACGCATTTGTTTTTGCTTTCGAAAGACCTGCTATCGTTGTTGTACAAATTAGTATTTTACATTACTCCATGACATTTAGAAATGAAAATGACCTTCAAAATACATCCAAGCTACGAGAAACTTCGCGCTGCAAGCAGGGGGATATGAAATATTAATTGAATTGGTCGTCGGGGACTGTTGTTATACTTACAAGATCTAACGATGACCAGTCCCATATGGTCGACTCAAGAAGAGGGCCGGAATAAAGGCGTTCTTCGAGTTGACTTGGAGAAAAATCACAACCATACATGGTCAGTGCAACGGAGAACGGTCCGTTGGATCCTTCAAATTGTAATACACGTGAAGGAACTACTAAGCAGATATTATTTTTTTCGGCGTGTCATTGTTCCTTGATAAGTTGGGGGTAGAAGTGTGCTAGTCGACCTTGGTCGACTCGGCATCCCACGTTGCACGTTTCAGCTTAAAAGCGAGAACGGCACAGCTGCGGCAAGGGTTTCATCATCTCTGTCCCATTTACATTGGCGAAAGTCCTCATCAGACGAATATTATTTTAACTTTTTATAGCTTCACCTGTTGGTACCTTGTTGCCCAATGCCCTTGTTGACATCGATCCACCAGAATATGCGGATATATTTCAGGGCTGAGAGAGGAAGCTACAAGAGATTCTTGATCAAGGGGACACAATTGAATTAATGATGCGATCTGTGATGTTTTTCCACAGAACTCTGAATGGGGGATCCTTGAGCGATCGGCCATCAAAAAAATTGGTGTCGGAAGGGGTCTCGGCACAAAACACCGAGGTTACCGCCCTCAAAGCAAAAAAAAGCTCAAAAATAGAACTTGCCACTGGAAGGATTAAGGTCAGCATCGCTCCTTCCCCGGATATAGTCCCTTCGCGACCCGACAAATCGTCGAAGTCATGGTGAGTGAGTTATTATAAACAGATGTAATGGTGAAATAGAAAATGATATGGCCGGACCGCACCAGGACCAATGGTTCTCAAAGTGATCTGCAACCAGTCTTGGTATTCAGCTTGAGCGCCGCGGTGTCACTCGGAGTCGATCAACCATTGCATCCCGCGAAGCGAAAGTGAACTTCAACGAGCCGTATTAGAGCGGTAACAAAGGCTTCACAGTTCAACAAATTAACAGGGATTCCGGTGCTTCCAACAGTTGACACCCAAACTTACTCGTTGATGGGCTACTGCTCAATGCTCCAGATGCGTGAAATATCTCCGTACTTTTAGGATCTGGTGGGGAAATTTCGAAAATTTCCTGCATTTTGACAACGCCGCGGGTTTTGGTTTTGACCAGAATATCTTCATCCGGAATTATATAACGGCTGAGGAAGGAAGGACCTGAGGAGTTTAAACATTGAAAATGATCCTTTTGACTCGTTTCCACTTTCCAATTTGTTTAGATCTTACTGCACTATGCAGTATGAGCACGATTTGCGTTTACATCGACAGTGATGCGGCGGGCTAGCAAAAAGATAACAAAAACACATCGTGGGATCAGATGTCGCGTCAGTGATATTACGAGTGATATTACGCGCGGCTCACTGAATTCCAGATGTTTTCCGACCGAAATGCGCATAGTCGCCGACCGGCCCGCTTCCGCAGGAAGGAACCCGAATTTTTGGATTTCCACCATCAAGCCTGTGCCATGCCAATGAAGTTTCAGAGTTGGCGGCTAAACTTAACGTGCGTACGCATCAAATGGGAGCTACTTGTTATGCATGGTTAGAAGACCTACTGTTTAGATAAAAACTACATCAGTCTATCAGAACTTTCGGATAGATCGTTGAATCGGAAAATTAAAGCGACCATCAAAACCTACAAACTTGTTCGAGATAGTAAACGAAGCTGGACAATGAGCGCAGCTTTCAAGTCCAACGACTGTATAACCATTTTCGCCGAGGCCCTCTTTACCGGTGACCGCCAATTCTAGCATCGAAAGTCCGTCTTCCCGGATGCATGTAACATGCGTCCTCATGCGTCACGTATAAGCGTTACCTTGATATAATAAGCAGTCCTGTTAAATGCATCTGGCCACCCTGATCAACTCGGAGATCATGAGAGGTGGAATGACAGTACTAACAGCAAAAATTGTTTCAACAAGTGGGGGTGGTTCCAAGTTGCGATTAATAAGTAGGGAGCCTATTCACACCACAAAGACCGTTGCAGGCCATGTGCACGAGTACCTGATAAATAGAAACTTGAAATACTAGGAAAGGGCTCGGTCACTGGAATCAACAGTCGACTTCAAAACAGTCTTCTTTTCGCAACGTAAAGTCAAAATACGTTGGTAAGCAAATAAACATACATCAGAACATCAACACATAGGTGCAAATTATCGAATGTCCGAGAAGTCGGACTGTCTCGATGTTTCTAGTCAGTCGCGTTGCAAGCAACGATGCGATAAAGAAGCCAAGACTTATTTGTGTGGAATCCACGATCTGAAAACTCCGGTCATTCCTATCCCAAAGAGTATACGATCAAAGAAGGCACAAGGTTGCAATTCATTTGTCGAAAAGCAGGGTTCCGTGCGCGACTCCGTGGGACCCTACCCTGAGGAACTGTCGTTAATCTTTTGTCTGCAGTTACAGACAGCGGCCGTATTTCACGTAGATTAGAATCAAATCTTACTGAGAGCCGAGTGATTGAACTTCTGTATATCAGACAAGAAAACCAAGGGATAAGAGTCTCGACAAGCAACGGTACTTCGAGTGGTCGTCAATATACTCGGTTTATGCGCTTCGCAAACAATTTTTGCTTGACAAATCGCATGTGCCTGGTGTACCAGTGAATCAGCAATGGAACAGCAGCAGGCGAGGCGAAAGCGAAGGCACCTTGTCCGCTATTTCCATATTAGCTGTAAGTAATGGGTACAGCCCCGGAGATTCCACCTTTGTCGTCAGCAGCTGCGGGCGCTGCCGGCCAGAATAAGGAATACTGTCGATATTATCGTTCATATCTACCCCTTCAACTACAGATATTACGACAAATTGAACGCCAAGACACTCAATCTTCTTCAGAGTGATGTTCGCGTAATTCTTGTCGCTGTATATGTTGGAGCTGCAGAGTAATTTCAAGTAACACACGGAACAGCTATAACATCAGGCATAAATGTAGCAAAGGTAATCGCCTTGAATATCCAGGACTTGCTCGACCTATGGGAAGGTGAGAGCTCAGAAACAATAAAACGACACTAGATACATACGGTCCCATTAGGTAGGACGCCAAGCAGGTTTAGTACCGTTTTCCTGGCGCATATCACATTTAGGTACAAGACTGATTTGGTTATGACGGAAGGACATGTACCACAAACCCGGTCTTAGGCTCCGCTTGAGTTTCATGGCCCGCCCCTAGGAGATCATAGATTCTTGTTTCGTTGTTCCTTGCCATTTCCACCATAGCTTTATAAACGTCTCAGTGAAATGTTCTCAGATTCAAAACGGAGGAAACTCGCGTAGCCTGTATATGAATGGTGCAGCCAAAAAAGTGGGTCATTAGGCGCTGTGCGTATGTTGTTCATCTACAGAGAGCACGGTTTTTAGCAAGGTCGGAGACTCATGGATTTATCAGCTCATATCACCTTCGACGGTATTACGGCCACCGCGATGAATGGTTGCAAAAAGCAGGTTTTGAAACCCTGCAAAGGTGGTGCGGGCACTCACCGCGGAAAGTCTGACCCACCCAAGTTGAGTTCCACCAATCGCATTCCCATGTCAGTAGATGAGGTGTGTCAATTTCCCCCGAACCAAGGTGAAGGGTTATATTTGCAAAGGGACCATCGACAACGGCGTACTTGTTTTCCTTGGAACCTTCACCTCCGAATTCCCATACAAGGGCGAATTCGTTGAATGCACCGGTGTCAGGGGCTTCATTCCAGTAGGGTATCTGTGCAATTGTGATATCGAGGAACGGGCCAGATGATCAGAAGGATTATACTTACACGTCCGGTGTACCCGCATTCATTGCACAAGCGTCTCTAGGGCATGTAGATAATAGCGATGGACTTAATATTAATATAAGACACGAGGAGCGGGTGAAAGGCCAGGACCGACAGCCAAAAATCTGATATGGTACATGGGTCAGGTGGATGATGCTATTGGAATTAATCGACTTTCAACGCACTGTCCAGTCACATGCCAAAGATCAGTGCCACCCTCCAAGTTGCTTTGCTGGGCACGGACGGCGATCTGAAGGTGGGATGAGTTGATGATTCCTAGGACAAATCACTTGTTTCACAAGATCATCATAACGCGAGACAACACCTTCAATGCCCGTCTGTGCTGGTGCATTTAAAAAACATAAGTTGGCCGTAAAGTAATCCTCTGTCAGAGTAGACCTATGGCCGCATAGCATTGAGTAAGACAGGGCCCGGGTATACGAGACAAGGACAAAGCTTACCACTCGACACGAAGAGACGCAAGTCGTTCTTCTTTTTTGATTCGATATTATTCTTTCTATTGGGGAGGTAGCCTTGAGACAAGGAAAGTCAGGGCGAACAGATGGAGCTCGAGAACGAGTCAATGCAGAGAAAGATAAGAAAAATCAATGTTACAAATATATGATATATTCGACAATAGAAACTTGGATGGCCTCGTTGTGGGAGATCCAGCATCGAAAGAGTGGATAGCTATGTGATTCCGAAAAAGAATTTCATCCTTTGTCTGTGGCTGCATCTAAGTGAAAGGTAGTTGCGCGCTGGAGGCCAGAACTCCATGAATCATCATTTGAGGTCGTTTACCATTGAGCTTGTCAGTTGGCGGAAATAATCCGCCGAATATGGAGTGGCCTTTCCAAAGAGAGAATTGAGTTCGCCAGGCCATCTTGGACCCGCGGACGAGACCCTTTCGGATCCAATGCCTGCTCTGACCACAATTCGAGACGCTACGCTCGATCCGATGCCTTCCTCAGGCTTGGTTAAATTTTGGGAAAGCCACTGTCAGGAAAAGTTAGAACTGCCCTACGTTGACCGTATCAAAGATACCATTGATGTGTAGACCGGACCAAGCTAACCAATCTGCGACCTACAACGTTGCCGATCATTTTCAGTGCATTTGGCAGACGTTACAGACTCACAAACGACCCCCATTCTATCCGCCACACTCGGTCGTTGGATTCCGCGGTCAATATTGAACGTGACGGTTGTCAGCCAGATTTTGTTCGGCTAGTGACCACTGACCAAAAAACTGTAAGAAAGATGGCCTGGTGCTGTTCTTGAGCAGCCGGGTCAAGGATTTCCTCTGCGAAATGCGTTTAGACAGAGTCCAACCCTGTCCAGCCAAGTGTCCGCAGGTACTTAGGCAGAAACGACTTGCACGTAAAGATTCAAGATTGTTGCAGGAGGACAAGCGGCACTGTCAATGTTTCAATTGCGAACTTGAAGATCTTTGTCAAAAGTAACTACTGACAGCTGACGCCGTCACGTGCTGAATTCTGACTCGTTCCCATTTCGTCACATTTGAGTAAACGTGCATCTTCACCGGTGTCCTATCCATGATGCTAATCAACTCAAAATTATGCAGGCTTATTGGAATTATCGTGGAATAGACACCGTAATAGATATGGAGACCGCAGTCGAGAAGCACCGCCATTAAACGTAACTCGCAGAGTCGCAGCATTTGACTGCTCCTGTCGACCCTTAGTCTGGAAGCGCATGGAGGATTTCTTGTGATACAGATTCCAATTAAACCTCTCATAGTAATGTCTCCTGACAGTAGTAGCCTGAAGTACCTGAACTTTTGGGTCTAACCTTCCCTCAGGAGATAACATACTAGAGTCACAGCAAAAGGGAATAAACAAGCCAGAAACAACCTTAGCAGCTTAACCTAAAAAGTTTGAATTTTCTCAGAGGCGAATGTCTTACGGTCATCGTGTTACCTCTGAATGAATTGAGGCACAGACGATCTAGGCACCTGCTAGTTCTCTGCGGGGTCCGCCCAATGGCCGTATTTGTTGATTTCCAATGTATTACTACCGCCGAAGACAAGATGGTCCTGCTTGTTTCTAGGCTTGGAATACTGCTTCTCCGTCAATATTGGAATACAATACCTGCATGTCAGGTACAGTTTTTTTTTCCTTCCCGTTGCGTTTCGTATTATTTTGGTTATTCTCATAAATTTTCTTTAATCTTTTGTGAGGGTACATCGTGCAGAGATTCGTGCCTTGTGCATGTCCACATGCATTGTTGTTTCAGATGATCGCAACACTTGAAAGCATCCCGGGCCCCAAATAACCCCCCTTCCTGACGACGATCAGCGGATAGACAGGATACTGAGAAAGGAAAGAACGAATGTACGCTATTCAATGCCTCTGCATCAAGAAATACGTGAATTCTGGACAGTAGTACACGTGCGGCCCTACCTCCACAAGCTCGTAGCTCCAGATTCCGCCGAACGACAACGCTACATGCTTACATCAATACCGAAGCCTTTATGAAGTATACGGCTCTTGATTTCTGCTAGGGCTAGTGTTACGTTTGTACCATCTGGACATGCTCATTACACCCGCGCGAAGGCAAGTAGAAAAGGAAAGTAACACCCAAGGTCTTCAGAAAATGATCGGTCGAGATGCATCGATGACCAAGGCGCAAACACCTGAGCGACACGCCTTAGTATAATAACTATGGTCACGACATCATATCTTCTCGAGGACCACGCTATAGCCACTTGCAGCATGGTGATATATCTTCGCCAAACTATCTCCTCCACCCTGAGATAAGATATGTGAGTAAAAAAGGACAAAGGCATCAAGCCTCAAGCTACCAGCTGATAATTGTATTGAGCTATTTCTGGCGATCTCCAATGACTCTGTAACGCTTCATGAGTGCATAAACAATAGAGACGTCATAAAGGAAGCGTCATTAGGCAACGCAAGCTGACTGTGCGGCACCACCACCGTCCAACGAGCGGCCGCTAACCAAGGTCCGGAATCCCGACCTACCATGAGAGATGCTATCTGATATCTGCACCATACCGAACATCTCATCCTCATTTTCACGGTAGAGAATGCTATAGTCGTTCTGCATCGAAAAGCTCGCTGAGCGATTAGGCTGGAGTTGAATGGCTTCAACATTTCGATGTATTTTTGACATAATATCCTTTTTTTGCATAACATGAACTACACGTGAGAGTAGCGATATCAGGGTGGAGCCGTAGTCAAGCATCAAGTGGCGTACATTACCAGGCCGCGACAGCTCGACATCCCAATGTATATCGAACGTATCGGGCTTTTACCACACACATCATGGAGGGCGTACATCTGTTGAAACTGAATACGACAGGGGCGAATGTAGATAGAGACATAATGCACAGACCGTTTCATGGACTGGAGTTGTCATGTCAAATTCTGACAGTGAAGGACATCTCCAGTCCAGCTGTAGATGCTCTAGGCTTTTTTGACTGAATCAAAGATACGCTAAAATACAGATGAGCGTTACAGATGGCGGGAAGCAGGGCTTCAAAGACCTTGTGACTTAGGTCGTACTGGTCCACCTATCCAACGGAATCGGCGCAGGCTGCGCTGCCATCGATAATCATTGGTCGCTACAATGATTTTGACCCGCAGAAATCATGCTGCTTTATGGCTTTTCCCAAGACTGCCTCCGATGGGCATATACCTATGCAAAGGTTGAGCACAATGATCAAAGAACATCAAACGTACATCTCGTACACCGGCAGTCGAAGGAGTTAATTCCAGCATCATAGTTACTCGCAGTGGCAGTTAAAAATGAATATCAGAAACTCAAAGGGAAAAAGATAATGACGTACGCCGCCTTGATTTGTCTCCTCTTCGTCTTGCACTAGTTGAACCAATCGGGACTCCTGTACATCGTACAACCAAGGATAATATTCGATGACTTCGACATTGAGGAACCGTCTTTGAGCAGGAGCAGCAGAACGGCTGGCAACAAACCGTGGTATTGCTGGAGAAGACATCCCGCGGGCCTGGAAAGGAAGAAAGGATTTTGCCGGTGCGTGCAACCTCCCGTCATGCAGATCTTTTCATATCAGGAAGCGCAGTAAAACTGAAGGAAAGAAGAGCAGACAAGTGTGGCAATTCTCAGCGAAATCTCTCGGTGGCTGGGACGAGCTTTGGGTGTACCCTTGTCACGGTTATCAGGCTCACATCACTGCCCGTGGGTACCCTAGGACGACGACTAATAGGCGAACCTAACCCACTTCACTTAAATAAATCGAACCCTGGTCCCAGTCTCAGGATGATGGTGTCAACGACGAAGCAGGTATATTTGGCAACGCAAATCGCCACAGAACCGCAGCTCTTCGAGCAAGTCTTTGCTTCCAGACGCGACAAGCTTTATCTGAATCCTGCTCAGGAAGATTACATGGAGGAGGAGATCGACAGAGCACGAGACGCCAGCATGCAGGGCACCAAGCAACATATCAGCGGGGATGAAAGCAAGGGTGGACCCAAAGCTCCAGACAGTTTATTTCAGCCCAGCGAAGGCAACGTGTAACTCGAAAGCGTCTTTTCAAAGATACTGGTAAGATCATCATGTATCAGAGCGATTTTACTAATTCGTGGTATAATTCGTGGTACTTACGTTCCTGTGTCACAGCTTCACGCTTCAAGCTTCAGAAGGCATGGATGTATTCATTTTTCAGTAATCTGGTGCCTAGTGCTCAGACTTGAGAGTGGCTTGTCTTCTTATACTGCGGCCCGGCATTCCTCCAGAGTCAGGTTACGTCCGGCATCGAAATTAACTTGACCTACGCCACGGAGCAAAGATCGCATGTGCTCTTCCGATGCGGATTGACCTCCAAGCGATATTGGTTACCCTAAGCGGTTGCTGGGGTAAAGGGTATGCTCGTCAGTCGTTTGCTGTAATAAAAACTTTGACAAACCGCAGAACTAGGTTCGATGAGAATCGCACTATCGAGAAGCTTCCAAACTTGACCGTTGACAATATCAGTCTCAGGAAGAGAAATCTCGTCCACAAGCTGACAGTCAATGAAGGACTTGGACTTAATGGACTTGACCACAGAAGAGTGTCAAATTCCCCGGTGCAGGTATTCCTCGCTGGGTCGCTGGCTCTAGATCGCTGGTCGACCTCGACACATATAGTCTGAGCAAGCTTTAGAAACGGTCACCACGCTCTATCACTCCATCACATATCAGACATGGACGTCGACGTTCTACAAATTCAACCTTCTGGCAGACGGGAAAAACGTATCATCTTGTTTTAGCTGAAAGCGGGGAACACATCGGTCGTGACAAGCGGTGGTAGCCACGTCTGCACTCGATGCTGGTGGTAGACGTCCTATCACCATACGTACCCTGTTGACCGACAGACCGTCTTTACGATATGTTCTCTACAGAATGAGGAGAACGTTCGTGTTCGCGCAAATGGCGCAGTCGTCGGCGGAGTTCCTCTGCGCAAACGAGTATAGATCAAGACAGTGGTAGGGCCTGACGCCGACTCTGGATCGCCGGACCGTTGAGCAATGTTGTGCTACGCTTTACGATTCTTGAAGAGAAGAATTCGACGAGCTCCGGGTCAAAAATTTTTTTCAATGCTCACCGGCGGCGCCATATATCCGTGATGCCAGCATACCCTCCAAGCATATCACCAGCTTTATGCAGATGGTGTGATGGTCCTCGAAGCTGAGATATAACAAACCAGGTTCCATATGAGAGATGAAGACAACGATATGGCCGGATCAGACGCGTCCGGAAGCGGCGGCGTCGAAATCAAGGGCAATTTACCATTTTCGACAATGATACCAGCCAGACTCGTTCTTTTCCCTCTCTACCGGGCTTCTCTTACGCTGTAACTCTGATGTTATGAACCTTGCGAGGAATCATATCTCGACTGTTTACTTGTCAAAAGATTAAAGGTCTGCCTAGCGGAGGCAAGGTGAATCGCGAAGCTCGATCCAGACCGTCTTTATAACAATCCCCGTTGAACACTAGACTCTTGACGGTTATCAACTGGAGGTCGGATTCGAACTGCAGCGAAGGTATGAAGTGAAGGATGGCAGGTGTCAACGGAATGCAGCAAAAATACTCGTACGATGTGTCCTTACGGTACATACGATACTCGCGAGCTGACTCTACTTTGTCCATTCAGAATGCTGGTCTTTTCCATCGGTCAAGGGAGTATCATAGCAAAATTACCTGTGATGACATGACAAAGAAATCGATACATGAATAGTTCAGACGTTTTCGTTGAAGGGGTTAGAATTCCTCGAGGACCGGAACCGATGATTCTTCAACATAGCTCGATATAACAAGAATCTTCCAGGCATTCCGCAGTTCATGCCAATCAGAACAATAACTCGGGAACCATTACTTTTATCCAAACGGCGATGCCATTGCCTCGGGGCAGCGAAAACGGTTCAGCCACGGAGATCAAGAAACCTCGAAGTGGTCACATCTCAAAATAGTCGCTGCCGCGCCCAACGTGTGTAGGCCGTTATTTCCATGCAAGCTTGGTGTCAACAGTTGAAGAAAGTTAGAAAAACCCTTCGGTCAGGCCGCCGAATATCATTTGACATAACGAACGACCGAGGTCCCCGCGGGAAGTGAATCCGACTACAAGTTCTAATAAAAAACATTTCTGTCCGTCAAGTTCGTCAATAAATGTTAGGTGTAGTAGATAATTACTTAGTACAAGGGAGAAGGAACACCTCGCATGCCTAGGTACTTCTTGATGCAGCTGTTGAACAGTACGCTAATCTGTCATAGATAGGCTATGGTGCCTGTTCAAGGCGATGAGTCGGTCACAGGTTCACCATTCGGTTTCCAAAGTCAGACATGCGTCGGGCGAGCAATAATGACAAGCTTATCAGAGGTCGAGAATGACTTGTTATATAAATTTCTTGTCTTCCTTCAATCATAACACAAACGGCTTGTAGGCCTACCAATAGAAAAAGGACGACGAATAATCATTCCATGAGACGTTTTTGAAGCGCAAAACAAGTACTGACGCGGATGACTTGTTGGGTGCAGTTGCTTAAAGCTTTAAGCAGGACAGGCGGCGGGCCTCGCTGTTGCGGGATTGGGACTTGGTGGTTTACATGGGCAAAGACGAAGTACAATATCAACAAGAATGCATCTGCGTGACCATTCGGGCCGCTTAGTCTGTAAAAATTAAACAATACTAGTTGTCGTGGTAATGCCCATTCCCTAAGAAAGCATATATGAGTAAGTAGATTTATTTTGCAACACTGGTCCAACTCTGATCAGACTTCTGAGACACCGTAGATGCACTATGAACAAGAGAGCGCGTTTTGAAGACAAAAGATATACTTACAAGATGAGGATACCGACACCAGGACGACTACGGATGCCTTTTTATAGAAGAACCTCCGCAAAAGAAGACTCCAATAGCTGCATCCAGGATTGAACTCAGCATCATGGTTGACAGTCGTATTTAATTCCTCCTTAAGTGCCAGTGTCATTGCGGTCGATCTTTCCAAGCAAGCTTCTCGATGGACTTCTCGTGTTCACGAAGCCCAGGAGACGATTCGACGAGAAACTAAAAAGAAATATAGAGTATTCCACCATGAGCCAGTTGCATTGCCATTCTGGTTGGGGATCCAACGTCAGCACAGTCAGCAAATTATAGGGAAGAACCGCTCACAGAATCACCTACTATTTGGTGGTCGACGGTTGAGTATGGAAGCTGATTTGCGACTATGTCTTGTGAAGAAGCGAAGTTTCTATAACATTTTTGAGTCTGAATATAGGATGAAGGTCAATGGAAGCCCTACTCGTCGTTCTAGGCTGGCGTTGGTGGATAATCATGGTTCCCAGAACCTAATACTGTGGACGTAGCTGTTGTAAGCTTCTCAACTCGATGCACCGTGATTGACAAGTCTCCCAGGACAAGCCAATTTACGCAGGAAGGTGTTAGAATTGATTAAAGACAGAGCTGGCTATCGTCGGCGTGAGGCCGGGAACTTGATGTGTATGACAATAAGGAGTAGAGCGTACCAAAGTCTTGATTGTAAGGAATCTATGGAATCCTGAGCGTGAGCCTGGAAAGGAAGAGAGCAGACGATGTACTTGAACAATTCTCTCGTTGGCGCAAATCATGGGATAACGAAATACGGAGCGTTGTTTTCCCGGTAGGAGAGGAAATCCGCAGCTCCCAGAGAGACCTCCGACCACAATGAACTCATTTATTGGTGCACCGTCAGCCATTGTACCACCCCTCGTCGCGGACTGGCCCAACACGAAAATGCAGGAAAGTTCGTGTACGCTCCGAAGTCGCAAAAAATCGAGATGCAAGAGTCTAGGATCCTGCTGTACATGTGTTCGTTATTGTTTGTCCCATTTCGTTGTTTGAAGACTGAGGCTAAGTGAGCAAAGTTGAAAGCGATGGTGACGTATGCAGCAGGCCTGATTTGCTCTACACTCTCACCCAACACATCAATCATGCTTCTGTACATCGCGCAGATTAATTATATCTTCGATACAGGCTGACTACAGGAAACTGAAGACAGCCTATATGTGAACCGGCCAGCTGTCGTGGCAAGATGCTTGGGAACCAACCGTGACACAAAGGACATCATGGAGGTGGTCGTGGTAACAAAAAGAGAGCAATTGGTGCGTTTGGTAGATATGTAATTCTCTCATGACATATCGAAGGAAGATGACAGCGGTCAGCCGGGTTTTCCATCCAGTATCATCGCCCAACGCTCAAAATCTATACTGCGAGCTTTCAGGGATGCAAAACATTACAACCCAATATCATGTCAATACCAATCTGACGCATAACAAAACTGCATGTATGCGCATGTGTCAATTGCACTTTGGGTAAATCAGAACAGGTTTTCTGATGAGATGTATTTGGTCGTCGTTGGTCGCAATCCAGGAGAAAGGTCGTTCATTAACCACATCTACACAGAAAAACTGATTCAACGACAAGCTCTCTATCTAGACACTTTCAAAATCTTGATAGTTGTAGAACAACCCTCGAAAGGTGAACGTCGTACACGACATTGAGCGGCAAGTTTTGCTCCTGGCTGTTTTGGGTTCGTTGCTGACCACACTAGGTCGCTCCCGGACTTGTAGGTCCCGATAGCAATGGAATTTACTACCTAGGGCTAAGCGGCCATCATCCTCCACCATGAAACGATAGACGTAGTACAAATTGCCACTGCCGAAGTTTCAGCGGGAACACATCGGTCGTGAGGAGCGGTGGCTTTCTATGCATTGGGCCGCTGACTATCGCCTATGTACTGTGCATGCTGATGAACTCACTCATGGCATCGGTGGAGTTCTCCTACCTCCACGAGTAGGAATAATCTCGGCTGTCGTACTAGGCGTCAATGCTGGTGGAGTAAGGCTTTACCTCGGGAGTTTTGTGTCCAAAAATAGTACGGGTGTTACTCCCTGTCGCCCTTTTACCTGCCTATTTCACTCTCCAGCCGTGTTTCCAGAGTAGCACTGCACTGGTACGAAGAACGGTTCAATATGGGGGACGTCGTCCCAGACTTTGCTTACGTGCATGGTGTATCTTCCTCTCCAGGAAGAAATCGAAAAAGTAACATTGCGTAATGAGGTCGGTAGAAATGCTTGTAGGCTTGATGTGATTTTTTCATTGCCAGAATTTCCTCTCATTGACATAATACAAGGTACCGGACAAGATCGTGCGTGACGATCATCTCTGTATCGATCGGTGTGTCAACACCATCGGAGCAAAGGCATTTTTCACAAAAGCTTCGCACAGGTTTCGGTTCGAGAGCTGATCTATCACGGCCAGTCTAGTCTGGCAAGCCGCTTTATCGTAAGTTTTCGGAACTTGTATCCAGTCGGTTTTAGCCTTTCTACGGTAGTGCCAAGCATCGAAAGCTGGCCAAATTGATGACTCTTTTTTTCTCTACGGCGTGTCGTTCCGCTGTGACTCTTGCAGCTTCCTCCACAGAACACTGGCATCGATGATTGTTGCGACTTTCCATGTTCTCAGGCATGTAACGTTACTAAGTACAATATCCACATCCTCGCCAGACAAATGCGAAGTTTCAAGTACAAGCCCGTATTCTCCGTTTGTGTATGTTATGCTTCTCATAAGGTGCTTGGCTCGGGTGGTAGAATAATACGTTAACCCATCTGAAAAATGGAACCGAACACATATGCAAAGAGGGCTTGGCAAGGAGGAGTTCCTCCAGAGACAGCACAGCTTCGAGCTCAACACGTGGGCCGGAACTTGGATACCTTTATACCTACATACAGAGCGCTTTATGGATTCACACTTGTTTTGACATTCCATGTTCTATAGAATAGCCATCCTATTTTTTCATATGTATTGTATACCGATTTTCTGAGTATTGTTCTGTCGTTGTCTTGTTCGCACCCTCAGTTATTGATTTCGGGGTGTTTACGCAGTTTTCGGCGAGTAAAGAACGCACAAGCCACTAGATCATTTTTGATAGTCACGAAAACAAGAGCCAGAACAAGAACAAGAAACAGTCAATGAGAATGACATAGGTGTGTTGATCGGCTTTTATGGAGGACTGAGAAGTATTGCCTACACAATGCCCAGCAATGAAGTATCTGGTGGGCATATGGCTCTTCCAAGTATTGGATTTCCTCTGGGGTCAGTATGACATCCATACCACCTACATATAAGCATCAATGAGTAAAGAGAAAGAAGAGAGAGGAACATTGCACCAATAGCATTCAAAAGTTGCATGGTTGAAGGCATGTTGATGACCAGGGCACAAACACCTGAGGGATATAAGATGAATGTATATCACATTCCTTGTTGCCCACATTCTCGACCCATAGACCATGCAATGGCCATCTGGATCATGGTGGCATTCCTTTCATGAGCTATCTCTTTGACCCTGGTGGAACTATGTCAGCATGAACCTGAGATGAACATCACAATGCCTGGTGATGAATTCATCACATATTGTCCAGTTCTTATGTCCTCCCATGGTTCTGCATCAGAAATGAGTGGGGAATCAGAGAGAGGAAAATAAAATACACCTGCCATCATAAGGCAGTGAGAGTTGCTGGTCAAGACTCATGACTAGCACCCCCATGGGTGAGTGAGATCCAGAGGATACACTCAATGCCAAAATACTGAAACAAATCATCAAGTAAAGATTCACTATATGTGATTGACACAGACTTTTAATGTAGGTAGCATCTTGTTCTCATCCTCATGATGAAGGAGATTATAATTGTTCTACATAGAGATGAAGAGGTGTGAGGTGATTGACAATTGCATAGTCTATAGTTCTGACCATCAGTCATGTCCTCCTGAACACAGAGAGCCTTCACTTTGCATGACATGGACTAGAAGGTGATATTGATTAGGGGGTGATATTACTGCATTAAGGATGAAGGCATACATTGCCAAGTGCCACAGTTGACATTGCAATATATTGAACCAAACCTGCTTGGACTACATTGTGCAGAGCCTTTATCTACCAAACAAAGACTGGCAATTTGCATAGTACAGCCAAGCTAAGACCATGAATGTATGTAGCTGATATCCAGAGTAGTAATGACGAGTGAGAGAAGGAGTTCTTGAGTGATCGGAGAGAGAAACCAAGATACAAAGTATCTTGGAGGTTTGAGAGTGAGTGTCCTGCTTATGAAGGAGATGACTTCTGAAAGAGAAAAAGTCAGAGAGGGTGACTAAGCATCACTGGCTGAAGAAGTGGAAAACCCAGGTGTTTGGGAAGTTCTTGACTGGCTGACAGGAAGATGCGTGATGTGATAGACAAATGAACCTGAACAGCTATCTAAGATCAAAAAGTACAAGTGGTTGGGTCACAAAATTATGAGGACTGCTGAATGGGGATGAGAATGAGAATAGAGCAGATCTATTCAGAGCTGTAAAGCATGGTGAGCAACTATATACAACTAAACCAAACAGTGCATCACTTATTGACAGAAGAATATAAGTAATAGTCTATGAAATAGTGTAGGTGAAACAACTGAGGTATATAGGTATCTATGGCCAGGTTATATAGGTGATCAAGTAATAACAGAGGGTGTGTATATATAGTAAGTAAGAATAAGTGATGTGCTATTTTTGGTGCTGATCATTGCAAGTGCCACACTCACCAGACTCACTGTCAGAATTGGTAACCATTGTGCTATGCTCTACTCAGCCAATTTTCTTTTCTTTGCTTGAAGATTCTAATGTGTTCTCTCTAAAGTAGTATAAAAGCTATATGTAGAGTGGGATATCTGTGTGTATCTGCCTTCAAGAGTTTCCTGTCACTTGGTAATCTACTCTCTTATGATCAAAAGAGAATGGGTGATGGTTGAGAAGATAAAGGTATAGGTATACATATGGATATCCTCCAACACCACTGTTTTTAGCTTATAGCTTGACCTGATACAAGCTCAAGCCACTTATATCTTGTGTCAAGCTTGTGATCCAATAAAATGTTATGATTTTTCTTCACTTTTATCTTTTATTTGAAAGGTTGACCTCTATTTCACTTAGTCAGAGCATTTAGACCAGTGCTTAAAACTATGGGACAGGCTTAGTCATCACAATAACATCCAGTCAGTCATTGTTCTTTGACACAATGGAAACCACTCAATGATAGACAATACCCTTTTGTAGGTAGCTTAATGACACTAGACAAAATGCTCTATAGTGCCAGAATGCACAATTAGATAGTTATATCTATAGAACAGATGATGACTAGTATATAAGTAGTATAGCTCTTGCTGTAGTAATCTCAGCTTTGAGCTAAAGTTTTATCTCCATCATCTTATCTTGAGTGACTTGCAATACCTTGACTACACAGAGCCAAACAACACATTCAATAGACTCTGACATCATTGCCTAAAGTGTGAGGCAGTGTCAGTTTATCATGTGTTTAGGTCATATGGAATTTGGGCTTAACAATTAGCTTGAAGCTTTCTAATTTCTCTTTCTTGACACACAACAAGAAGCACAAGAAACCAAATGTCTACCATCAACATTGTAAACTCTGATCTCACCACTAAACTTCTTGAACTTCTAACTTTGACCCTAGGAACTCTCTTGACCAGGATAGTCAGGCACTATCAACCTCTCCAACAGACATCACTAGATAATAATACTGACCACCTCCTCTAAAACATCTCTTCTGCTATCAGAACTTTCTTTCAGCCTGGATCAGAATCCAAAGATGGGCCTGATAACAAGAATAAGAAAGGTCCTCAGGAAAAAGAGGAATTCTGACACTCTGCCTGCCACCTCCTGACTTCTGACTCTGACCTCCTGACTCCCAACCTCAAACCCTCAATTCTTGACTCTCATAACTCTGACACCACCAATGAACTGATGGGAGAAGAGGAGGACAAGTTTGATCAGCAGTAAGGAAACAATGATGAGCATGATGAGCAGCAGAATGGAGTCCTCTCCCAGAAAGTTCCTACAAGACCCAGAAGCACTGAAGATGGCCACTGGACACTGAGTGGAAGATCTCAAGGATGACCTCTATATTATTGACTGATAGAATGAGACTCCTGATGATGCAGAGAATGGTTGGTATAAGCCACTATTCACTGACAACACAGGAAGCAATAACTTTCTGTCTGACTATGATTTTCTATCTAACAGATATGGAGTCCAGATGTCACCAAGGGCTCAGATCAGTAATCAGACTCTTCAATGGTTTTTACACAGGTGAATCACTGCCCTTTTCCTCAATCCAGACTTCTATGATGAGTTCTGCCAATATGATGAAAGAATAGAGAGAGAAAGAGAGTGGCAATGAAACACCGAAGAAAAAGGAGTCTGGGACTTACTATCCTAGGAGCTCCCTACCTATGACCCTGGCTCTCAGAGCTGATACTATCCTTGGGGAGGACAGAAAAGCTGAAAAAGGGAGAGAGAGCATCTCTGCCACTAATAATCTCTGGCCTGGACTCATAGATGAGAAGGGGCTGGAGTGAGCAGAGAAGAGGCAAAGAAGAGAGGATCTTTGTCTAGAGGATTGACCAGAGCCTCTGCTGATCATCGAATATGAAACCTGACTAGTGCTGAGGATACCCCTGAGGAGCACCAAATACATGGTCTCTTTGATCAGAACAATATGGTCTTGGGATGTGGCCTCCATCTCAGACAGTCATAGCATGATACCCTGGTCCAGCCAAGATTGACCTCAGCCAAAGCATCATTATCTGAACCTCTGAGCACAGCTAATGCACTGACCTTTTGCCAAGCAACCACCATTCAATAAAGCTGAAGGAAGCAGAAGTGGGAAGGCACTAGAAGCACTGCCCTTTATTGAAGATGATCCAGAAGCACTCAAACTGGGATTCACTATCCAAAATAGGCATATAGTATGAAAAAAGATTCCACCACTGGAAAGCCTCATAGCTGACAATAACTCCCTCTATTTCTTCTCAGGACCATTGACATCCTAGACTGTTTTGCCTTTTAGCAGGATCCCAAACCTCATGACTGCTCTTATAGCTGATATCATGATCCTCAATGTCAAACCTGTCCTTATATGAGAATCTCAGTCATTCTAGAGTGTCTCTGAGGACATTGACCAATTCCTGACAGACTGTGACCAATACTTTCAAG